ATAAAGTCTTTTGCGATTCGATGGTGGGTCAAAATTTGATGCTCATTTTTGACAAGATCGCCATCAGCAGTGGTTGAACGGAATGACAGAGCCTCCACCGTGCTTTACAGAAGGCTGTAGACATTCACTGTTGTAGCTCTCTCCTCCTCTGTACTTACTGATGATGTTTATATTGAAATATTTCAAATTTGGGTTCAAGACTTCTGCATAGAACTGTGTGTTTTATTTTGCCTGACTCACTGCACCATCTTGTGGAACAAACTGGTATTACTGGAAAGTACAGCTTGGCTTTAGCTCACCTTCAGTGAATGTCTCTCAACACAGTGCAAAGATATTTTGGACGTGCAGCCACAGATGTCATTTGTTCACAGTCTGTTGAGAGCTTTAGTTAAATTTGCAAAGTTTCAAACTGCTTTAAGCTCAGACCGTGGACGGAGAGATGAACTACGCCTTCGGTGAGATGACTTGACTCTCACTGTGTCCCCTGTTCCTGTGCTTTGTACAGAAAATAGCCAAATTGTGTAATAGTGGCTTGTTTTACTCATAATAACACCCCAAATCACACAAACACTGAAGTAATCATGGCACACATCACTGATTTTAACTTAAGTGCTAAAAATCTGAGCTTGAACAAAAGTTGTGTGCAAATTATTCATTTAAATAAACAGGAAAGCAAAATGGGGCAAAAAGCTACAAAACAAAGTAAACTTCCACCTTGTGCTACATTCCTTTAAAACGATGTAAAGCCATGCTGTTTCCAGGTCCTGACGCCTGGCTTTCACACTTCCCTCCTGCTGATCCTGATTTTCATGTCATTAGCTGAGGTCCGAGTCCTGCAGCCAGTGGATGCTCTCCAGGGCCTCTATAAGCTGACTGAAGCTACACTTCAGGGCCTTCGGCCATTTTTTTTATGGTTGTCAGAGTATCAGTGTTTAACCTTAGCTTTGCTTGCCTGCTTTTCGTTCAGCTTATGTTTCTGGCTAGCTTGATTTTCATTGTTAACCTGATTGATTTGCCCTTTTTTGCCTTCTGTTACTGTAACCTGGGGAAGTTTATAGGGAATTGAGGTGTAGGCTTGTAATCTTTCTGTTAATCGGTTGTTATGTGAAATGAGGTGAAATGGAGGACCCAATGTGCAGACTCCAGGAGGCATACGTGAACTCAAACTCAGCTTTATTGCTGGATGAGAGGCCGAACAGAAAACTAAACAAACTGAAAATACAGATAAGAAACTGGCAGCTGGCCAGCCCACACAGCATAGGGTGATGGCAATCCCAACACAGACAAAGGAAAACACAGGGCTTAAATATACAGAGGGAGCAATCAGGGAATGAGAGACAGGAGGGAAACACAGCTGGGATAAATCAGGGCTGACGAGACCAAGGAAGCAAAACCAGAGACATAAGACACAGACCTTCAAAGTAAAACAGGAAACATGACGCCGACTTGACACAGGGAGACATCAGACAGGGGAGACAGCAACTATGGATCACAGACAGAAAACCAGAAGACTAAAAGTCTAACAAAACCCACACAGACAACCTACACTTAGAATAATCCAATAACCCATAAAACAAAGAAAGCTAGAATATAATGAAATAAACATAATCAAAGAACCAAAAACACAGAACACTGGGTCAACAACCCAGGCACCCTAACACAAATCAAATCAAAATGTATTTCTATAGCGCATTTTAAAAACAACAGTGTTGACCAAAGTGCTTCACAATCAGCCAAAAAGAGAATGAAAAGATAAAACAAACCATTAACAAACAAAACAGACCAACAAACAACACAGGTAACAAACATAAAAAAACAAGCCGGATGATAGTCAAACCAGTTTTATTCAAAAGTCAAAGTTAAAAAGTGAGTTTTAAGACGTGATTTAAAAGACTGAATAGACTCGGAAGTACAAATATCAACAGGAAGGTTATTCCAGAGTCTGCATTTGCAAAGGCACGATCACCTCTGGACTTCAGCCGAGACCACGACTAGAAGATCTTAGTGCGTTTTTGGGGTTATACAAATAGAGGAGTTCAGTTAGATAGCTAGGTGCCAAGTTTAAAATTTTAAAAGCAAGAAAGGATTTTAAAATCAATGTGATATTTGACAGGGAGCCGATGCAAGTTAGCTAAAACTGGAGTGATGTGATCATACATTCTAGTACCAGTTAAAAGGTGTGCAGCAGCGTTTTGCTGCGAATGACAGAGAGAAGAGTGGCTGAGGCCCAAGTAGAGAGAGTTGCAGTAGTCCAGTCTAGTGGTGATAAATGCATGAATAAGTTTTTCAAGGTCATTCCTCTGAATGACTTTGAAAAATGTAAAAATCTTGGCAATAAAGCTTTTCAAACAGACCCAAACAGCCTCCTCGTGTTCCCACATCTAGTTTTATGTTACTTCCTTCAGCCCTATATCTTTTTGGGTTGTAAGGAAATTATATTTACAGTCAATTAGGTGCTAAGGCAAACCTCCCCACAGGGGGCAGTGTGGCTACAGGGGGAGAAGCATACACCAGAATTCCTACAGACTTTCTCCAATCCTCAGCAGGCATTAGTTATCCAAAAGTCTGGGTTAAAGGGAACCAGCATGCACAGTATGACACCATCTGTAAAAGTAACTCTAATTAAACTTACAGTTTCACTTTGACCACTGCGTTGATCATGTGTCTGTTACTTACAAGTTATTTTGTTGATGTCAGTTAAAATGCCACCACTGCTGCTGTTTCCCTGTGCTGTATAACTCTAAGCCAACAATAGCTCAGTATTGTCATCTTTTTTTCATCAAAACTTCTTTGCGGGGTTTTTTTTTTGGTCTTCAAATGTATTTATTTCATGTTCAAGTGAGTATTTAAAGCAGCAAACCACAGCGTGTGTGTAACAGTGTGGCTTACCATTTTGGTTATTTTAAATAGTTTTTTGATAAAACTGAAGCTTCGTAGCACAAAATAATGATAAAAACTCAGTCATTACAGATCATATCGGATATAACATTGAGTCCATTTTGTACATTTTAGTCATTCTAAGTTTTAGAAAGGAGGATTACTCAGGGCATTGGCTGACAGGTTTGTTAGTCAGTGAGGGTTCAGTTTAAAAGTTAGAGCCACAGCTTGCTCGGTCGTCACATCCAGTTTCAAAACAGCAAGATTATAAAGTCAAAAACACCTGAGATTTCATAATAGGCCTTGACAGACCAGACCCCACGCAGAAGGTGGTTGAGACCACAAAGTTTTTAAAGGAGTGTTTATGAAGCAGTTCTCGAGGCAGGAATGTGTGCAAAGAAGTGACATTTATTAACAAAAATCTTATTAACAAATGACAATGAATTAAAGACAAAAGGCAACCTCAGAGCAATCTACAAGATGCATCAACATAAGCAGAAAGAGCTCTCGACGAGGATGGGGAGCAATCTACCACCTCCTCTCATTGTTTCTCATGTCTCTCCAGCCTCACCTGCACCTCTTGCCACCTGCACAGGTAAAGAAGCTGGTAACTTCCTAATCTGTGATGAGTCACCCAAAATATGTGACATCGGGGGTTAGGTGTGGACATGATGTGGACATCGGGTCAGCTGGAGGCGCAGTCGAAAGATTGTAGCGGTCCCAGATCAGATGTACACACTGGAACTCTTTCCCATGTTGCTTGTCTGTGTTTATTGTGTTATGGTGTGTTGATACCTGTGCATTCCTGTATTATCCTTTTGTGTTGCACATTTCAATGTTTTTTTTCCTCGCTACCTGGCCTGACCTGTCTCCCCAATGTGATGTTTGTATTGTATGTATGGTCGGCAAGGTCTGTCACCTCGGTTGTGGGCAAAAGACCTGCAACTGACAAATAAAGGCTATCTCATCTCATCATCATCTCATATAAATACACATAAGGTTATAACCCTGGTTCCTGCTGACATACAGCTTAAATATGGGTAGGTATTACACAGTCATGTGGGACTCTAAGCAGTCCTGTGAGATACTGAGTAAATCTTTACTGCTTCCACATGAATCAAATGGTAAATGGAGTTATACAGCACGTTTCTACTGTAACTGGGCACTCAAAGTGCTTTTTTTGCTACCTCATTCACCCAATCACACACATGCTTTTTCTGTACCCAAACACCTTGTCTAACATTCACACACTCACATCCCATTGGATGTATCAGGGGAAACTCCAGTTAATAGACAGCCAAGAGAGTGAGCACCTCTACAAAAGCAGACGATTTGGCAGTTTGTTGATCTGGAGCATTTAGATATGTGTTAACATAACGCCATGATATTCCCAGAAGTAAACGTCCCAGGAAATTCAGCCAGGGTCACACGGTGCAATGCTCAATGAAACCGCAAAAACCCAGTGCCAGATCTCGGGCGACAGATAGCATGTTAAATGTTGAAGTTCATGACAGTACAGTACTGTAACAGCATCTTTACAGGTCTACCTAAAAAATCAGTCAGACAACTACAGCTCATTCAGAACTCTGCTGCTCGAGTCCTCACTAAGACCAAATAAGTGGACCACATCAGTCCAGCTCTGAGGTCTTTACACTGGCTGCCTGTCCGTCAGAGGATAGACTTTAAAGTTCTGATGCTGGTCTATAAAGCTCTGAATGGTTTAGGACCAAAATACATCAGTGACCTCCTGACCCAGTATGAACCATCCAGATCCCTCAGGTCATCTGGATCCGGTCTTTTATCAGTTCCCAGAGTCAGAACCAAACATGGAGAAGCTGCATTCAGCTTTTATGCTCCATATATCTGGAACAAACTCCCAGAAAGCCTCAGATCAGCTGAAACACTCAGTTTATTTAAATCCAGGTTGAAGACTCACCTATTCTCAGCTGCATTTGAATAAAGCACCAAATCCGCACTGTTTTACTTTTAAGCTTAAATTTCAAAACGTACATTTTAACTACTGATTTTATCTACTGTTCCTTTTTTTTCTCATGTTAAATCATGCTTTTTATTTGTTTTTGTTTTTTAATGTCTCTGTAAAGCACTTTGAACCGCCTTGCTGTTGAATTGTGCTATATAAATAAACTTGCCTTGCCTTGCCTACAGTTTGAAAAAGACTGAACAAGTATGGTTTGTTCAAAAAGTTGCCAGAAGAAAGTCTCTTCTGTCTAAATTAAACATGGTGGCATGGATTACGGTTACAAAGTTTCAAGAACAATGTCTTTGCAAATGTAAGGACATTGTGCAAAAGTACATCTGGCAAAAACCAACACACTATAGTAACTGTGAAGCACGGTGGTGGAGGGATGATGATTTGGGCTTGTTTCACAGTCACAGGACACCTTTCAGTCTCCCATGAACTCCTCTGTGTGCCAAAGTATTTTCCAAAGTATTCTAGAGTCAAATGTGAGGCCATCTGTCCAGCAGTTAAAGCGTGGCCCAAATTCGCTGACTCAGCAGAACAATGATCCCAAACACAGCAGTAAATCTACAACATCATGGTGAATAAAAGAAAAGAATTAAAGTGCAGACCTGACCCCGACTGAAATGCTGTGGCGCATCCTCAAGAGAGCTGTACGTAAACAAAAGACGTGAAGCAACGTTTTTTCACAACCATGACAAAGTCATACACAAAACAGTTACTCTGAGTTATTGCTGCTGAAGGTGGATCTATAAGCTACTGAATCACAAATCAATCCTTAGTTTTTCACAGGACTGTATAGATACTGTGCATACATATAACCAACCACTGTAATCACTGCCCCTCTGCCCCACTCACTCACTGCCCGGGATCTGATCATGCAAACATGTCATCACTGCCCACTTATTAACCACTCAAACGGACCAACTGATATACAAAAGTAAACAAACCCACCATATGATCGATAGTCAGACGCCTCACTGATAATGTTTGGGATCTGGACAGGGGGAGACCCCCTTTACACTGATATTTAGTTTAGAAAAGAAGCAAAAATCCCCCCAAAAATTACATATTAATCTTATATCAATGTTCATGTGTATAAATAAATCAACAAACACATAAAGAAAGAAAAACATCTCAGGCTGTTGCAGTTACAGACTTTCAGATTTCATGTCTTATGTTTAGTTAGAATCAAATTTGAAGCTCCAATAGTTTTTTGTGTTTCATACAGCAAAAACCTTACTTACACTGTTGATCTAGTTGATTCAGCTCATTAAAAAAGTACCAAATCTCGCCAAACTGAGCATAACGAAAGCCACCAGCAACATAGTCTGTTCCTTCTCAAAAACCATGGGAATGATCTACACATGATATATGCAAAAGCTTCATGTTTAAAACTAAAGAGTTTCTTCTGACATTTAAGTCAGAAGAAGACAAAGAAATATAGTTTGATTGCTTTCATGTGTAGTTTGCAAATCCAGATATCATCCTAATCTGGGACCCTGTGCAAGTCACTGCTTGTTAATGTATTCAGTAAAAAAACAAACAATTCCAACATTCAGATGAAAAACAGAATTTTTTCGATATATTAAAAAGAATCACCGTCTTAAAGATCAAACCAGTTGTCTCGACACCACTCGGCAGATTTCAGTGTCTTCAGTACTTCAATTATTTTCTTTTTTTCAATGAATGTTATTAAAAAAATACAAAAAGACAAGAGAAATCTTCAGTAAGGATAATCTCTGCTCAGCAGAATTCAAAACTGTCTCCATCTCGTTGTGTTGGGTTTTATCCCACATCATCATAGTCCTCCTCATCGTCTTCTTCACCCCCGATGTCATCATAGTCTTCCGTGGAGGTGTTGTCTCCTGCTTGATCTTCCTTGTCCATCTTCACATAGTCCGGTTGATTGTCCACGCTCTCCACATAGTCGTTCTCCTCAGCCAGGTTCTCGTAGCTTTGGGCCTCCAAAACACTACCGCTCATGCTGTTGACGACTGGAGGAGGAGGAAACATTATGTCTCCCTCCATCTTGACGTAGTCAGCCTGGAGTTCTGTGCTCTCCTCGTAGTCGTGGATGCTTTCCTCGTGGTTGCTTACATTCTGCTCACAGTTGCCATCCTCGTAGTCGTGGATGCTCTGGCACTCCTCAGCCAGGTTCTCGTAGCTTTGGGCCTCCAAAACACTACCGCTCATGCTGTTGAAGATTGGAGGAGGAGGAAACATTATGTCTCCCTCCATCTTGACGTAGTCAGCCTGGAGTTCTGTGCTCTCCTCGTAGTCGTGGATGCTTTCCTCGTGGTTGCTTACATTCTGCTCACAGTTGCCATCCTCGTAGTCGTGGATGCTTTCCTCGTGGTTGCTTACATTCTGCTCACAGTTGCCATCCTCGTAGTCGTGGATGCTTTCCTCGTGGTTGCTTACATTCTGCTCACAGTTGCCATCCTCGTAGTCGTGGATGCTCTGGCTCTCCTCAGCCAGGTTCTCGTAGCTTTGGGCTTCTGAAACAGCAAATTCCATATTTAAGGTTAATTTTATTGTTGCAGTGCATATAGGTAGCTGGTCAGTAGAAGATTGTTACAGATAGATTTGGCACTTGGCAACAGTGGGGAGGAAGAACGTTCCTTTAACAGGACGAGACCCTCAACAAAAAAATACTCAGGGAGGGGCTGTGGGAAGCAATGGGGGTGAGGGGAAAGAGAGGACAGAAAAGAAGAGCACAGAGAGACCAAAAACAAGGAAAGAAAAAGAATAAAAGTTACCCTACAGTGATGGCAGAAGAAACACAACGGGGTGGAGAAGAGATGGTCAGTGCATTGTTGCACATCTCCCAGCAGCCTGAGGCTATACCTAAGGCCCCAGTCACACTGGGAAAAATATGCTATTCCTCAGTGATTGCTGGGTGGTTGCTGGAGGTTGCTGACAGTCGCTGTAAAATTGTTAGCTTCAGCCCTAGTCATGCAGGCCTAGACTGGACTGGTCAGTGACTCATTGGAAACTAGAGGTCACAAGGGGGAAAAGTATGTTACCAAACCAGCTGATGAGCAGTTTCTGGAAGTTGCTAAGTGGAATTATTTGCAAAGAGTTATACAGTGGTGTACTGGAAACCTCCCACCAGCAGGCTACCACAGTTGCATGGAAGACCTGCATGCAAATACGCACAAACTCCTCACCAAACAGTAGTAAAATGTTGAAAAGCACAATAAATACTGAAAACAAAGACTATTAGCCTTCAAGGTAAAATTATTTTTTGCTGCAGTAAATATAGCTACAACGTTCAGCAACCAACCTCCAATCAGGAAATACGTATTTTCCCCTAGCAACCAGAGGATACCAACTGATCTCCAGGCCTGTGTGAGTGACGACTAAGGGATGGTTTAGGGACACCTGATTCAGCTCTAACTGTAAACTTTATCAAAAAGGAAAGTTTTAAGCCAAGCAGGGAGCTGCATCCACAGGAGAGGGGCCTGATAGCTCAGGACTCTGACTCCCATTCTATTTTTAAAGACTTGAGTAACCAAAAGTATCACTGCAGTCTGAGAGTAAAGTGCTCTGGTTGGATAATATGATATTTAATATATGTTTATTTTGTACTATGCATATGGGAAGAAGAGTTTAAATTCAGTTCTGGATTAAACAGGGAACCAGTGAGTCAGTCTTTGTCTGATCGATCGTGTTAGAAGTTAGTTACTAGATGAGTTTAACATGGCAGTGCAGCAGTAAGAACTCGCCTGAAGATGGCATGAAGATTAAACCTTCATGCCTCAGATTGAATATTTAGAAAACGTACAGTGTTGCTATGAAGTTTAAACAAAAGGCAAATATTTATGTTGAATGGAAAACAAACAAACAAAATGACCACGTAGTTGAATATTCAGGGGTTACTCTTAGATTTTAAAAGCACATCAAGAATATGAACAAATAAACCAAAATACAAGCTGACTACTTTTGGACATATTAAAAACTCACTGAGGAAGCTACGTGGGTTTAATGTAATGAGGCTTTCTTATCTCTCATGCTGGCAAGTGAGACACTTTTGAAAGCATTTTGATAATTTGATAAAGAAGATTTAAAGCAGGAAACTCCAAAGGTCCTTGGACGCTGGGACTTGCAAACATGGACAGTATAACTGAGGCTTACGAGTAAGAAGAAGGGATTATTCAAGATGTGCTCAGTGGCTAACAATCACACATGTACCGTTCCAGAATCAGATCAGATATCCAGGCGCTGTTGTCCCTGCATAATCATTATTAATATTAGTCTAGGATCAACAATCCAATTGACCAATCATGATGTCAAAGCTTTGTAAAGTAGGGAAAATGTTGTTGTTGTTTTAATAATAAAAATTAAATAAATTGTTGTCTACATAGACCTTTCTTCTGGAGCAAACAGTAAGGATTTCAGGTGTTATTTTTATTCATTTATGCATTATAATGAATATATTACAAAGTTTAGCTTGCTGTTAGCTTGCTGTTAGCTTGCTCGTGATACCTTTCAATTGCATTAGCTAACTTCTTGGTTAATGCAAACTGAGTTCTCCAAACAGTTGACCAGTCTATGGCAGTGTTGATTCGGGACCAACATTTATTATAATAATGCAGGAAAACCACTAACACAAAGATATCAGATCATACATAAAATCCAATTTCAACACTCCTTTATCAACCAATAACTGCCAGAGTGACTACATCCATCTTATCTACTACCTATGGTTTTATTTAGTGAAGCCCTTCTAGTTGAATATGAACAAAGCTGGGCAAAGTTACTGACAGCCTCAGCAAAATGTTTGACTAGTTTGTTTGGTTTTGTGGCTAAAAACCAAAACTATGAGTTTCCATCGACTCCTTATGGAAGCTTGTTTCCACCACTGGAAAAAACAAAACAGAACATAACATAGATTTTTGGGTTTTAATCTTGAAATTTAGGCTCACTAAACAAAATAACCTCAACTTCTGACTTGCTAATGCCAAAAAAGGACTTTTTCAGTGGTGGAAACAAGCTTGCATAAAACATTAACTAAGCTAGTAAAGTCTGTCACGATGAATGCTTTATCATCAAGGTAAGGAAGCTCCACTAAGTTGATTCTGTTCATCTGAACGCAGCATCTTCAATCCCAGTACTATGGGCAGGAACATGGGTGCACCATGGATTCCTTAGTTTCGCTCAGTGTAGCTAACTTGTAAATGGAAAAAGTAGAAAATAGGGCTCTGTTATTCTCTCCTGGAACACCACTGAGCCATTAGTTCAGGTATGTGGACAACACCTGGCTGAAAACCAAACCTCAGCACATATCAGGATTCACTGATTTCATTAACTTGGTGGACAAACATATCAAGTTCTCCAGAGCAGAGTAAAAAAATGACAGGCTAGTTTTCTTAGATGGTGATCTTTCCATCAGCAATGGGGGACATTTGAAAGTCTGTGTGTACCATAAACCAACAATACTGATCAGTATTTAAAGTTTGAGTCTCATCATCTACTGGAGGACAAACTGCGTGTCATCAGGATGTTACAACATCATCTTCACAGACTTAGCAACCAGAAAAACAGAAGGGTTCATCTTTCACCATCCTACACTGCTGTGATTGCAGTCATTCCCTAACTCTCTGTGAATGGTACTGATGACCAATGATGAGCAAGTCATGAGCAACGGTAATGACGACTGGCATACCAACAGTAGCGGTTTTTGATACGGGCGACACGGGCGGTTTCCCGGGACGGCATTGTGGTGGAGGGCGGCATCACGGGCATCGGCAAAAAAACCAAAATTGCCTATCCCAGCTGTCATAGGGCGAGAGGCGGGGTACACCCTGGACAGGTCGCCAGTCTGTCGCAGGGCCAACACACACAGGGACAGACAACCATTCGCACACACATTCACTCGCACATTCACATCTAGTGGTAATTTATCCAATTAACCTATCCCCAAGCTGCATGTCTTTGGACGGTGGGAGGAAGCCGGAGTACCCGGAGGAAACCCACGCAAACTCCACACAGAAAGACCCTGGCCTGATGGTGGAATTGAACTCAGGACCTTCTTGCTGTGCAGCAACAGTGCTAAACACCGTGCCACCGTGAGCATCTAATAACCAACTCGCAAAATAAAATAAAATAAAAACATACAACAAACACGAAAACACCAGACATTATGATACAGACTTATAATTTGCACCGATGTTTTTTCGAAATTCTATATGCGAAAAGTGAGCGCGAGAGCCCTCGGTGCGCCTGCTCGCTGCTGAAGTCAAAGTAAACTTTATTGTCATCTCCACTACATACAGTCCAGCATATAGAGAGACGAGACGACGAGGCTCCAGTTACAGCAGTGCAAGAAAATAAACAATAAATATAAGAAGAGTAAGAAAATAAATCTACACTTTAGGACTCGGGGTAAAGGGATCAATAACAAGGGGAGTGTTCGCCCGGGGCACCAAACAGGCTAGGACCGCCACTGCATACCAATCATAATGAAACCGACCTCACAGCCCATCGTTAGTCAAAGGTGCTAGTTTTGTTCGTTATGAAAATTTTTATAAGGTTGGGGAAACCTGCAGTTAGCCAAGACTGAAGAAGTCACTCTTCTGCTGAAAACGCTGCATTCAGATCAACAGAATCAACTTTCTCAGCTTGTTTAAAGAGAAAACTTTCTGTTGACCCCTCAGTTTTTTTCTTAAGTGCAATTCTTGTTAATACTTTAATACTAGTAATACTTAAATATTACTACTTGTAAACTGCTGATGTCACATAAATGACCCGATGACTTATGGGACTGTATACGTGATGTTTATGTGTTCTAGGCTTTAGTGCTATACGGCAGTTACAGTTATCCGGTGTTGATTAGCCATTTTTGTGTTAGTGTATAACATTACTGCAGCTGTATGTGTTCTGTGTTTTATGTGGTTAGCGGAGCTGTGATTAAAGTTTTTTCTGATTGCTTAAGCACATTTTTTGTAACTATTGGCTAATTTTGCAAAACTCTTCACACAAATAAGAAAACCTGTCACCCAATCATCAAAACATTGTAGTTCTCTTGCAAAAGCGAACACAGCTAGATTAACTCTTCACACCTTCGTAAAAATGGTGTTTCCGTATCAAACAGTACACACAAGCCATCATCTACTAAGCACACAATGCGCCAACTGCACACCAATGGTATGAATACAGAACACATCTGGCGTTTGCTTTCCCTGTGCACAAGGTAGGCTATGTCCGTTTGAGCTCATACTTCTGTCATAGATCCATCAGCATAGAGGGATCCAAACTTCAAGTACTGGTGTTTATTCAAACACATCAAAACAAACACAAGTGTTTATTTCCAAGTATAGGATTATTTGCAATCGCCATAATGACTCTATGGGTTACTTGGTCTGCAGTGAACATGCTTCCTCTCCCCCCTCCTCATCTTCCTCTCCCTCCTCCTCGTCTTCCTCTTGCTCCTCCTTGTCCTTGTCGTCCTCTTCATCCTACTTCTTCACCTCCACGTCCTCTTCCTCGGCCTCCTCTACTTCTCACTCTTTCTGCTCCCTCCATTGTACTCTGCACACACAGCTTACCTGTATTATAGTGCTTAGGCTGATTGCAAAGTGAACGAATTATCTAAGAAAGTTTTCACATGTGAAAGTGTGCCAGACAGTTGGCAAATTAGTGTTAATGATAGCCATACATGTGTATACTTTTGCTAGGAGTGTGTTGGAAATTTGGAAATTGAGTGTTGTGCAGTGAATTGTGCCTACAGTCTTGCAAAGTGTGTGTTACAAAATTGCAAACTGAGTGCAAAGCAGTTTTTGTGCTTTTAGTTTTGCAAACTCAGTGAGTGGTTTTGCTGTAAGTCTGACTAGTTTTAGAAATTGTGCTACAGGAATCACAGTTAGGGTTTAGGCATTCGGTAAAAACTGTAAGACGGCTGTTTCTGTGCACCACCTCTTGCTGCTGTTGTGGGTGAAGGGGCATTCTTACAGTTTTTTCTGATTGCTTAAGCACATTTATTGTAACTATTGGCTAATTTTGCAAAACTCTTCACACAAATAAGAAAACCTGTCACCCAATAATCAAAACATTGTAGTTCTCTTGCAAAAGCAAACACAGCTAGATTAACTCTTCACACCATCGTAAAAATGGTGTTTCCGTATCAAACAGTACACACAAGCCATCATCTACTAAGCACACAATGCGCCAACTGCACACTGATGGTATGAATACAAAACACATCTGGCTTTTGCTTTCTCTGTGCACAAGGTAGGCTATGTCAGTTTGAGCTCATACTTCTGTCATAGATCCATAAGCATAGAGGGATCCAAACTTCAAGTACATCAAAACAAACACAAGTGTTTATTTCCAAGTATAGGATTATTTGCAATCGCCATAATGACTATATGGGTTACTTGGTCTGCAGTGAACATGCTTCCTCTGCCCCAGCATCTGGTCATCTAGCAATTCTGTAAAGTAACAATTTCAGTATTTTTACATCAATGGTATTGGTGTGTTTCTCATTGGCATATGGCAGTGCTACAAATCTTTGTGCGAAGTGACTGTACTAACCGATTCTCATTTCAAGATGTCCCTATGGTACTTGCTACAGTGTAGCGGCTCGAGTTAGGCTGGACCCGTTGGCCAGCTACCCTCAGGGTCATTCCACGGTTGATTACATGGTCCACTATTGTAGCTCTGATGTCATCAGCAATTCTATTTCTTACTCTTCCTACCCTTCCTCTCCCCCTCCTCATCTTCCTCTCCCTCCTCCTCGTCTTCCTCTTGCTCCTCCTTGTCCTTGTCGTCCTCTTCATCCTACTTCTTCACCTCCACGTCCTCTTCCTCGGCCTCCTCTACTTCTCACTCTTTCTGCTCCCTCCATTGTACTCCGCACACACAGCTTACCTGTATTATAGTGCTTAGGCTGATTGCAAAGTGAACTAATTATCTAAAAAAGTTTTCACATGTGAAAGTGTGCCAGACAGTTGGCAAGTTAGTGTTAATGATAGCCATACATGTGTATACTTTTGCTAGGAGTGTGTTGGAAATTTGGTAATTGAGTGTTGTGCAGTCAATTGTGCCTACAGTCTTGCAAAGTGTGTGTTACAAAATTGCAAACTGAGTGCAAAGCAGTTTTTGTGCTTTTAGTTTTGCAAACTCAGTGAGTGGTTTTGCTATAAGTCTGAATAGTTTTAGAGATTGTGCTACAGGAATCACAGTTAGGGTTTAAGCATTCAGAAAAAACTGTAATAAACAGCTGTGCTTCCTGTAGCTTAGCATTACAGCTAAGGCAGGCATAGCAAGTCAAAATAGAAGTCTTTCTCTCTTCCTTGCCTGAGCTTGTCATATTATTGATGTTTGTCAGCTGCTGGCTGGGCTAAACATCTTGAGGTTACTACTTGTTTTGTCAAGTTCACCAGTTTGACTTTACATTTTTAAAACTCATAAATGTTTTCTGTTATTCAGTTCAGCTCAGTTCAATTTCACAGCAACAGCCGCCTGAAAGGGTTATCAAGAAGGTAAAGATGGTCCCTGATCGAACCCTTTATCAAAAAACAACGCTTTAACCCTTATCTTAAAGGTAGCGTCTCTCAAATCCAAACTGGGAGCTGAGGTCTTAAAGGTGAAGGCTCTGACTCCTATTCTACTTTTAATAAGTCTGAATTTAAAAATGAGAAGGAGCAGACTGCTGTTTATCCTTCCACAGTTTGTGGTACAGTTACAATTACATCAAGCCAAAAATACTCTTCGTTTTGGTCTGACTTGTAAAATAAGGAGCACTTTCCTTGTTTGGCCCAAATCCTTGACAAAACAGACATCATAAACACTTCTTAGTAAGTTTGAAACCTTAGCTTGGATCAGAATATGTGGTGCTGTCTTGGATCTGAATCTTGTGCATAAAACTGTCACTGCCATGTAAACTGGTGAACACGCGCTGCCCTTTAGTTTGTGGTTTATGGTCAAATGGCAGACTGGATGAGGCTTTAATTTCAAAGATCTGAAAGTGAGAGAAGGAAGCGTGGTTTCATAAGAGGAGGGGCAATCTGTAGGAGCCACTGAGAGATATAATAAAGTCTTGCCTGCCATGAGAAACTGTGTCCGCGGAGGTAGAGGTGGAGTGCCCGTTTCAATGTTTCTCTGCTGGTATTTGTTGCTCCTGCAAATTTGCAGACAAGAGAAAATGTCAAGCGAAAAAATCTACATTAAAGAATGTAAAGTCTGCAATGTCTGAATCTGGATGTGAGCACACAGTAGTGTAAGGTCTGCAGAGCTTACTTTGGTACAACAGACATGTTTAAGCTACATGGTCCCTTAAATATATATATGGAGTATATGGAAAATATGGGGAAACATAAATGTTTAAATGCATCATTTGTTTAAATGAATATTGATTATGATAATAATAATATTAATATTAATAATGTATATGGGATGACTTGTACGGACTGAAATGTGGCAACAGAGAGAAAGCTGAGTGAATAACATAAAGAACTAGAAATTATAAATGAAACTCAAAACACAAAATGCCCAACACAGTCTGATGGTAGTTCATGAAGTCACAACTTTTAATTCCTGCTTTTGGACATGAACTTTCCACTGAACATGATTTTCCATCTGTCTGTGGAAAAGCCAGCTGCTGCTGCTTTAAAAGATCCTTCACGATTTGTGGTACAGTTGCTGTTAAAGAGCCAATAGAATTCTTTGTTTTGGACTTATTTGTGAATTAACAGCACTTTTCTGGTTTGGCCCAAATCTGATTTGTATCCATGTGAACAAAATTATACTTTTTTTTCACTTGCACAAATTTTGTAGGTTGGAGGGATAGGTAGCGGAGCAAGCCAATTGGCTGTGCACACTAGAGACCCAACTTTGAATACTGCATGTCACAGACTTTCACACTCATTTAATTTTTAAATCTATTATTAAGTGAAAAAACTATCCATTTTTAAATTTTAGCCATTAAAACTGCTGAGATTTAGCACATAACTGTTTTTAACTTACTTATATAACCAACTTTCTTACCTTTGCCTATTAAACCTATTTGGTTAGGTTTAGAAAAGAATCAGTGTTTGGGTTAAAATATAATGTTTAACACAATAGTACTTTTAAAGCTCTGGTTCCTTGTTTTTTTCACATTTTCTTGGTTTGGATACATGATGCAGACATGAATTATACTTTCTACTGAAATATATCAGTTACAAAGTCTTGCTGTCATTTTAAGTTTTGTGGTAAGAGTGAGCTGCTAGTTCAGTGTTACATTTGGTCACAAGTTTGTAACATTATCAACTGGTTACACTGCTGTGGTCGTAAAATATACAGACACACAGAGACTTTTTGGAAGCCTTGCAGAAAAAAGTTTCCAAATAGTACAACATAAATGTCATATACTGCATGTTATGCTAACACTCCTATGCTGATCAATATGTGGACTTCCAACTAATGCACAGTACACAGTGTAATAGTTACACATCCTCTAGGGTGAAAATAACAAAGTTTTACTGTTTAGAGTAAAATGTCAATCATATATATTAAATCGCTGTAATTTTCTGGATATTTATAATTGTGTTATTTGTATATATTACCATTATTTCTTATATTTTGTAATTTAGTTCAGTCTGCTACTGTTCTCATTGTCTTGGAGCAACTATAACCCCATAATTCCCTTGGGGTTTGATAAAGTATTCTGATTCTGACCTCTGGTTTTCTCCCTATATCTCCTGCCCCATGGCTCTATTGGGTGTCACCAGTGAGTCCTTTCCTGTGGACATGGACAGTGTAGCACAGTATGCCCACTGTCACCAATTTGGGTTTTAAAATAGATAGGGATTTTAGATTTGACAGTCAAGTCAGAGCAGCAGTGAAATCCAGCTTATTTCATCTGAGGCAACTGGTCAAAACCCATCCTGTCAAAAGATAAATTCAGAACAGTAATGTATGCTTTTATTACAACTGAGCTGGATTACTGTAACTCGTTGTACCTTGGTATTAGAGAGTCATCCTTGACATGAAAAATTACAGGTAACCATGGAAATCTGCTAGCAACCAAAACAATCACTGGGAGGTTTTTGGTTTCAGTGACATGTCACCCAGTGACAGCCAGAAACCTCAAAGAACCACTGCTAACCGGTTGGAGAAGGCACACACTTCCCTAGCAACCGCTGACTGTATCATGTCTAGTATGAATGACAACTCTCAAGGAATGTTTGCATGTAAGCGCAATTGAAATCTATCAGTTACAAGCTCAATAAAAAAACCCCAAGAAATTCATCTCTATGAACACAAAAAGACTGTTTTTTGTTTTGTTTTTTGGGGGTTTTGTTGTTTGTTTGTTTGTTTTTGGGGGTGGGTGGGGGGGTCTTACATTACTGGCTTTTACAGTGCTGTGCTTGGAAAGTAACCAAACCACATAGAGATTTTTTTGCAACTTTGTAAAAATGTAACAGAACACCATAAATGTGACATATAAACTTTTAAAGTCTAAATGTAACATATGCTGACATATTTTGTAGCCCTATGGCAGCTGGGATAGGCTCTGCCCCCCGCGACCCTAACAAGGATAAGAGGAAGAGAATGTGTGGATGGTACTGCAGTGGGGAACTGGTTACTTTTTGTATGTTACTATTACGCTACATGAATGGTTACGCAGATGTCAGGGAACAGGGAAAATGATTTTGATACTATACTTGCCCAGCCAAGTTTTTTCATCCCCAAAAAAAACTACATTTATAATGTATCATATTTTTATACTGGTTACATCCTGGATGTGTCAGAACATCACAGCCCACAGAGTGAATGGTGGAAGTAGTTTAGCTAATACACTATTTTTAGCATGTTTGCTGTATGTATTATCATATTTGCTTGTGATTTTTTTCCAAGGAATATTAAAACAGCTGTATTTCAGTAAGAACTCATGTCTGAAAGTTTGTTTTTGCTATAGACTGTATATATACTGTGTGGTTGTTACAAATGCAGCTTACAGTTAGCATTATAGCTAGCTATGCAGAGTCAATTTAAACACACAATATATAACAATTTGTGCTAATAAAGTTGGTTTAAAATTAGTTTTGCTTGTTGAAAACACCATCAGCTGTGTTGGGAATTTCATGATTCAGCACTGAAGCCCTTTTTCTGGTTAGTTTAGCTTAGCATTGCAAATGAAAATGGGAGAAATAGCTCCCCGTTTGATAAAAACACTGCTTAATAATAAATACAATAAACATAGAAGCGACATAGACTTCTCACTGAAGCATAAGTCAGACAATAGCAATAAAAACAACAAGTCTGATTCTTTAAATGTAAACCTGCGCCTGTTTTTAGTATAGTACAATCCATTGTGTACATTCACTGTTATATGATAAGTATACATTTATGCATTACTCAGTTTTGAAGTTGAATTCGTTTTTCACAGTGGGGATTTTGTGTTGGCCTGTTGGGGGGGAAAAAAGAAAACACAGTTAATTCAAAGTCAATTAGGAAAAAAGATCAATATATTTGCACCCAAAGGCCATTTAAATGGATTTATTCACAGCTCAGCAAGAACAGATTTGGATTGTGTTGCTACAAACAAAGGAGAAAAATAAATGCAAATATGATATAAGAGTATTTAAATAGGATAAAATGGGGAAAAAAGTACTTTTAAGTATGTTTAAAGCATCTAAACAAACCATATTTAAATGCATAAATGAATAAACAAACAACTCTGCTGTTTTCAAATGCACAGTGTTCTTTTATCTCCACATGCTGTTACCTATGATTAGTGTCTGTGTTGTATTTTATTAGCTCTTTATACATGTGCATACGCTCAACCAGCACGAAGCCCCGCTTTGTGGTGATGCAGCCCAGTTTCCCCACAGGGATCATTAAAGTTTCATCTAAGCTAATCAGATCCAGAGGGCACCCCCTAATAATAGTAATTCATACAATTATAATAGTTGTTCTTCTGGCTTGCAACAAACCCTTAAAGTAAGTAGTTTAGCTTCTAGTGTGTCATGGTTTGGTTTCTCTTCCCTTTCCGGCTTATGATTTGTGGTGAACACGTGCATGTGTTGGTTTAGCAGTGAGTTTTTAAAAAAAGAGGTAGTTGAGTTAAAAATGAAACTGGTGTCTGACGGTCATTTCAGTTTGCTTTAACTTATTTTGCACCTAAGGGTATAGTAAATAAGTGGAATGAACCAATCCTGTGTGTCAGGTGTCCAGATTTCTGTTTAATGATGCTGGTCGCCAACAGCTTGAAACCCATCACGGAAAAAAACAACATGAAAGGATTCATAAAATAATGGAGGACATTTGATGCAAAGATGTCATTATTTTTTCTTCTTGTCAAGATAACATTTACCTCCTATAAGATCTTATAACCACTCTGATCTGTCTTGAGGGGCCCCATAAAACTGCTGAGAACAAAAAAAGTTATCTCTGCAGTACAATGTCAGGTCACAGGACTTAGCATTAGGTGGTCCGTTTAGTGACACTGAACTTGCAAAACTAGATTTAGATACTATGAAGCTACTTTCTCTGATTTCTGGGGGGTTTAGGCTTTAGAATTTAAACAATATTGCATTTTGACACTTATAATAACGTAACAGCTTAGTTACTTTTACAATGATGTGTACAAAAACCATGCAGTATACTGAAAATGAGACGCACGGGGGGAAAGGGATAACACACCTGTGAAAGCAATCAGCATGGTCCAAACGACACGAAACATAACTGACACAGGAAACGAAACAACGCTAAACACAGGGACAAGAAGCTCACAGCAGCCACAGAGGCAGAGGAACAGGTGCTAACAAAAGATGAGACAGTGAAACACAGAGGAAACTTCTTTTTTCAGATGCTCCCTTAGAGGTCATGACCGCAGATCATCTGCCTCCATCTCACCCTATCCCTAACATCCTCACCCCATGCCCTCCTTCACTACATCCATGAATCTCATCTGTGGGCTTCCTCTTTGACTCCTGCCTGGCAAACCTCACATCACAGCAGGTCATGTAAACTGCCTCTTTCAATCTTGCTGATCACCTCATATCACAAATAAAAGACAAAATATCACTAGAAACCACAAAGAACTAGAAAAGACAAAGAAACCAATAGTTTGTCTAGCTCTTTGACTACTGTCCATCTGTCCAAGATTTTCCCCAGCGTCAAACCCCCTGACACCTGCTTTTAGTGGAGCTAAATAAACATTTCATACACTCTAGTGATTTCTGTTTAAAAAAAAAAATTCTGTATGTTTCTGGTTTCATCATTTCTTTTTTGCAAAACATTTTGTAACGTCTCCTTTCCTGCTTCTGCTCAGTTCGTCCTGACTGTATCTGAATATATAGCCCTGTCCTTCCCCTTAGTCTTTGTTACAGGGAGGACTTGTTGGTTTCTGCCTGTACATTTTTTGTACTTTGTGTTAGACTTTTCAGCATGAATAAAGGTTTGCTGTTATTTGTGGAAGGTCCTGCCTTTGGATCTCTCGCCTCAACACTGATGCAATGCATTTCCAATGGCAAAGTCTCAACGCTGCCCTCATGTTCTGCGTGATTCTGGTGAGTCAAGCCTGAAGATGAGTGGCTTCAACTCTTAACTTCCACAAATCTGACTGCAGCTTTCTCTGGAAGGAGCTACGTTTTTCTGAACCGGGTGTTTATTCATAAAGCCTAAAAATCCCAGACTTGCTTTACAGTCTGTACAGTACATGAGTCATGACCTGGATAAAGAAAAACCTTCCTTCACTGAGAAGCAACTTTATGAATGTCTCTGACATAACAGACAGGCACACAACATGACCTAATGTACAGAGTGTACATTTCAAACTCATTTTATTCTCACCCACAGGAGATGGTTGCAATGCCAGATCTTCAGAAATGAATTATTTAAAAAGAAAAAACAAGCCAGTCAAATAAAATTTAAAAAAAAAAAAACAGTCAAATAAAACACCAAACCATGAGTGACTAAAAGGAACTAAAAAGAGGAAGGTGATTCAAAACGGCCAGTTGGTGGGCAGATTCTTATATGGAAGGAAGATTATTCCTAAGTCCAGGATAAATAACAGTAAAGCCCAGGTCACTGAGAGAGGTTCGTGGGCTCATAACCTCAGTTACCTGAGGGCATAATACAGAGGTGAGACCGTACAATACCATCACAGGACAAGCAGTACACTGTAAATATACTGTAAGCAGTATATTTACAGTAAAAAACAGTAGCACTTTCTATCACAGCTCGGTAATGAAGGGATAATAGTAACAAGTGGGAACAAGAGGGTTATAATGTGGTAATTTCTAAGTTATTACTATGCAATTAGCAAAGTAATAACTATGTAATATTCAAGTGATATCATGGTAGCAATAGTGATTACAGTTGAGTAATATTATCCTGAAATGTATGTAATAGTGTAATAAGAGCCCCAAAACTGGGGGTAATAATATAGAAATAGAGCTCGGTAATAAAGGGGTAATAGTAGGGTAACAAGGAAGAAAGAAGAACGTAACAATGTGGTAATTTCTACGTTATTACTACTGAATTACCCATGGTAGTTTCTGTGTAATAAGCAGGAAACAGAGCTGCAAAATGCAAAACTGCCTGTTTCTCTTTAATAACATATGAATAACCTATTAAAGCCAACTTAAAGAAGTGTGGTTATTACCTAGAAATATCTCAGGTAGTTTCTGTGTAATAAAAAGGAAACAGAGCTGCAAAATGCAAACTGCTCGTTTCTATTTAATAACATAATAATTCCATAATATTAATTCCAGGTAACAATCAAACACATTTAATTAATAGGTTATTAACAGGTTATTGATGTGCTATTAAATAGATGCAGACAGTTTTGCATTTTGCAGCTCTGTTTTGTGCTTATTACACAGAAACTACCGCAGGTAAAGTGGTAATAATTTATAAATGATCACATTATTACATCATTGTCACTTCCTTTTTACTTTACTATTACCACTTTATTACCGAGCTCTATTTCCACATTGTTACCCACAGTTTTGGGGCCCTTATTATCCAATTACACAAATTTCCGTGTAATATTACTTGGATATTACATGGTTATTACTTTGGTAATTGCATAGCAATAACTTAGAGATTACCACATTATTACCCTCTCGTTTCCCCTTTGTTACCCTACTATTACCCCTTTATTACCATGCTGTAATAGAAAGTGCTACCAAAAACACATTTAAAGTATCAGAAAAAAAATAGTGTATGCATTATTATACAGGGATTCCTGTAACTCCATATTTTTTATTTTTGAACTAGAGTAACTTTGCACCAGTCACAGCTCAAAATAATCTCATTCCGACCAGTCTTACGGTCCCTTAGTTATTTCCTCTGTTTAAATAAGGCATTTTAACTCTTCTCTCTTTAAGTTATCCTACTTCTGATTGACTGCCCCTCTTAAACAGAAAGCACTGGTGTAGAGCTATGTGCCTTAGATGACCATATTAGGATGCATTATATGGACAAAAGTAGAGGGCTACCTACACGTTACACCTACAGGAGCTGTTCAGCCATGGACACCCCCATGACATGGAGCTCTTGGGACACTCTGAAGAGGCTGCATCAGCAGGGCGTTGGTGAGTTTTAGACACCACACGCCTCAGCACTCAGTGACTACACTCTATAAATGTATGTGGTCTGCCACTTTGTGGCTGCATTGCTGAGGCTCTTAGATGGTGTCATACTTGCAATGATAAGATCTACAACTGATCATGCAGGGAAGAAATTTCACAGGTTGACATGTTGCAATGATGGCATCTTATTACTGTATCAGTCTTGAATTCAGTAAGTGCCATATAACGTTTCCTCTCACTGTCATCACATAGCATCTTAAGACTAGAAAGTGAGTTTAGCTCTATTCTGTTTTGTTCTGGCTTGTTCCAAATCACAAACTGAACTAAGCTCTAAGGTTGCTGAACGAACATATTTTAAAAACACTTTTTGTGCAAATAAAATTACTGGAAATGACACCAGTATGCAAAATATATTGAGGTGTTGTTTCCCAATCTTGCTTTACTTCTAGGAATTTTTTCTTTTTTCTCTTTAAAAAAAATACTTTTAGTAAGTTTCATTTTGCTGTGCATATATAGTTAAATAATGTCATATGTGAACATCCAGACTCACGAGCAGAGTTAAGGCCACCACAGATTAAAGCCTCTCAAGCGATTTAACACTGCAGAATGGTGGGGTTCTGCACATGCTCACATCTGAAATTAGATCTTTCTACTTGTGACAGGGAAAAAAATTAAAAGCACATGCATCATTTTTAAGTGTTACCTTATGAGCTTTATCAGCAATTTAAAAAGAATAACAAGAAATTATTTAAGTTGTTTTAATACCGGTAAAAATCTTAACATACATGGCTTAAAATAGCAGTCATGCCTAAAAAAAGCAAATACGAATGACAAAAATACTGGACTGTTTGGCTACAGGGTGTACACAGTGTATACAGAAAAAAAGGCATCGGTTCCTGAACCACGCAACCAGTTTCAGTGTGTCCACACCTTAAAAAAGCTGTCTGACAGCTCACACAACCAAATGGACAAACACCATTCCTGAAATGAACTTTTCTACACAAACTTACAGGAAAACACCTTCACGCACTCTCTAAAGCTCCCAAACACTTGTTGCATAATGTTTTGACATTTCGCTTATCGGGGTTTCAATTCAACATTTCTGCTATAAGAAGGGGAAGAGAATAAATCTGTGTGAGAACAGGAAAAAAGCGGTAAAAATGTATGTCGTTGATGTGCAGATGAAGGCTTGTTCAGTACTTAGTGGCAGGTGCGCTGCAGAGATTCAAACCTACCTCTTTTTCTTGATATGCACTTGCAGATGAACATGAAGATGATGCTGATCACCACAGACACGAAAACCATGCCAACGACCACCCATAACCATAGGTACTTGCGGATAAACGCCATGATCGCACTGTTTGAAGGATTTAAAAAAGAAACAAAAAAGTCTGAACACTTCACCACGAGAAGCACATCTGAGCCGCTGCTTTTCAGTATACACAGAGCTGGGGATCGGAAAGAAGGCCATTCAACCACTTCCTCTTTTTTTCTGTGTTGACTAAGTCCTGGGGTTATTTTTGTATTAAGATTAGCATTCTGAGAATCAAACAGGCACCTCAATAACCTCTAGGGACTCTTCTGAGCCAACTGCACTGCCAACCATCAAAACGTCTCCGTTTTTGTTCTCACTTCAGACAACCTCAGCCAAAGTATCTGAGCTACTTAAAGCTGAAAGAGAAGGTCAGCTTTAAAGTGAATTGTTTACTCCAGCTGGACGGATGTATTTATGTGCCTTTATCGCTGTGAACGGAATGATATAAATACTCGTTCCCCCGTTTATCTTCATGCCCGGCATCCTCTCTACACAGCCGCTTCCTGCCAACTTCCAGTTACAAATACTGCTGATTCAGAATACAGCCATGCAAGATAAAGTGATATTCGGACATGAAAGCACATAACAGTTTACTGTCTGCTTTGACACGTGACGCCTTTCACTGCAGTTAGACCTGATAACCACTTTTTAAGTATTATCTCTAATTATGGATAAGAATAGAATGACTTTTATCACAAAAAAATGCAATTAAAGTGTTATTTCAATACATGTCAACTTCCAAATACTCCAAATAAGTGCCTTACCTTTCTTCCATATCTCTGGTTAAAGAAGGACAGCAGTTTCAGTAAACAGAAGGTGAAAGCGGATGGTGTCTAGATATGACAGGACTCATCATGTGCTGCATCTTTGCATGCCATCGTCTAATTTTCTTACCTAACCAAAGAAACATGAAGGCTGAGACTGGATTATCCCCACCCCCTGTCATGCACCAGTGACCAAATCATGTGGGTGTTTGTGTGAGGCTATAAGAAGAGTCAGACACGCATGACAAATTTACACATCTGTGTTAATACTTCAGTTGGAGAAAATTGTTTTTGTTTTATTTATTTGGTCAGAATAGAAATGTCATCACAGATGACAGATTTTGATATTTTAAACAGGTTCAAATTAACATTTTTAATACATATTCCTTAAACTACAAACATTGCCAGTGTCAGCACTGAACACTGGACTCTTGTGTAGTTCTCTCACATTTTCAGTTCCTCTTATATATCATGACTTTACATCAGTTTATCATAGTGTAATCTTTAGGGAGGTGTTTTCCTGTCCAGCTGCACATTCACAATAATTGGGATTTATATCATCTGTTGATAAATATCTCTTTTGTTTTCTGTTAAGAATTAACTGTTGAAAGCGAGATTTAGTTTGGGGGAAAAAAACAAGTCGATTTTATTTCAAAAAGGTGACACCGGAATTGGGAAACTAACGCTGTTTACTTATAGGAAAATGACTCTGTGCTTTCAAAATATTAGCACAAAACTGCTAAGTGGTGGACAGATATGAAAGTAACTTTCGAAATAAGTAGATATATGATTATTTTGTCTTGTATTTATTTCTATGTTGGTTTACATTACGAATAAACGCAGGCCTTTTGGAGAGTTCACAAGTGGTGATTTTATTTTGAAAGACAAACCAGAAGTCGCACTCTTTCGTCGCTAGCTTGACACTAGTTGTGATGTTAGCTTGTTTTCTTGGACGCTCCTAGCTCTGATCTCACCGCCCTGCTAATTGCCTCACGCCCCCCTCAGGAAACCATGGCCTCGGAGGCCTCGGGATCCCCTCAGTCGTCCCAACATGACGGTAAATTTCTTGTGTCTTTGGCGGTTTGTGGTGGGTGTGTTGAGGGGCTGGGAGCAGCGAAGCCAGCGACGGCCTCTGCATCACTGGCAACATTAGCTAGTTAGCATCCTCAATGCGACGTGTCACTGCCTCATGCTGGGCATTTAACATTGCGCAGTGGTTCACAAATTTGTGGAAACTTACTGAAGCTCTGTATAGCTGAACATGAGGTGCATGTGTGACACATCCAAGCTAACGTGGTTGTCTCTTTAGTAATGTTACACCTAGCTGGTTAGCTCCTAGCTCTGGCTAGTCTGACTAATTTGATCTAAAGGTCGGCTCTGGCCTCTGGCAGTCCGGCCCTGCACTGACAGGGTCAGTCATATGGGTCGCATCGGTGGCCGTGCTCTGTGGTGTGCACGGGATACTGACAAATCCTGCAGGAGGCTTTCCCTTTGGTTATCAAGCCGAGGTCCAGGGACCCAGAGGCGGCATTGAGAGCATCTGGAGCTTCAGGAGCTGAACGTGGGGCTCCCACTTTCTACAAACTGTGTGAAGAATTCCAGTCCAGGTTTATGTTAAACAAAATAGACTGCGACAACGGTAATACATGCAAAACAATTTAAGCTTTATGCGTCCTCGGAGGTAATATTACAGACACTCTGTAGCTTGAGAGTCTGTCACAAATCCACACACACATTAGAGATTGAGGGATGGGAGCATCTCCTAGTGGTTACCTTTGTTTTTATGCCTTATAAATAGACCTGTACATAATGTTTTAAGATGGCACTTGGTGAGGTGTGTGGTAGGAGTGACAGATGGGTTCAAGGTGGGATTACATCAGGGATATGCTCTGAGCTGCTTCTGATGATGGACAGGCTGACAGATGAGGTCGGGCAGGATTTTCAATGGACTGTGATGTTTGCCACAGATCAACATAGTGATCTGTAAGGAGAATAGGGTGCAGCCTGGAGAGGTGGAGGTATGCTCTGGAGAGAAAGGAATAGAAATTGTATGTGAATGAGAGGGAGACAGGTGTAACAATGAAAATGCAACAAGTAGAAATAGTGGCGGTCGAGGAGTTTACCTGGAATCAACAATCCAAAACAATGAGCAGTACACACGAGAGATGAAGATGAGAGTGCAACAAGGGTGGTGCCGATGGAGACGAGGGTGGGAGTGAATTTTGACAGAAGGATAAAAGCAAGAGCGAAGGGGAAGATTTACAAGATGACCATGCTGACTGACAAAAAGAGATGTTTCATGGGTGTACTGAGGGAGGACATGAAGAGTGTTGGTGTAACAGAGCAGAGTACTAGGAGCTGGGTGAGATGGGGGCAGATGATCTCCTGTGACGACTCATAAATGTAGCCTCTGAAAAAAGGTGCCTCTTTTATTTATTATTTAATTTGGCACACATGCACCTCTACAAATAATGGGAAGTTCTTGCATATTCGCTGGCGTACAAGCACTTTGTGTTCAGCATCATGTGGTGTGATGCAAAATTGTGTTGTTGGTATTGCTTTGGTTGTGTTAATGACTTCTCAACAAAGCTGTTTTTTTTTTTTTCAATATTATTTTTTTGGCATTTGACTTTAAGCAAAGAGAGAGAGAGAAAGACACACAGCAAAGGGCTATGGTCACCTGCTCACCCACTGAGCTGCAGATACCTGTAGATTTTTGGAGAGCCAGGTGTTAGTAATGGTGCTGCTTTGAGCTGAGCAGTCATACACATGTCATTACTTCTTGACAATGGCACCTGTTGAGCAAAAGTTGCTGTGGGAGTGGGTTACAAAGGGTGGTGGTAAAATAGACTGAAAGAAACTGCTTCGTGGCGGTTTTATTTTTATCTTAATATATATTAAAAGCAGCCAGAGAAAAGACGGTGTCTGTTCAAAGTGCAAAGCGCTGCCTGCAGTGAGTAAAAGAGGAGGATTTGAATATTTGAAACAGTAATTAGTAACGGGCCTACCTTCATTCAGTCGTGAGGTTTGAGGGAATTACTTACTTCTGAAAATGCAGGGCCTGTTTAACTTGAAACTGGTATAAAATAGCTTTGACCGCCAATGTGGGTGCCTCGGGTGACTTTAACTGGTTTACTAGTGTGGGTAAGATAATAGAAAGTTTTGTGGAAGTGTATCAGGGTTCGATATAATGGCTTAGTGGAATGGGAACAGTAAAAATGTACATTTGGCAAGTTGACTGGCCAATGACAGTGTTTCTACTCATCAGTTCACCTGTGAAGCAGACTGGCTCACTAATGATTAGTTTTTTTTTCCCCACCAGAAAATATTTTCACATGAAATTAACATTTAAACAGTCTGGATAGTTAAAATATGAATGGAAGCCCTGTTTTCTAACTGTATGCAAAGGGTGAGTCAAGGACAGATAGCATTTACTCAGTTTTGTTTTAAAGGTTTAGCAACTATTTTTTTATTCTGATTTACCAAGTTCTAGAATTGTTTAAATATAATCATGTGACATCATATCATGTTTATTTGAGAGAAACAGCATAAATGCAGAAGCAGTGTGTGAAAAACTGAGTACACACCCTGATTCAGTAGCTTGCAGAACAACCTTTAGCAGCATTAACATGAAGTAATTGTTTTTGGTGTGACTGTATCAGTCTCTGATTGTGGTGTGGAGGATTTTTGGTCCACTCTCCTTTTCAGTGTTGTGTCAGTCCATTGAGGTTGGAATTGAGGTGGCTGGAATTAATTCAATGCATTTCATTGTGAGGTCTGGACCGTTGCAGCACCTTGATTATTTTCTTTTTCAGCCATTCTCTTACAGACTTGCTGCTTTTTTGGGATCATTTTCCTGTTGCAGGAAAGTTAAGTCAAGTTTGAACTTTCAGCTAGATGCCATCACATCTGACTCTAGAATACAGAGAAGACTGGATTATCATGGTGGATTGCAAGCCCAAATCATCACCCCTCCATCACCGTAATGTGGCGTGATGTGGTGCTGTTCGTTATGGTCAGACACCTTCGTTATGGTCAGACACCTCCACATTGATCTCGTATGTCCAAAGGACATTGTTCTTGCAGCTTTGCAAACCTAGGAAGAGACTTTCTCCTGGCAACCCTTCTAAACAAGCCATACCTCTTCAGTCTTTTTCTAATTGTAGTGTTATGAATTAACATTTAACATGCTAACTGAGCCCTGTAGTCTGAGATGTATTTCTTGGGTGTTTTTGCAGTTTCTCTGAGAAATGCACCACCATTTGACGTTTGGTGAATTTGCTGGGACGTCCATCCCTTGGAATGTCATGGCATTAACACACACCTGAACACCACAGACCAGCAAACGGCCAAGTCTTTTATAGAAGTTGTCACACATGCTGCTGATCAATTAAACAACTGCATTTGATTAGCGGTACTTGGCTACTACTTACCCTGTTAAACTTGTGGAGCAGTAAGGACAAACTTAGGTTTTCACAGAACTGCTTAGAGTACTGTGAAAACTTAAGTTGTATGTCAGCAGGAACTAGGATTATAGCCTTATGTGTGTTTATATTTTGGGTTACTCAGCACAGGTTAGGAAGTTACCACCCTGTTTACCTGTGCTTATTTAGGAGGATGCAGGTGAGGCTGGAGCAGGGGTGGGCAATTCCAGGCCTCGAGGGCCGGTGTCCTGCAGGTTTTAGATCTCACCTTGGGTCAACACACCTGAATCACATGATTAGTTCGTTTCCAGGCCTCTGGAGAACTGCAGGAGCTAATTTAGCCATTTAAATCAGCTGTGTTGGTTCAAGGACACATCTAAAACCTGCAGGGACACCGGCCCTCGAGGCCTGGAGTTGCCCACCCCTGGGCTGGAGAGACATACGAAATAGATGAAGTGGTGGATTGCTGCAAGGCTGTCTTTTGACTTTATTTCAGCTTCCTGTAATGTGTTATTACATTTTTTGTTATTAAATGTCACTTTTTTCCAGTACCCCTGCATCAAGACTTGCTTCTTAAACACTCCTTCCTTTGCGGTGTCACATGATATCAACCACCTTCTGTGTGGGATCTGGTTATGAAGCCCTGATCATTTTTGCCTTTGCTTTCTTGGCATTTTGAACATGGATGTGACAAGCAAGGCGTGGACCTGACTGAAACTGTTGAAAATGAAACCGGACATCTCCACTTTAGTCCTATTAGCCTTGGACAGATTTCCAGAAGTCTTGTCGTTTGGTCAGATACAACTTTGCCGTTCTGCCATGTTTTTTTTTTTTCTTGGTGAGAAGACACTTTCTACTGGCAGCCCTTTCAATGAAGCCATATTTGGCCCGTTTTTTTCTAATTATGTTATTATGAACTTTAACATTTAAGGTGCTAACTGATGCCTGCTTCTGCATTTTTACCTTACTTACTAACAAATAGATAGAGAAATGGTGTGATATGTCACATGCTGTTGTTAATCTCTTAGAATTTAAAGTGGGTGTGCTTCCTTTTTACAATAGTAATCTGTTGCCGGGCGTCGGTTTAACTCACCTTGTTCGACAGATGATCTTATGCCGCTAGGCTTGGTGTTTGAGTCCAACCCAGGGCCCTCTGCTGTGTGCCTTCCCTCACTCTGTCCCCACTTTTCTGTCTCAAACCGTCACTGTTTTATCAAGCAAAGGCAAAAACGCTGCTGTGAGGTTGAGCCTCTGTTATATTTGCATCATCATGAACTGGCGTTGCTGTTAAATTGGTTAATTACTGACTTTCTTTATGCGCTCTATCATGTGATCTTTGTGGCTTCTGACGTGATCGGTTACACACCAGAGCAGTCAGCTTTTATTTTAATACCAAGAAGGAAAAGATGCAGAGCTTTTGAGCTGAGGTAAGTGTGAGAAAAGGAGATTGATATATGCTGTGCTTGAATACAACACAAACTTGTGAATACGTGGCGATGGAGTTAGTGTTTCCTTTTGTTTGGCTGTCACATGACCATGGTGGAATTGAGCTGAACCGTCCGGCTGCTCGTAAATGTTTCCGTTTGGCTGTCTGGCTTTAAGGATTTTATCTGTATCGCTGCGGTTTTAAATAAGAGATGAAGAAGTAGGAAAATGTAGGACCGTAGGAAAACCAGTGTCTGGTTGTGTTTGCTGGCGGGAGGTTTTTATACTTCATTTTATGCGTCGCCTGACTGATATATTGGTGGGCACAATTTATCAGCTGATATTAGTATTGACCTATTTATAATGGCTGGCTAAACAAACACGACAAAGGAGAGAGGAGAAAGGCCCTTTAACTAGGTTCTGCATCTCGATGTTGGATAGTTTGCCCACAAGAACAAGACTGCACTTTGCAACTTTACTGATGGCAGCATGTGTTTGTAACGCTTCAATATCCAGCTCATCCGAGTTAAGCAGAGCAAGATTTTTAATCATGTCAATCATGAAAATCGTCCCAGCAGTTCAGTGGATGGCTAAAATATCTTGCACTGCACGTACCAGTGCTCGGTGAGGTGATGCCAACAATAAAAAAGCATTTGAAGATCTTGTCAAGTTTGAGTTAAAGTTTGATAATGGAGTAAAATATGTTATTCATTTGACGCTGAAGGTTTTGTGCTTTCGTAGATCCACTGTGCATTGTAGCACACATGTAATAAGATGTGCTGTTTTTAATTTAAATGTGGGTGTTTATCAAGATGGTTCATTAAATGCAAGTGTGTAAGTAATAAAGGTGAGTACTTATCGGTTTTATTATACTAGATATATTAAATGATAAAATGATGTGAAGATGTTTTTCATAGTTAATAAGAACCAGATTTATCTGAAAAACAGGGATGACACCACTCATTATTATTATTATTATTATTATTAGAAAGAACCAAGTTTTTGTTAACATTACATTCAAAATTTTCTAAATATTTTCTACATATACATTTTTTAAATACTTATTTGTCCACAGTATCGTGATAGTCCATATTCATAAAGCTATAGTTTTAGATCCTTACCCCCCAAAATAGTAAGTAGCTTTCTCCATATTGAAAATTTTAAAACGATACTACAAAACTTGTGACAGTAATGACCTGAAATATTTCATCATTTCATTTAAGAAGTGTATCTTTCCCATGGATTTTTCTTTCAGTCAAACTGGTGATGGTCACGTGGAAAGTTAAAAAGGTTAAAAACAATCAGTAAATGTGATTGTTTATGAAATGTTTATAAACGACTAATGCAACATACATTATATTTATTTTTCCTCACACTTCTCTTATGAGCTTCTACATATGATATATCTAGAAGTTATTTAAAATTATCTAAGAAAAAGTTTCCATTTAGCTGACTATTGACAGCCTTGTAAAAGAGGCCACTGGTGGACTTTACTCTGTTTTTAAAGGTGTCACGAGCTGAAACTTGCTGGTATAATAAAAGTTAAGTAACTGACCACATGAAACCACATGAGCTCTCTTATATTAATAAATGAATCTGCAAAAATCACTATTTAGAACTTTTGTTTAAAGTAAAAAGTAGTCTTAGTTCCCAAGTAGTTCAAGTTCCCAAATTTTGCAGATTTGCTACTTCGTAATAATAAATTATTTGTTAATGTTTTCATTTCTGTATCGCTATCCAGAGACATTTAGTCTGTACTGTTTTGTCACATTATTACATTAATGATCAGTAGATTAGATAGTACTGGATGTAATAACACATATTTCAGCCTAATTACATTTAACATTTGCGTACCATTATGGCTGAACCATACAAGGAATTCAGGGATTTAATCGTTGTACTTATTGGTTCGATTATATTAGATATATTTAATCATAAAATTGAAATAATTTCTAAGAACCACATTTATCCCAAAAGCATCAATAATAATTTGTATTCATATCATTTTAGGGCTTGTTAGCTTTTATTCACCCTCTGATTTGAGTCCTTAGTAATGAGATAAACGACGTAATGAGTGCACTGATTTTTGTGGATGTTTGCACTTTGACTTGAATGATTTCTTTTCAGCTACATGTAATCAGCAGCTAATTTTGTTTTGTTTTTTTCCTCCTTCATTATCATTCAGCGGTGCTACAGCAGCGAGTGGCAGCTCTGGAGCAGGAGAGGGCCGAGTTCATCAAACTCAAGCAGCAGCTGGAGGTGGAGTTCAACCAGAAGCGGGCCAAGTTCAAAGAGCTTTACCTCTCCAAGGAAGGTGTGGATGGTCATAAAACTCTACACAATGTAAAGTGTCTTGTTGGACATAGCTGTGGAGCATCTTTGGCCTTTTAAACTGTCTGTTTGAATTGAACTCGTGCATGCTGAGGTGCAACACTGAAAGAGGTTCTTCTTTTAAAATGTATAAACAATTTTTTTTTCTGTAATAAACTGTGCTGAATAAGGAAAAAAGTCTGAAATACACAAGTGTCACATTGTGCATTTTTCCTCTCTCCTCCCATCATTCATTTCATGTCTCACCTCTCTCCAGAGGAGCTGAAGAGGCAGACAGCTGCACTGGAGGACGCCCATTCCGAGCTGAGCTCCATCCAGACCCAGCTCTCTCAGGCCCGGGCTGAGATAGAGACCATCAAAGCTGTGGCCACCGTGTCGGAAAACACCAAACAGGAAGCCATCGACCAAGTCCGCAGCCAATGGCAGGAGGAGGTGGCCTCCCTGCAGGCCATAATGAAAGGTAAATGGAGCCTGATGCTATGTGAGCAGTGAAAACCTCTATTCCTAATATCATTGCTCTTTTGCTTATTATTTGGGAGGGTATTTACTTAGATTGATAACACTATGAATATATTCTCTAAAAGATTGTTTACATTTAAGTGGTGTGATGAAAACATTTCTGAAGGCAGGTCCAAAAAACAAAAACAAAAGCTCTACCTGATTTAAAGCTTGTTGATTTCACCTTCAAGGTCCCCTTCATGTCTGGTTGGCTTCCAGTGCAGCTTCTATTCATAGATCAATCCCTGGAAGTCCACTTGGCGCTGTGCAGCCTGGGATCAACTTATGTTTCAAAGTGACTCGGTCTCCCCCTATGACTCTGTGATTTTCAGTCAACAAGTCCACAGTTTGCAAACTACTTGTTCGTTCTTTAAAAACGTTCATCAGGTTATGCTCTGTGAATTCATCCTCTAAGTTCAGATTGTCAACGTGGACTTCTAGCACAAGTTCATGATTCACGTGTAAGCCATGTAATGCTGGCTCAGACAAATCTTTTTTTGGCCATACTAAAACAATTTTTACTCACCAGCTGGACTAGAGGAACAAGTACAAGGCCACACACAAGACTTCCACTGAGAGTATTAAAACCAGCGTCCCTGTTGTAAACCACCTGCAGGTTTTAGATATCACCCTGGGTCAACACACCTGAGTGTTTAGTTCATTACCAGGCCTCTGGAGAACTTCAAGACATGCTGAGGAAGTAATTTGGCCATTTAAATCAGCTGTGATTGGATCAAGGTCACATCTAAAACCTGCAGGACACCGGCGCTCAAGGCCTGGAGTTCCCCCACCCCTGTTCTAGAGCGTGATCTTTGGTGGTACATCAGACACCTTTTAGTCAGACTTTGACTTTGACATTTTACGATCATATCTCAAACAAATTAAAGTGAGCATATCGGCAACGTGCAGGGACCAACCTGTGCATGAGAGCTGTGCATGTAATAGGAATAAAGATTAATGTAGAATAACATGACCTGATTGTAGTGCAGTCACAGTGGGGTTATTAACCGCTGCTCCAAAATTAAAATGAGATGATATAATCAGTGCTTAAACTCAGTCTCGATGTGCTGTTGGTCACAAGAAGCACTCCTAAAGTTTTGTGGAATATTTACATTTTCGTTTTAATCTTTGACTCGACTTTTTTCTTTAGTTGTGAAGTAAATCTAATTGATTTAATCCAGTTTTCTTGTTTTTAGCACTTGTTGATTTTTACTGATTTAAAACATAAAACAATGTTGAAAATATTCATTATATGTATGTTGAAATAGATCTTTTAATACAATGTAATACTGATACATGTTTAACCTTTTTAACAGTTCATTTTCAGTAATTGTTACTGCTGCAGAAGTATCAAAATGTCATTAATAGTGAGGCAAGTTCCTATAATCCATTGTACACACCAAGAAAAAACATGTAATTTGAGGAACGTCTAGTTGTACTTCAATAGAACTTTTAATTTAGCGCCTAGATGGATCCAATGTGAGATGCACTGAAAGTTTGTTTGATTTTAAAGTAAATTGAACCAGAACAGTACTATCAACATGCTGAAATAAGCTCCAGTAGATCCTCTGAATGTTTGTGATTATGAATGAAGCTGTCCTGTGATTGTCTGTGCAGCAGTAAAGTGTGAATGAAAGCTGTTAACTGTGAAAACAGTGCATACTTATGCCCGTTGTGCTTAATGTAATTAAAGAGGGAGGGACCGAGGCTTCAGGTAGATAATGATCATTTGATTTGTAAAGGCATGAAGACAGTGGCGTATAAAAGCTGCTAATTCACAAGCAGATTTTTATAACCAGTGGCCTTACTGATGCAACACGCAGAGGATTTGTGTCAACCCCTGGAACTGAACTAGGGACCTTTGCATTTGTAGATGAATATTTTAAACCACTACACTCCATCACTCTGGTTGTTCCAGGGTTTTTCCCATACTTTAACACGCTATACTGGGAAACTCATTTTCAAACTTTATTTGGAATAATTCTAATGCACACAACCATAAATTTGGTGGTCTTTTCTAATGTTACCCAAGCTGCCAGGGTTTTTATGAAACACAGACTACACACACACACACAATCCATACACTGCATACAATTTCAACTCATCTGTTGCCTCAGCCTGACTGAAGTGGTATGTGTGCAGCTCATCTGTACACAGGCAGACAAACCAGTTAGACTAGGCTTGCTGTCTCAGCTGTTTGTTCACTACATTAACTGTGAGGTCGCAGTGAAACCATAACAAATGGTTAACATAAACAAATGTGAATAAGTAACTATTGATTAAAAAATATTTTTTATCTTTGTGCTGCCAGACAGCTCTCTTTGAGGGGGAACTGTTATACTGTTCAGTCTCCTTGGATTACAGCAGTAATTTAACACAATTCTCAGCTCACTTAATTTGTTGCCCCACAGCTGATTTCCTTGATTTCTTATGCGTCTTTTGACATTTGAATCAATGAGGTAAAACCAGAAAGTTGTATTCTGGTTTTGGTTTTCTGTCAAGCGAAGTTCCACTTTTTGTAAAGGAGTCTGGTGGCCTTAAAAGTGGCTGTAAAAGTTATGTAGGCATAATCGGGTGTCATAGTAAGGTGTAACTGCCTCTGTTGATGTTCCTTGTGTCTTACTGAAGAACACCCCGGGTAGTCCTTACAAACAAAAATTCAACAAATATGATGACATTGCACCTCATAGAACCAAATTTGCACATCAGTAGTAAAAACCAATCAGAAATCTCCTCCTGTCTTTCATCATGTCATCATTGCTCTGCATTCACACTGGAAGCATGACCAAAGTCTGTGCACTAACAACTCCTGAAACTACAGGAAGTGATCTTCAGACAGTGTTGGGGATGCTACTCTAAGAAAAAGGATGTTATTTACACATAATTTGTTAATTTTTAGTGCGCTATTAACAAATTTAGAAAGGTTACACTTAAAACTTCTAATAACTGCAGTATTACAGACATTGTCATATAACAATCATTTAACAGTTGAGTCATTCCATATAAATTCAGCCAAATATGAAAATTGTCTCTTCAGATTGAGACAATTTTTCTTTTACTCACTTATCTCAACTTCACAGTGAGAACTACCTGTGACGCTTGTGTGTAGTGTAGTGTCTTCATCTGCTGGCTCATACTCATACTGAGCCCTCTGATCCAGGCCAGTGTCAGATCAGAGGACTGTAGCGAAAAGATTTTTTTCGGCATGGAGGGAATCTTGGCTAGATGATAAACTTTCTATTAAACATGTAGGTAAAAAGGAGATCATTCACGTGCTATCACACAGTTGCTGCAGATTTGTCGGCTGCACATCCAGGATGTGAATGCCCACCGCATCCCAAAAGTCCTCTATTGGACTAGACCTGGTGACTGCAGAGGTCATTTGAGTACGGTGAACTCCCTGTCAAATTCAAGAAACCAGTTTGAAATGAGTTGTACAAAACAAGGGTGTTATAGACTTTTTGTAAGTAAATTTTAACTAGTTTAAGACGGTAAACCAAGAAAATAGTTGAAAGATTAACTGATTTAAAAAAATAAATGCAACCCTAAAAATCTGTTGTCTACTCGTTTATCATGAATAACCATCACAAAAACATTTTGAAATGAAAATTATCCCCCACCTATATCAGAAATATTGTTCCTGTTTTTATGTATTCACGCTCGATGTGGATGTGCTATTGTTCGGTTTCATCGCCTGCTTCCTCTCCTCGCCCTGTGCAGACACTGTGTGTGAGTATGAGGTCCAGTTCCACCAACGCCTGGAGCAGGAGCGTGCCCAGTGGAACCAGTATCGCGAGGCGGTGGAGAGGGAGCTGGGCGAGCTGAGGCGCCGGCTCTCCGAGGGTCAGGAGGAGGAGAACCTGGAGGATGAAATGAAGAAAGTATGTCTGCTACGTGCATTTTTCAAAGTTTTGTCTGCTCCCTTAATTTCTGCTAATATGGAATCTTAACTTTCTGAAGTTTGTTTGTTTCCTCTCAAGTCTCTCTCTCTCTCCCCCCCCCCCCAAAATAAATAAAAAAAATAAAAAAATAAAAATACAAGATGGATACCAGAGAACAGAACGCAATGTCCCAGATGCTTCGGCCAGCTGGACTCCTTCCTGTGTCTTAAGCAATACTGAGTCTTGCAGGCCAGTTCCAAAATTCATATCAGAGCTTTCAAGTTTCACACTGCTCATGGCTGGGACTGTGTGTCATTTGTTGTCAGATGCATTTTCAACTGTGTTTCATTGCCAGGAAGAAAAATTCATCCAAACGGTAGCATTATTTTCACATGCTGCAGTTTTGACTGGCTGTCTTAAAGATCTGCCCATGCTTAGTAAAAATGGAGTGAGGACTGCTGGCCCTCTCCCTCACCCACGTTCTAAGAGACATCTTAATTAAGACAGGGAAACATTTTTAAGAAGAGCTCTGTAATCAAGATCTGTGCTGCTGTTGTGATTTAAAAGTTTTATTAAGCCATTTGTAGCTGCAGAGGAAGCTGTGAAATCTGATAAATATCTCCCAGTGATGAGAGTTCAGTCATTGAGGTGAAGAGTTGGTAATAATTCTTCATTTATTGTAACAAGGTTTTGGTTAACAGTGCAAATGAATGTGTTTCAAATCTCTTTTTTAACATTAAAATATATGTTATCATATTTGTAATGTCCAAATTCATCAACAAATCTTTGTGACTTCAGAGGAATAACATCCCAACTTGGGAGTCGTGATCATCTGAGGAGCACATAGCTGCAGGAACATGCAAATCTTTGAATTGTTGATCATCTGGTTGGATCAGATTATGGACACATTTGCTTTGAGCCCTTAAATGTCTAAAAGCTGAAGAGCTGAAAATAGCTAAAACTCAAGGAGCTGATTTATTGGAACAAATTAAAGCTAATTTTAAATGACCTGGAGGCAGGTATGTTTTCCTAAAATATTACTGTGTTCTTTAGCGTGATACAAATAAGCTGATGTTTTAGGCTTTATTTGCATTGAAGTTCACGAATTTAGGTGTTGTACTTTGTATTTCCTGTTGATTGGGTATTTTTTCTATATTGTTTTGTGTATTTGTGTGTGTGTTAAGTGTCTGTGAAACTACTGTGGATTTGTACAGTCTTAGGAAACAGGTTCATGATTTACCAAATTGAACAAAAATGTATCAAAATAACAACAAAAACTAAAAAAAATAATCATCCAGCCTCTCAACACTCCATCTCTGGTTCTTCTTTTATCATCTACATGTACAGATCTAACTAATGATCTGCTGTTTAAAGGAAATAATGTTTCCAGATGTTTCCATGTGTGCACATTTATAATTATCTTATGCAAATTATTTTGAAGGCCCAGGAGGATGCAGAGAAGCTGCGTTCCGTAGTGATGCCTATGGAGCACGAGATCGCAGCCCTGAAGGCCAAACTGGCCACAGCCGAGGAGAAGGTGAAGGAGTTGGAGGCTTCGAAGGTTAGTCAGCAAGAAATTGATGCTTTTGCGTTTTGTTTTTGTTTTTTGCTTTTATTTAAATAGGTTTCAGTCCCCCATAAAGGGGAGAATCACAAAAATTGTAATAAAGACATTAATAACTGTTTATTTTTAAGCTGTGAAATAATTTCTAAATAACTTTTGGGGGGGGGGAAAGCACAGACTTTGGTTTGGTAAGATAACGGATAATTGTTGCTTTAAGTAAACTCTGCATGTGCTTAGCTGGACATCTTATTAAGCACTCTGTAAGTGAATTTAATTTGAAATGGCTCATTATGTCAATAAGCACAGCTTGCTTTTTAAACCAGTTTATCTTCAGTATTCAGTATTGAGAGTGTTCTTCACTGTTTTCAATATTGGCCAGTTGATTAATCGATTGAGCGTTTTTGTTCTCACTAGTCGGCAATAGAAATACTCTGTGGTTAAAAGAATCATTCATACTTTAAACCTGAGGCGTGAAAGACAGCTGTGCAAATCAGGGCGGTGCTGCAGTAAAGTGATGTAGGTCCTGAGTGGGTGTATGTCAGCTGTAACTGCTCGACCGGAGGGATGCATAACCTGCACCATCTGTAAAGCACAGATGTGTGGACGCTAATATACAAGGAAGGACGGCTACTGCTGCTGCTAGCACTGCTAATGTTGACTACCCTAGGCCAAACTATTATTATTTTTATATAAAAAACAGTCATGGACTGTGTGCGTGTGTGCTATCGTATACATGGCATCACAAATTTCAGCGACATTTAAAACACTGTTTGATTAGTGACGCTTTTGATTAATTGTCTTAATGGCTCATTTTTATGTGGGCAGTGTTTGACCTCGTCTTTTCTCAGTGTTTTCAGACTAATTGATTTTGATTGGTGTTTTCTTTCGTTTTTACCTTGGAGGGTCCCTAATTTGCACTCACATAAAAAGTGAGATTTTTATTTAGTATACAGTAGCAAAAAGAGAAATGAAATTGTACAGCACCTGTAATAAGTACTCAGCAGTCAAAGGTGTGGAAAAAAAACCCCCAACAACTGCCAGTTGAAATTTTCATACACAGGGTTGGCTGTGGTTGCTGTATGACTGCTGTACTCTTACTTATCACTGGCTCTGCAGTTTCCACTGAGTCTATGGAGTATTTCAGCTTCTTATGGTCAGACGATGTAATTCCAGTTTATTTGAGCCTGTGTTATCTCCCGTTGATGCAGCTGTTGTGTCTCTGTGGCTCATCCTAGCTTTACTCTTCTCACATCTGTCACAGAAATTCAGGGAACAGAAGTTACTGATTCAGGACAAATAAAGAAAAAAGAAAAATCCCTATAGCTTTCGAAAGTGTTTGAAAGGGGGGTGAGAATGCTGAAAAACCAACACGTTTCTCACCCAGTTGAAGAAATTGAGCTCCATATCTGCTGGATATGTCCGCTGACAACAGTAGCTTCAGTTAGTAGATTTGAATTTGTTTTGACAAAATGGACTTTTTATTTGATTTCTGGTGTTCAGCTAAAATTGTTGTAACCATTAGACTCTCAGCTCCTGTTTATATTCCAGGATTTTTTTATGTGCTCTCAATCGTATAAATTATTTTTCTCGTTGTCTTTCACAGGTCAAGGAGCTCAATCACGTTCTGGAGGCTGAGAAGTCGTGTCGTACGGACCTGGAGATGTATGTCGCTGTGCTGAACACGCAGAAGTCCGTCTTGCAGGAGGATGCGGAGAAACTACGGAAGGAGCTTCATGACGGTAATTTCTTGTGGAAATTGCTTGATGAATTAAAAAAATTAGATGCTTTGGGAAGTCATATCATGCCAGCAGTCACACAACAGCTTATCTCAAAGGTCCTTGTATTGCTAAAGGCAGGGTGGCCCTCAGTCATTAAAATGTTCCGAAAACACTTTACTAATAAAAGGCTTTCAAAAATAGTTGATTATTTTAGATTAACTTTGGAAATGTGTTGTTTTTTTTTTTTTTTTTTTTTTTTTTTCATGCCTGTTTTTCTGCATGCAGTGCCGCTTTAGTTGCGACTGCATCGTTAAGACAAACGTGCTTTTCTGGAAACGAGCTAAACTCCAGCAGCAAAGCACCGAATCACGATTAACCTCTCTCAAAAACAGCGCTGAATGATTTAGTCTGCTGTAATTAGTGAGCGTGCGAGTCTGGACATATCAGCTGGACAACTTAAAGGTAACATTAAAGAAATTCATGAACTTTACCTGGTTAAAATAATAGTTCGACTGTCTCTGTCAATGTGTTTTTATATATGTAAAACAGTAGCTGTAGCCTAATAACCTACACTCACTGGACACTTCATTAGGAACGTCTTGTTATTTCTGGGTTGGACGCCCTTTTGTCTTCAGAACTGCCTTAATTCTTGGTGGGAGAGAGCAACACAGTGTTGGAAACACTCCTGAAAGATTTCAGTCCATATCGACATGATAGCATCACAAAGCTGCTGCACATCCATCCATCCATCCATCCATCCATCCATGGATGGATGGATGGATGGTAGATTTCTCATTCCACCACATCCCAAAGATGCTCTGTTGGATTGAGAGCTGGTGACTGTGAAGCTCATTTGAGTACAGCGAATTACTTTAAGTTCACTGCATTACCACGTGTAAGGGGTACAGTATGGTCAAAAAGGGATAAACATGGTCAGCAATGGTGTTTAAACGATGCTCAGAAAATATCCCCCACACCATTACACCACTAACAACCTCAACTGTTAATACAAGGCAGGATGCATCCATGCCTCATGTTGTTTCCTACAAATCCTGACCCAAACATCAAAATGTCGCAGCAGAAATCGAATCTCAACAGACCAGCCAACATTCTCCCATCTTCTGGGTCCAATTTAGGTGAGGCATGTAAATTTTAACCCCAGGTTCCTCAGAGAGGCACGCAGTGGCATCTTCTGCTGCTGTAGATCATCTGCTTCAAGGCTCCAGATTTATTGTGCATTCAGAGATGCATTTCTGCATACCTTGGTTGTAACGAGTGGTTATTTGAGTTACTGTTGCCTTCCTACCAACTTGAAGCAATCTGTTTTTTTTTTCTTCCCATATTTTTGCCCCGAGGACTACCACTCACTGGATATTCTCTGTTTTCTGCACAATTTTCTTTCAACCTAAAGATGGTTGTGTGGGAAAAATCCCAGCAGATCAGCAGTTTCTCAAGTACTCAGAGCAGCCCATCTGGTTCAGAGTCACTTAAGCCAGCTTCCTTCCTTATTCTGATGCTCAGCTTCAACTTCAGCTGATCATCTTGACCATGTCCGCATGCCTACATGCATTTAATTACTACAGTGTGATTGGCTGATTAGATATTTTCATTAACAAACAGTTGAACAGGTGTACCTAATGAAGTGGCAAGTGAATATGAGTTGTTAAAAAGTCAAAAAAATACAAACTTCCCCAGTGCTCATATTCAGCGAACAGTCATGTTGATGACAGAGGTGGCAAAAACACTCTCTTAATTTTTCCTCCTTTTACCGTAAAGAACAATATTCAAAAATGTTTATGAGTCATCCACTTTATAAAAAAATGATAAATAGCCTGAGATGTCCCTAGAAAAATAAACCGCAGTAATATATTTCAGCTTTTCCACATTCAGTGACTCTGCTCTAAGTATGTGCACATTACAACTGAGAGATGGAGTGGAAAAGTGGAAAACCTTCCCATGCGGAGTTTTTGGATGACTCCAATAATTGATCTTATTCATAACTTCACTGCAACTTTCACACTTAGCAAGGCCATCCAGCTGGAAGGCCAACTCTGATCCTCTTATAGGCCGGTTCTGGCCCCTGGACTGCTTGTTAGACAACCCTGATTTAGTGCTTGCAGTACAACGATGGAAACCCTGAACATGATGAAGCATGATGAAGCAGAAAGGTTTTCTAGCCAGGCTGCTCGTTGTTGTTGTTGCTTGAGAGTTATGATTACGCTCTGGTTAAAGCTGGTGCTTGGAAACGCTTGCAGAGCAAACTGTGTTGTAGCTTAAAGGTGTTCCTTTGTTTGCTTTTCACATTAATAAACGTTCACAAGCTCCTTTTACCATTGTGTTCATTTTGAACTGATGCCAGTTTGCATTTCCATTGCAAATTTGGTCTTAAATTTGATTTAAAATGCCAGTAAAAGGGTTTTAAATGTTTTGTATATGACTTTTGTATAGCTGCAGACTCCATGGAGGACGTGTGTGTGTGTGTGTTCATGTTTAGTCTGCAGCTCCAACTTTGTCTTTCGCCTTTCTCTCTGCTGTTTATGACCTCAGTCTGTCACAAGCTGGAGTTGGAGCGGCAGCAGCACAACCAGCTGAAGCACACATGGCAGCGAGCTAACGACCAATTCCTGGAGTCTCACCGCCTCCTTATGAGGGACATGCAGAGGATCGAGAGCGTGCTGTCATCAGAACAGCTCCGCCAGGTGGAGGAGATGAAGAAGAAAGACCAGGTACATAACATAACCTAACAACAGTGTCTCTGCAGATAGTTTAAAGAGGCTTGGCTTTCCACTTGGGAAGCATAATCGTCTTTGCAGTGGTTAGAGTTAATAGAATTATTGGGTTTATCTCCTGTGGAAGTGGGGAAAGGCCAAACAGGCCAGAAAAAGTTGCCAAGAACAAGAGTGTTCACAAACTGTAGCTCAGAGGACTAAAAAAAGCCCAAATCACAACCTTTTAAAGGAGGTCTTTTATGTGTTTCCTTATTTTCTGTTAAATATATACATTTATAAATCTGCATGCTGATGTTAAGCATGGCCAACATTTCAAATAATGAGGCTCAGATTGCTCTAAACACTCAGTTTCAGGCAGTTTGTTTCAGAGAGAAGATAAACTGAGCGTCTGCACCAAATACCAGTACTACATCATGCAAAGCTACTCCAGTAATTAAAACATGGAACTGGGAGTGATCATAACAGTCCATCTTTAATAGTTTTGGGCAGTTTGGGTGGATGCTGATGTAAGGTTTTGAGGATGCTCTTGGTCAGGACCTGGCTCCGACTTGCAGCTTCCACGTTTAAAATCAAGCGTCTGTTAAATGTCTCACCTCACTCTGTGCCTTTTGTCACTAAAGCAGGAATAGTCCAGATAGATCTAGAACCAGTTGCATGTGTTTCAACTAGAAAAATGGCTTTGGTGACAAAAACGTTACGCGGGCACGACGCCACAAAGCTGCTGAGCCAACACTGTTGCGAGTTGCCGTAGGAACAAATTCACCATCGCGTCTCAGATTCTGTCCACCATGACGCACGAAAGCAGAAGTGGTTGTGCGCCATCACGGGCACCGTGTTGTTGAAAAAGAGGTAGTGGAGTCCACACTTTGGTAAAACTGAGCTGCTTTTGGCACCACATAAAAGACTAGCTGCGTACCGGGCTGTGGTGGTCATGTGTAGCACACTATAGGATTTAGGACTGTGCTAAGGAAACAAATATATCCTTATAACAATAAAATGTGATGATGATGTCAGTAAAACTCAGTATTATTTTATTTATTAAGGTAGAATCTAAGATTTTAAAGGAGTATCTATTTAAGTGTCCACTGAGTGGGAATTTAATCGATGTAAAACAAAACGTGACCAAACATTTTGTCTCTCCATCCAAGGAGGATGACGAAAAGGAGCGCCTGAGTCAAGTGAAGGACCTGCAGGAGGACAACGGAGGAGACAACACCGAGCCTTTGGAGGACTTATTCCTCGGCCTCAGCGTCGAGGAGGTAAGAGCAGAGAGTAATCTGATACGTCCCCACTGAGCAGTCTGTAATTGGATCAGTCTGTAATATATTCGCTTTGAGCCATCTTCACATTCAAGTACCAGGTTATGTGTTGTGTCTCTATCGTTCCTAAATTGGGGAGAAATGGCAACAATATCTTCTGAGAAATATACATTTATGATTCAGTTTAATCTCAGTGTAAATATTTGATCTGATTGCACGATTTCAGTCATCCCCGTTTCTGAAAAACATGTTTACTGAGACATGCTGCAAGTCTTGTTGTAACGATGTCATGGTTTTATGCCTTCGGCCTACATCAGCTGTGCAGACACTGGAATAAGTTTGAATCTGGATTTCGTTTTGCAGTTTTCGAGAGTTGTGATATATAGTTGATCTGCTTTTGGAGAGAATCTGTTGGACGTCAGAAATTTATGATCACTGTTTAAAGTTTGAGCAGCTTGAGCTCGTTTTCCAAAGACCTGTCAGATTGTCGGGAAACTTGTCTTCGCATTAGTAACGTTTTACACATTGCAGCCTGGCTGATCTTAAAGAAAATGGTATTAACTTTGCAGCAGAATCAGGACAGAATCATGATAAAAATCAGCATCTGAGCCATCTTTATGTTGTTGGAGCTGTCGGTGGATAAAGTGCCAGTTGACTGGTCCGTGTTGTAAGGCCGCTCAAAAATCAGACTTTAAAATCACGATGTTGTCAATAGTCTCATGTTTTTCCAACATGATTATTTATTTACTTCCCAAACTGCTCAGCATGTGAAATGCCACATTGCTGCTGTTCAAGGAACTTAATTTTTTTTGGTTTATTTTTAACTTGTAAAGCCGAACACAAATTTTGGAACAGGAAATGCTGGCAAAAACAAACAAAAGAGGAAGATCACACCTCTGATCATCAGGTTTCTCACTTCATCTTGCACTGGGAAACTAAACCAGTAAAACCAAACACTCACCCCCTTAAAAAGTGAATAATTAATAAGCAGCAAAGCTACAGAAGAAAAATGATTATAGAGTGATCGTCCAATGCCAACTCTCATTAAGAACGAACCAGAGAAGGAAAGCAGGTTAATAACAATGATAGAAAATGACCAGATGCTGAATATGTGGCAGACTTGGGCACATGTAACAATGAACTTTAAAAATGGCAACATTTTTACAGGGGATTTCCTTGAACTTGAGTTATTATTCAAATGAAAATGAATAAATAAATGTGGATCAAAAGAGGTGGAGGCAGGCGGGGATCATGTTGTTTTTGCTAGCCAGCAGCCACCACGTGGAAAGGTCTTTGGGTGCGGATGTGGGCACTGAGAGGCCCACGCTGTGAGAGACTCGGGAGACTAACACATTAACCACTGGCGTGTTACTGTAAATTATATATTTAAAAGGTGAATTAAAAAATATTGTCTGCCCAGCTTCATCCCACTTATTAAATAAATCTGATACTATGAAAGATTTTTTCCTGAGGATGCCTTTTTCCGCTTTTTCCTCCAGCCCCATGTGAACCACAGCGCCCACGGCTCTATGCACTCCTTAGACACTGATGTGGTGACGGGCAGCCCCATGGACCCTTACAAGGACAACTTGCGGCGAGTTCAGTCCACAGACAGCCTCGGTTCCTCGCTGTCCATCCAGCAGGGTCTTGGCGGCCAGAACCACAAGGCCAAATCAGCAGGCCACTTGGACGAGTCGGACTTTGGGCCCTTGGTTGGGGCCGACAGCGGGGTGACAGACAGTAGTTTTGGAGAGACTGCTTCAATTAGCTCAATCAAGCTGCCGACAAGTCACTTCCTGCTGACTAAAGACCAGGAGAAGGCGATCAAAGCCATGACCCCGGAGCAGGAGGAGACGGCGTCGCTGCTGTCCAGCATCTCTCACGCCCCAGACACCGCTTACTTACCGCCTGCCGGCTACCGGCTCGTCAGTGACAGCGAGTGGAACCTGCTACAGCAAGAGGTGCTTAACCAAGGCTTTACAACAGCTTTAATGGTCTGAGCACTGCAGGGGTCAAAGGTGGTTCAAAGGGTTTAATGGTTATGACTGGACGTAACATTTTTACAGCGCAAAAGGTTTTTACTTCGCTTTAGGATCTTTACTTCCTGACTAGTTCTTCTTTGTACCTCAACATTAGAGCAGCATATGCACGTTGTAGTGCAATTTTGAGTGTTTCTCATTTTTATTTACCAGCATTTAGAACAGAAAACACATTTTCCTCCTTTTTCTTCAAATTTTTCCCCAAAGTTGGGAAAGCTTAAAGTGGCTTAAAGTAAAATGATGGTGATACAGAAATATAATAAACGCTAAACACAGTGAACATGGCTGACTAAATGTAGTAGTAAAACAAGAACAGCAAATATCAGATGAGTAGTGTGGCCATGTCACCTGCTTGATATATTTTTAATGGTCTTAATTAAGTTTCTTAGTCTGTTGTGGCTCAATAGTGCAGTCGTTTACACAGCCGCCTAACGAGTGAAAGATCCCTGGCAGATCCCTTTGGGCATTGAAGGCCATGTGGTGTAAAAATCTGCCAAGTCATACATGAAAGCTACCAGCCGTGAAGCGACCCCTCGTGAATAAGGGAGTAGCTGAAAACAGCTTCCGACTGAATCATCCTGACGGATATCAGGAGATCAGCCTCCTTCTCTTAGCGCTTTCCCTCTGCGAAATCTGCAAGACTCATTTTTTCATGTTTTCAGTCATAACAAAGTCTTAATTTGTTACATCCTAGAGCTGAGCATCGTTATTGAGTATTAAGTAGTTTTTTATCACATGGGTTTCTTGTTTATCTGTCGCCAGTTGAAAAATGCTGGCAGGAAGCTCGGACGAAGGTGCGACATGTGCTCAAACTATGAGAAGCAGCTTCAGGCCATCCAAGGACAGGAGGCTGAGACGAGAGATCAGGTTCGGGTTTTTCTTTTTCATGCCATTGCGTTTTAATCACATCAAGCAGATATTTAAGGTTTGACTTGTAATGTTCATCAGAGGGGTTCTCATTTCTTACTGTCCTACAGGTAAAGAAGCTGCAGGTGATGCTACGTCAGGCCAACGATCAGCTGGAGAGGACGATGACTGAGAAGCAGAATTTGGAAGATTCAGTCAAAGCAGGAAACGAGGAAACCGCTGCTAAGGTCAGGACCACGTGTTCTCTTGGTTCTGATGTCCGTGTGGATTTAAAGACTTTAAACCCCCACTTTTTATTCCAGTGTGTCATACTCAAGTCAGAGTTGATGACATTAGAATAATTACTGTAGAAAAATCATTCGTTTGGAGTCTAATGGGATTTATTTGAGTTGCTTTTAGCTATGTTTGTTCATTCGTTGGTTAAATTTGGTGTGAGGTCTGGCGGATTATTTCTCAGAGACAAAGCCAACGGAGCAGAGATTTGGCCAGTTTCCACATTTACCACATATGCAAATAAACATAATAAAATATTCATGCCTTAACCGCTCACGTACGCGTTACTTTAATTGGATTTCCATCCAGCCATCGTCTTGGAGGCTATCCCAGCTGCCATACTCAAGAAAAATCTAAAACAGCTCAAGCAAGTTCTTCAGTTTAGTTGTCCCAGCATGGCACTGGTGCTGTGCCGAGCTTTGTAAACACACGTCGACATGCGGTGGCTGTGTGAGGTCAGCTGGAGGCAGTGCCAAAAACATAACTTTAGATTAAGTTATAATAGATTAAAAATTTCTTTCTAGCAAAAACTTCCCACTGCACAGTCTGTCTGAGCTTATTGGTAGCGTTTTTCCACACTTCTTCCTCTTTGTGGTGAACAACACTTTTAATCTCTTTCCTGTTCAAGCCAACTTTTCAGCCAGTCAGCACTCAGCGTACACGTAGCTGCTGTTTGTTTTGTGTTTTTGTCTTTTTGAGACTTCAAAGATGACACGACGCACGCTCAATGAAGGGTAGCCATCTAGAGGGGTGAGGGGAAAGAGAAGAGAGCGTTGTGTGCTCTGCTGCACATCCAGTAAGTGGTGCAGAGAGTTGTCAGATCCACTCATTATCCACAGGCTTTCACCATAGCCACAGATGACGTGTGCTTCATCGCTCAAATTAACATCGTTGTCCACCCGAAAAAAGCCCTGAAGCCAGGTACAGTCACATGCTTGTCCAGGAAGTGTGAGTTTAGCAACATCTCCATGAAACACATCAGACACGCTTGACAGTGTTAGCTCTCCATCCGTCTTACTGTAAAAGGACCCATTTTCTCAGCTAACAATGGCTGGAACAGTTTATCTTCTTATCTCCTACTCTTGGCTTTTCCCCGATATCTCCTCCGGAGCAACTCGGGAAGTATTCAGTAGGATCAAATCACAACAGCAGTCACTTTTAGACACTTTGTATTATCAGGTAAACACCATTTGAACCACGAGTAAACCTGCAATGTGAGAGCAAAGGGCTCTACTCAGAGGTTACAGGCTACCACTCAGAATAGTGGGAGAAAGAAAATGTATAAAAAGTAAAGCAAATTATTAAATTAAAATTATGGATCTACTCAATAAATACGTATTAATATAAGTTAATAATATCTTCAGAAAGCAACTTTTGGAAACAGGAACTCGCCGAAGTAATTAAAAACTAGTGACCCTGATTTAGGTGATTATTATAAGAAAGACGAAAGGTCTACTGTGAACAAGGCAACTGGAGGCCTTTGGTGAAGCTAGTTATTCAAATTATTTAGTGTCACCACCAAAAATGTTGTTACTGTGTAATTATTAAGGCCGTCTTCCTCGGTGTAGTGCATTGGCTCAGTGGAAAGGAAGTTTAGTACTTCCGAACAGTAGTGTGTTGATACATGTGAAGGTGCTGGCATCCTGTGTGATAAAATGGGCACCATCTGTGTGCAGGTGGTGCAGCTTTGCCTCAGCACTGCTTTGATGTTTAGATGACTTGCCACAGCGGGAGGAGAAATAACCGGCAATGAAACGGTGAAACACAGTTTTTAACAGTTTAGCACCGTGCACCTGCTCAATCCAGGGCACCCATACTGACTGTTGCTGTCGCTGTAGTTGATTAATATTCATTCACAGATCCACAGAAAGTCAGTTTCATACGTGTTTGTCTGTTCATGTACAAGATCCAAAAAAGTCCTAAATTTAACTTCTGTATACCTGTAGACGCCCCGCTGACCAAATAAATCCTATACATCTGTACGTCAATATGCCCAGTCCCATCAGCTCTCTCATCTGTTACCAGGGCAACAGCAGCATGGCCAGCAGTTGTGAGCCTGAAGCTTTTAGCCTCTTTATTCAATCCTGTGAGTGCGATGACGAGAAGAACCACAACTGCATCTTTGATTTTACAACACTGAGGTGGTGGTTTACAGGTGGTTTGCAGAGCTGGCAGTTATTTCTCTTAACACTTATTGCTCTCTGTATAATTTTCTTGGGTAATTTAACAGACATTACAATTATAGGGGAAATTTTTGGTATGACTCTATTGAGCCCTGAGGAACACCTCAGTCGGTCAGTCACTAATTTTTTCTGCGAATAGTCGCCTCATGGTGCTGTATATTAAACAAACTCTGGGTTGTCTTTGTAGAGCCTACGATGTAACCAACGTAAGCGGCCGACATTGTAACCGGCGTTTATGCTTGTGCTGTTGCATTATATATTAATTACCCAGTGGTTACTGGCCTTTTTTTGCCCCTCTCAGTAAGCGAGAGCCCAGCCACCTGTAAGAGGAATCTTATCCACTATCTGATTCCTTCAGTATCCATTGCTTGTGGCTACAGGTGTAACTGAATCAACTGACATCTTCGCCTTTATTCTGCTCTCTCTTCACCACAACACATCTTCATCAATGCTACACCCATCAGTCTGCTGCTTACCTGCTCCATCCCTCCCTCACTTGTGAGGAACACCCTGGGAGATACTTAAACTCCTCCAGTTAAAGCAGCAACTCATCCTTTTCCCTATTCTGCCTGAGAATCATCACTGATCACATGATTGGGTAGCCTCTGCATCGAAATATGTCTGCATGCATCTAAAGAGGCGTTCGCACACATTTGAATTAAATAAGTGATAGATATGGCTTAACACTTGTTATATCGAGTGCATTTCCTTTGTTTACTTAAAACTGCAGCGTCACTGTGAACGGCACGTTTTCCAACTTTCATCCCTGCTTAATGAGTAATAACAGCCCTGCAGATATTCTGCATATTGTGGCCTCACAAACACGTTGACTGAACTAATTTCTACACTTAGATTTTCCACCCGTGTTACCAGTTAGGCTCTGTAGAAATGAAGCATCCAGTATGTCCAAAACGTTTACACATCACTAGATGTCACTGGTTCAGACAAATATTTTCGCACTTTAAGAAAACATGAGAGCGGTAATGTAGAAAAGCTTTCCCAGAATCTGCTTCATTACTTAACTGTCTCTGCCCAAATGAGAAAAGGGAAGCTTTTAAGTGTCGAGTGGAGCGGATGTGATCGCCCTTCATTGTTAATATCCTCGAACACACTGTTGTTGCTAACTTGCCCACAGATGATGTGTGATAACGGATTCTTTCTTATCTAACGCTGCTGCTCTGCACACCCCAGGGTGCAGCTCAGGCCTCCAGCAAATCAGTTCAACAAACTGTGCAGTCATGCTCTCTGCACACTCATATGCACTTTTCAGAGAGTCATGAAAATGCACTGTCTGCCTTCAGTATGAAGGTGTTTTATTGGGTTTACTTCTAAAAAAATGCAGTTTGTAGGGAAGGCAGTTCTCTTGCAGAAAGTACTGGAGAAATATACTTTTTTTCTATGTTCTTTGAGATCTGATTGCATTTGTGCAGCCATCCTGCAGCGTACCTGAGAGCGGCATGTTGCTTCTGTGTTGCCCCTACATGAACCTCATTATTTTCTTGTTGCAGAACGTGTCACATTGACCACCAACTTAAAAAAAGAAAAATAAAGTGTGTGAATGCATTTTGTCACTTCTAAAACCAGAAGTTAATTTAGTGCAGCACTGCCCACAGCTGGCTCGAACTAGTGTACTAGTTCCTGAACCTATGATCTCACTATTTCAAGTAATTTGTGCCCTATGCAGAACTATTGCATGTCTGTGTAACTGTGGCCTGCTTGCTTTTGTCTTATTGATGGGTTGTTTTTTTGTGTATGTGTGTTGTAGGTATCTGGCCTCATGCAGAGAGTCCAGGAATCAGAAACACTGCTCAGCACACTACAGCAAGCCTTCAGTGACGCTAAGAGGAACACACAGGAACAGATGGTGAGCAGCATATTCATTTGTGAGCTATGTATCGCCTGTTCCTGCCAGCTGTGTCTGGATCTTAATATCAGCTCTGGCAAGTCTGCACATATTTAAATAAATGCTCAGATAACAGACTCTCGGTCACTTATTCGACGTGTTGCCAGACTGAATTGCACCTCAGAGGCACTAATGATTGGATTTGCATTTTTCTGCCTCTACAGAAGTAACTTCACTGTTCCTCCCACACTACAAATATTTGCTGATGTGACAGAGCTTGTGGCTAAAGAATATTTTGCTTCAGTGTCAAAAAGTTGCTCCTGTCTGCAGCAAAAGTGCACAGCTGAAGAAAATGTTATTTGCATTACTAAGTAAAATTAAAGAGTGTTAAGTCAGCACTGAATCCTAAGAAGACCCAATATTTGTCCAATCAAAAACAGTGCTAAGCTCCAAAATATTTGATTTAAAACAGTCAAAAACACAAAAATATTAAAAGTTTTAGTGTTTTTGAAGTACAGCACAACATTTATCAGTTAAACTAACCAGTTAACTACCCAATGGCTTATTTAATAACCAGTTTAATCTTGAATGATTAAGAAATGTCAGCACATGAATATTATGTATTCAAGGTGTTAATTGGTCACAATTGAGCAGGCTTTTACTGGATATTTGTCCAACGTGACATCCAAAAGGTTGGATCAGATATAGGTGACAATCTGCCGCAAGCAGCAACAGTTTGGTGGTATTTCACATCCGCTGCACCAGCAGCTTTTATTTGTGTATTTGCAGTATTTTTTTTTACTTTACTGCAAACTGTGGTCACAGTGAACTCACAAGACTGAAAACAATTACGCTTTTTCCTTTCTGGTTACATTGGTTCTGTGTATTGCTTGCTGGGAACCTTTTACGACACTTAGGTAACAAACATGTTGTCGTTGTCTTGATTGACATGATTTATTTTCTGCTCTCTCTGTCAGCTCCACGTGCCGGCGTGTGTGTGTGAGGATGTGCAGGACACTGAGACGCTGGTGTGACTGTAAATAACAGCAGTGTGTAGAATCCCGGTGAAATTAGCACTTGCAAAGCATAACGAGCGCAATGAGCTTGTACTGTGGCAAAGCATCCATCTGACCCTCCACAGTTCACAAGAATCGCTGCTCCTCCTACAGCATCGATCAGATTTTAGAGACCTTGGCATAAATGATCACCCAAACTGTGCTCAAGATAGAATTAATTGTTGACAATACAGCCAACCAGTGACAAAAAGCCTTACCACTGTCTCTCTGCATTTCCCACCTTACAATAACCAGTGAATTATGATGGATCCTGGGCCCGTTGTCATTTATTACTGCACTTTATTCTCTCTAATAAAACCCAACTCAATAAATTTACATTATTTGATGTATTTATGGTTGATTTTATTTTATGAAGAATTGCTGAGTCTCAGACTGGTGTCGCTTTAAACATTAAGACTGACTGAGTCCATGTCAGCAGATAAAATTGAATCAGTGCGTATTTCTTAGTATAATATCTTTTAATGAACTGAATCCGGATGTTAATTACAGTCTTGTTAGTTTCTTCTTTCGTTGCCCTTATCAATGCACCGTGTGTGGAGCGGAGATGACAAGAGACACAAGAAAGTAAAGTGAAATATTGTGCGAGGTGCTGACAGCATGTTATGTTACTGTCAGCGCCCTAAAAGCTTCCTGCAAGTGTTACATGAACGTGATGAGAGTGTGAGAGAAAGCATTGTCTCATCCGAGCCTGTCACTCACGTTGATTCACTTTGACCACAGTTTGCAGTTAATTAAAAAAAACATACAAAGAAAAAGTGTAGCAGGTGTAAAATATCTCCACACTGATGTCTAGTTGTTGTTAGCTCTCTGCTCTGTTAGCCCATGGTCAATGATTTCTAGGTCGGGATCAGACTCATATCCGATCCACATATTGGAGCATTATATTCACAAGTGGAAACCCTGAAAAGTCATTAAATCAGCCCGATGTTTTCCCATATTGCTTTTTTTTTTTTGTGTAAGTAAATTTGAATAAACATGCAACATCAGTTGTCGTCCCTACCTCCGTATTTGCAGTTGAGATGCAGTTATTTAGTCTTCTATAAAGGAAATTTAAATACATCTGTCCGAATCTACATATCAGCTCCTGTACAGAGGTTTTGCAAAAAATCTCTGTGTCAATATGTGAAGTGCATTTCTAAGCAAGGTACATTTCTTCTCCGAGCTTATTGTCCAAAAGGAAAAGCAGGAAGCACCTGAAACAGAAGCATTCTCAATAATGAATGTGCCTCTGCAAGCTGCATCAGCGCAGGCATCAAAGTAACTTGAAAGACTTTGCAAACAGTCTTGTCTTCGACTGATGAGAGGCATCCCCTTTGCTTCTGGTGGCTTTGATGTGCAGAAGTCGTAGCGTCATAAATTAATTTATAGAGCTACACCTAGCTGAATATTAGCTCTGCAGGGAGATTTAGGTGGAGGTGGCTCTAAAAGCAGACACTGGCCTGTGAGTCACTCTTCACATATGTTCACGGGCTGATGGTTTCATATGGCAGGAGGCGCCATAAAAAAAAAAAGTGACACATGATGAGAGGATTTATTCTTTGTGCTTGTTTGTTTCAGGCGGTGCTGCTGAAGTCCAGGGAGCAGGTGGCAGATGAGCTAAGTCGACTACAGAGAGATAACGAGAGTCTGCAGGGGAAGCACAGGCTGCATTTAGAACTGCAGCAGCAAGAAGACTTCCAAATGCCCACTACTGTTCAAGTACGTGCAGCCTCAGCACCATCCATAACACTTCAGTGGTACTTATTGAAATGTGTCTGAAAGGAGGCGTCCAAAGACCAGTTTAAAGTCTAGATTTGTAGTTTTGTTTACTCTGAAATTATTCATGGTTATAGCTTTTATGCAGTTCTTTACACTTGGATAGACTTTAAGTAAAAAAACAAACAAACAAACAGTATTTCTCTGGCTCCTAAAACGAGATCACTACCATCACCTACCATCATGAGCTCTGGGTGATGACTGAAAAATGCAGGGGCAGGGGAAATGAGTTTAGTTTGAAGGGTGGCTGAACTCTTCCTTAGAGATGAGGTGAGGAGCCGGGCATTCAAGAGGGAATAGCGCCGGATGCCTGGATGCCTCATCGTGAGGTGTTTCGGGCATGTCCTACTGGGAGAGGACCCTGGAGGACAACCCAGGATTTGCTAGAGGATTAGAAGAGGAGGCCGGGATGAGGGAAGTTTGCACTTGTGCTTAGATGGAACAACCTTATCACCTGCTCCCATTCGCTGCTGGTTTGCTGAAGACAGTTTCTGTGCAAGGAAAAGTATTGGGTTGAAATCTGAAGAGTCCAGATAGCTCGGTGAATGTTAGTTCGACTGCACTTATTAAACCAAAAGACTAAATAATTAAAACAATCCCCTCCAAAAAATCACCTTGTAAAAATCTGAGCCTGTCTTCGATAGCCCCATATGCAAGCCTTTCTGTTAAGTGCTTTTAGTGGACGATGCTTCTTAATACATCAGCAGGTTGGATGATGCTGCTTGATGTTCAAATCTAAACTTTGTGCCAGGTTTTAAGAAGACAAGTCTGTCTTTATACAAGCATTTTCCTTGTATAAAGTTCCTCCACATTTACGCCGGGTTTCTCCAACTTTTAAGTAAATCATCTCCACCCAGCCTGAGCTGGTAAAGAATACAGATGATGCAGGGTTTAAATATAAAAGCACCTTCACAGCCTGCTGCTCTCGGTCAGTAGAGTCAACTGTTCATTTAAAAGCTGTCGCAGCGTGAGCAGCTCTGTCCGCTCTCTCGCCACAGACAGCGATAAAAGTGACACAGACTGATCCCTGCAGTGAAGCGCTCGGCTAATTGCTTCAGTGGTAACACCTCTGTGGCTCCACCAGCTCACATTCGGTGATTAACAGCAGTGCTGCTTACTTTGAGCTGATCTGATGAGGTGGAAAAAAAGTCTGCTGCACACATAAATCTATTATACGTCCGTGGGCTGCCCTCCCGCCTCAAACACACATCTCCTCCCACACTGTTACTCTCAGCCTCACGCTGAGTTACTCTTCAGCATTACAAAAGAGAGCGGACTCATGTTTTAGCGGAGGCTGATGATCTTGTGACATTCGCAACATGTTGGTGGTTAAAACGTAATCGTTTAAATCTGCTTTGTGAGAGCCAGAACTCCTCCAGTTATAGTAGGTGTGCATTCTTTTTCAGCTACTGTTGGATACCAGAAATCGTGTTAATGTGATGGGCAATTCATTCAGTGGTTTTCCACTTCTAAATGTGCTTCTAAGCATTCATCATGATGCGAGCAGAGGCAGATTTATGCATTCAAAAGCCTCGTGGATATCCATTACTGCAATCGTTAATTTGCACTAACTACTAGTTGGATTCAGTCGCATCGTTTAAATATAAACGTGTCTTATCTCGTAAAAAACCTCGACAATCAGAAACATCTGTAGCACCATCCAGTCAAAAACCATTAACGGAGGGGGGCTGGGAGGAGTGACCCAATAACTGAGTGGTTTTTGAGCGCATACCCCATCAGCGCCACATCAGCTGAGTCTCCTTTTTTGACAGCTGGACGTCTAGACCGCTGCTCTGAGTCATTTAACTGCCCGTTCTCTCTCCCAGCTGTCACATAACTTGCAAATGTAAACAGTCTTAGACGTCAAGCGATGGCTTATGACCATGTACAGGTATCTGTTTTAATCATTCGTGTGTGCTTGGATAAATTTGTGTTCTACAGGTGTTGTTTCGGGTACCTGTCAAATGAGAAATATGATCCAAGAAGTTCAGTAATTTCTCAGAAACCAAAACAGGCCACAGCAGTTTATAGTACTCCAAAAGAGGTTTATAAAACTTGTCATGGTGAAATAGAGTCCTTTCAAACACAATAACTCAGCAAAGTATGGTAGAAATACAGTGTTCGGGTTACAAATTGGCCCCCTGGAGAGTATGCCTCTGTCTGGCTACTACTGAGTAACTCCATATAAAATCAACCAAATATAAAAACAAGTTCCCATCTAACCCAATCAGAATTGGCCCACTTTTTATACACAATAACTTTAGTTTAAGCGAAGCCATGCAGTTGGTTTCCTTCATCCTACATATATCATGTTTTACGTACATAAGAGTGACTGAAATTTTATTTTTTCCAGCATTTTAAGCTCTCGTAACTTAATTTATACAGACGATAGCCATATTTAATATAAAGGCCGAATCAATATTGCAGAGTGTATATATATATATATATTATATTTTTAACAGCAAACTGCACTAATTTAATGTCTGTGACATGAATGGAAGTACGTACTGGTACCCTGGATATTTAAGGTTTTCTGATCATTTCCTGCAGAACAGTCGCATCACATCAGAAGAAAATGTTGTGTATACGACGGAGGTGACGGGGATGTCAACATTGGTGGTTGTAAAGTTATTCGTTGATTCTTCTTCAGGAGCTCCAGGGCCTGGTGCTGCGGTTGCGTGAGGACATGGTGGCGTTACGGACGTCGGCCGATCACATGGAGGAGAAGCTGAAGGCTGAGATCTTATTTCTGAAGGAGCAGATCCAGGCGGAGCAGTGCCTGAAGGAGAACCTGGAGGACACTCTGCAGCTGGAGATCGAGGGATGTAAGGAGGAAATAGGTGAGACTCTGAACGATCAACTTGTGTTTAAATCATTGATCAGCTATAGGGTGTGTATTTGTGTTTTAACTGCTACCTTTTTAAACGATCTTCCGTTTCTGCTTTTTGTTTTTCCCCATTTGTCATTCAGACATCCTGGAAGGTATGATCAGCAGTTTGAACAAGCTCACTTTAGCTGCCTGCATGTGTGTGCGTTGATGACTTAGTTGGCAGACTAATGATGCAGTCAGCATTTAACATGATGCTTTCCCCTCACATGTTTTTAATGTAGTTTTCACAGGCCTAGAGACCAGTTAGCCTCTTTGTAGCAACCTCCAGTCCCCCGACTGGTTGGCAAGTGGTTGATATAGGTTGGTGATTGTGCTGGGTGGTGTACCAAAAAAACCTAAAACGGAAAACATCCACCTTCACGTAAAATTTGTGCCTGACCAAACAAAACATTTAAGAAGATGCAGCTTTTATTTTGAAGGCAAATACTCTCTGCTTAAGGTTTGCGTCACACTTCTCACAATTTCACCACCGCTTGACAAGTAGTTTGCAAAGGTTTGCAGACAAGTCTGCATTTCATTCTATGCAAACTCCTTGTCACCACAACCAAAGCATTTGCAAGGAGGTTTTTGGTGGAGCACCGTGCACGTCCACCGTGCACGTCCTATAGCAACTGCCAACAACCTCCTGCAACCACTTGCAACTGGTCTGAGGATACTAATTTTTCCCTTGTGATTTATGGTTGGTAGATGGTTGCTGACAGGTCTGCGGGCCTGTGTGACTGAGGCCTTATCTGTTTTGTTAAGCTATTTCAAAAATGTACCTTGCTGTGTGTTGACCTTGCGCACCGCCTAGTTTACTGAAACTAGGATGTCTAACCTTCAAGTGTTGTGCAACAAGTTCAATAATCTAGAAGGAATTTAAGTCAATTCAAAAGTCCCATAGGCTGTTTTGGCATTCAATTAAAAAAGTAACAAAAAACATCCAAAATGGACAAAAATCAAATCGTTGACTCAACTCTGGAAATGTTCATTTAACATTCGCCCATAGTGAAAAACCAAAAACAACAGGTATTCAATAAATAAAACCAGTAATTAAACTTGAGCTTCACTGGCCTAGTGTTAGTTTACCGGTGTTTCGACTGCGCGACTGCGGCTCCGCATTTTCATTATTATAATAAACAAACAAAGTAACCGATTCGCCATCAAGTGGAGGCACAACGCTGAATGAATCAGCCGGGTTATTTCACACTGTCAAGCAATATGGCGTCAGTAATTAGTCAACTTCTGACAAGCACGCCAACCACAGAGACTGCAGCAGCGGTGACGCAGGGAAGATGCAGCAGATTGACCCGGAAGTTATGCAAAGTTCATTCCCGCCACAATAAATGGATTTCAGAAAGTGGGGTCGGATGTTACCTTGGTTACACTTAACGCCCACTCACATCTTGTGTCAGTTGATCTCAACAAGTCACATAACAGGGTGAGGCGAGATCTCACAATGGTTTCACCCGAAACCTCTGCTGATAATGCCCCACTCCATGTTTTTCCCACACCTTGGCTCATGTGATGAGGCACATGATAAATCAACGACCCTCTCAAGGGACGACTCCCACTAGGGCTGAAGTGGTGAGACAGGTTTGTTGTGTTTCCACCTTTCAAGAGAAACCATTTTCTTCTTACAAAAAACGTTCACAGAGATAAAGCAGCTCTTTTTGGGAGTCACCGTTGGGAGCTGAGGGGCTCTTCTCCCTCTCAGATGTGTCTGTGCTTGTTTTGTTGTTGCACTAGGGAATGTAAACACCTTGTGTTGCTATATCTTTCATTTTACAAGATAACGCATTAGAAGTTATACATGTTATCATGAACGGGATTTCTACTTGCAGCCATAGCATTGTGATGATTTGCAGTGAGTCATAACTAACAGACCTTGAGCAAAGAGGAGAGTTATCATGAGGTATGTGCTGTGACAGGCTGTGGACAAACCTGCTGCTTTTCCTTTCATTTGATTTAATTTCGTAATACTTTACTCTGTATGCAGTTTCAGGGAATACCTCCCTTTTAAACCAGCCAACTACAGGATAAATATCTGGTAGAGCTGTCTGCACAAACTCCATAAACATAAAGAGTGTATAAAGTCACGGCTTTAGAATATCTTTCATAGATGAAGGAAACGGTGCAGGAATGATAAGCACATTTAAAAAAAACAATCATAAGTTGAGTAAAGTTTGACTTATCTGACTGTTGTTTCGCTTAATGTGCCTTATAATCTGGTGCACCTTATGGTCCGAAAAATACGGTACATTTATATGACAGCTGCTTTTTCCCCCCAAGTGTGTTTTAACGGATCCTTTATCCCTTGTCATGCTTAAGTTCAGAGGTTAAGGAGATATTTAACATCTGATTTAATGCTTTAGAGCAAGAGACCCAGTAATATTCATGTTATTTTGTTTGCATTAACAGCTGGTTCATGTACACATTATGAAAGGGCTCGTCGTTAATTCATTTTCTGATGACTGATAAAACTAAATGTCCTGTTTTAGTTGTAAAACCGAACTGTTTGCATTGCGCTGCTTTAGACTTCTCTCTCTGGGAGATTTTGACTGAAGAAAGTACACACTCTTTACAACGTACCAGGAGGTTTATCTCTATTTAAACACAAGTGCTTCCACTTGATGGATGATTTTTGGTGCCGGTTCTGTTGTCAGTGGCCAGTGAGTCAGTGTAGTCATTAACAGCTGGAGTGTTTCATGCTTGTGCTGTTTGTTTCTTTTAGTTGTGCGCTCGTTTGAGCTCAACACACACAGCAGCTCCGGGCAAAGCAGCTTTGTTGCATTATTCATAACTTTCAGGGGATCTCGTAATAATTCCTGAGAGAATATCCGGGCTTTGAGAGTCAGATGAGCGCCGTGTGATCCTCTAATGATGTCTTCTTCCCACAGCGTCTTTCTCCAGTTTGAAGACGGAGCTGGAGCGAATAAAAGCGGAGAAGGAACAGGTACGTCTTCTGTGAAATTGTCATGCAGTGAAGGAAAAAGATTTGGATAATGTGCTTCAAATAATGCTAAAAATCAAAATACTAATGTAGATGTGGGAGAAATGCACAGGTTTTTATTTTTTCATGTACCTGCAACTCTTTTAATCTAACCTGTGTGTGGACAGAGAAGGTCATTCTCCTCATCCTGATAAATAAATCTGCACTGATCAATACTTGGATCAAATGACTATGATATAGAAGGGGGCACCAGCCTCCTCGCTGTTTGACTCATACTCACCAAACTCAACGTTATTTCCAGTTTTACTGGAGTAACTTGTGTAGTGAAAAAACTGTGAGAAACTCTCTTTTAACTGACCTTCCTGTTTGAGTATCTCAAACAGGAAGTAAACACAAGGGGAGCTATTAATGAGGATTGTAAGTTAAACCTCGTCACCAAAATGTAAAGAAACATTTGGTCAGTCTTCTTTTAAATAAAAAATATTAACTGATTTTAACATTTTTAATGCAAAAGCAAAATTATGACTTAAAGAAAAGCAAATCTGTGATCCCTGAAATGGCTTTTTTTGTCATTCTTAATGTTTTTTCTTAAATGTCTCTATTTATTTATAGTCGTTGCTGTTACTGTTATTATTTATTATTATTGCTGTCATTGTTTTTGTTGTTAAGGTCTTCTAACCCTAACCAAGGTCAAGGTTGCAAATTAGCTGTTGCAAAGTACATAGGACTTCTAGTATCAGTTGCATTTTGTTTAACTGCAGCAATGTAACTGTGTATCGTCACTGTTGTATAAACAAGTACGTTTTAAAAAATAGAAAGGTATAAAATAGGTATTTAGGGGTTTTACACTATGAAGTCATTCAGCCTGGGTGCTGTGACCAAGAAGGATTAGCAGAGATGAACGTTGTCTTCAGATTCTGTAGATAACTCGGATTCTGCAGCGTGGCGTGCAGACTGAGGAAATCTGCTTCACTCTGTGGACTCGTGGGATTAAAATTAATGCCTTAGTTTACTGCAGTTAACCAATCTGAGCAAACGTTAGCTGAATTTTTTGCATCTTGTCACTCAAGATTGAGATATGGTTGAGAGATGGTCTTTCCCTTTTCTTCTTCTTTCTCGTTTCTTTGTATTTTGCTTCCATGGAGACTTCCATTGAATTATTTTTCAAGGGATTTTGCACAATCGTTTTTTGGGCTTTCTGAAGGTTTTTCAAAATTTTTGTTGGATAATAGCTGCTTTTTCACCCACTTTTTGTCCTGTCTTTGCACCTGATCATTTTCAAAGGAATGATTTGATTCATTAAAAAATCAAATCAAAAAAGTATAAAAAATTTAATTAAAACTAAATCAACGGATGAATGAGTGTTGTGTGTACAGACAACTTCACAGAGATCCAGTTTTACTCTGTCTTCAAGCCTTTTGTTGCAAGGAGCTTTTCACAAATTTGTTTCCATTTCATATTTTCTTTGAAAAATGCCAAAGATAACAGTTTGACAGGCATAAAATGGTACTTTTTGTAAACTTGGCATATCTCAGGATTGTCTGCAGTGTGTACTTTAAAATATTTAAGGAAAGTGGACAAATGGAGCACAAGAGAGGAAGTGACAGGCCAAAAAAAACAACCTCCACAGCATGTCTTATATCTGAAAGTCATATCCAAATCCAGCAAAGACCTTAACACAGGACCTGAGATGCATTTGAGACAGAGGAATACTAAATGACAAAAGAACTGGACTAAGAATCAGTGATGAGGTTTTATATGCAGTAAGTTTCTGTGGCCAGTCTAAAAAAAGATGGAGGATCTTGCATAGAAAAAAAGGAAGACAACATTCGAAGAACAGCTTTAAATGTCCTTCAAGAAGCCTAAAGAAAGACACCCGAAGACTAGTTACAGAAATTAAGAGAGTTGAAGCTATGTTGTAGAATAATGGTGGTCGCACCAAGTATTGACTTTGAAGCTATCAGAAAGTTAGAATGTCCCTTATGTACTGTATTTACTGTATTTACATGGTATGTTTGCACCTATTTCTCATTTTCCCAGCAAACTATAAAGAAATAAGGGGTGGCTCAAGACTTTTGGACATCGCTGTATATCAAAAGAAAATACTTTACAGTAATTCATATTTCAAAAGATTTCCAGATGGTGAGAATCGGCTTTGACCGATTAGTCCACTCAGATCGTACACAGGGGGGAAACCCTGCAGATATGGTCTATAACAGGGGTGGGCAATTCCAGGCCTCGAGGGCTGGTTTCCTGCAGGTTTTAGATCTCACCTTGGGTCAACACACCTGAATCAAATGATTAGTTCATTACCAGGCCTCTATAGAACTTCAAGACATGTTGAGGAGGTAATTTAGCCATTTAAATCAGCTGTGTTGGTTCAAGGAGACATCTAAAACCTGCAGGGACACCGGCCCTAGAGGCCTGGAGTTGCCCACCCCTGGTCTATAATCTTGCAAATGGGGTGACACAACAAAGAGAGGTTAGCAGCAAACTGGTGTTGTTTTCCCCGTGAGACAAAACAAACTTAGCTGAGAAATAACACACACAGACGGAAGATAAATATTTGTTTTGGGTCCGTTTTTTAAGAAGGAGCGCTTCCTGTAATAAGATTGCTTCCAGGAATTGTTGTTTGAACTGTTGTTTGAGTTGCTCTTTCCAAGCGAAACACATATTTTCAAACATCAAAGAAGCACTCTCTTAAAAAGAAAAGAAAAAAGGCTTTTTTCTCCAGGCACGGTCATGTTTAAATCAAAAAATCTGCACAGCAGCTCTTTTCTACCAATGTTAGGCCAATAGGAATCCCCTAAAGCAGGGGTGTGGAACTCCAGGCCTCAAGGGCCAGTGTCCTGCAGGTTTTAGATCTCACCCTGAGTCAACACACCTGAATCAAATGATTAGTTCATTACCAGGCCTCTATAGAACTTCAAGACATGTTGAGGAGGTAATTTAGCCATTTAAATCAGCTGTGTTGGATCAAGGACACAGCTAAAACCTGCAGGACACCGGCCCTTGAGGCCTGGAGTTCCCCACCCCTGCCCTAAAGAGACCAAAAAAGCCTCAACACATAAAGCCACTAATCTACCCAGAAAATGTCTTTGTACTTTCCCACTGAGACACTCAAGTCCTGTAGGTGGCACATTATTTTGCATTTATTGAAATTATCATTTGTTCAGTCATTGCAATTATTGCACATGTAGGACTTTTTTGAGATAAAGAGCTATAAAGTTTACGTACTTAATAAAATGCAGTGCTGATATGATATAGTCAGATGTCGTTTACAGTGGGCAAAAATCCATGAACAAAGCCTTTAAACCGTATTATTAATTTTACCACTGCTCATAGAATCTGCCTTGATCTTTTATCAACATCTCTGCATCTCATTTATTTGTCGACTGATTATTTGCGTTACATCGTTTTTGTAGCTGGAGAGCAGTTTGGCCGAGAAGACTGAGACACTGAGGAGCCTCCAGGGCCTGAGGATCAGCCTGGAGCAGCAGCTCAAAGAGCTCACCACTGCAAAGGTCCGTGTTTGGCACGCACATTTATCTGCTGATCCACCACAACCACCCCTGTCCAAAAAGTCACTTTAACTCGATCAGTAACATCATCATCGTCATCTAACCCGGCTGTTGTGGGATTTTATACAGTTTATCAGGATCCGACAGATTATGCAGCATCTGATCCACCGAGCAGCTCATATTTCAGTAAAATCCCAACCTCGTGTCACGACAGCAGTTTACTGACAGCTTTATGAGGCCCTGTCTGTTTGATATAAAATAAAGCACCCGTAAAAATATTCAGCAGATGTTTTGTGATGTTTCTGTTTCACTTTAGGATTTTATTTTAAATACTGAGACTGTGTAGCTTTTCTGAACGAACCTGTGTGCGCATGTCCTTGTAGAGTGCACTTGAAAGTCAAGTCCTCGATGAGAAAGACAAAGCCCAGCGGCTGCAGACCGAGCTGGACGTCAGCGAGCAGGTTCAGAAGGACTTTGTGAAACTTTCTCAGACCCTTCAGGTAAGCAGCGACTGTCTGTTTAACCTCCACCAGGTCAACAACGAGCCAGTTAGAGTTGTTCAGCTTACATTCAACCAAACAGAAGAACCGTGAAGCCAAAAATTTCTGAGTTTATTTGTTGACTTCAGGTTCTTTGTTTGTGCATATAAATAACATCTGTAAACTTCTGACCACAACTTTATGTATATGTATTGGAAGCTTCTCAGTCGACTATAACAGGTAAAAATCAGAGGAGAAATATATGGAACGCGTCCATTTATTAATAAAAACTGTCTTAAAAACAAAAACACAGAAATAAAACACAACAAGCCAGTAAATATACCGAACCATTATGAAAATGTATCACAAAGAGTGAATACTGTCTTTAATTTTAATGCAGGATGTTTAGATTTTATTTGAAAATATTGTAGTTAAGAAGTTTACCCGATTTACATCAAATTTTTTTTACCAGCAAATATTCTGACAATCTTCAGAGCCCCCAAAAGGTCATGACGGGGAATGTTTTCATGGTTGTTGCAGACCCCTCCTGTGTTTTACCTCATGTGTACAGTTGGTGGGTTTATACACTACCTGCCTGAAATGTAGCTTGGTGTGAATCTGTGGTATTCTGAACGTGTGTTTCTGCTGAGTAAACTGTGGTTTGTCTGTAGCACATGTATTACAAACACACCACAGGACCTCATGAGCGCAGTAGCTTCAGTACAGCTTCTGATGCTGCATGTAGTCGGCGTGTCACAGCCCGAGTCATGACAAACAAAGCAGCCACAGCGGCGGGGACAGCTGTCATCATCTGGCTGCAGTCACAATCAGATCTGCAGTCAGTCCCGGCTGTGGTCAGCCACAGAGCTCGAGAGTTAGCTGCTCGACGTATCTTTCTAAACACAGCGGTGCAGGCTTGAGCCGGTGCAGCCACAACTGAGGGAGCAGTGACTGTAGCTGTGGTCGCAACCAGCGGTCTATTGCACGCTACAAGACACTGCAGTATCACAACTGTAACACCGCTGTAAATATTCCAAATGCTTGCCTTCCAGCTGTTGTCCCAGGCCAGATGCTGAGTGAGTTATTAAAGTAGCACAACATTTAAAAGAAGCACGTTTAAGGGCGCTACAGGAGGGATGGAAAAGCTAAAAGTCAAAATAAATAAAACACATGCAGGGCAAAGCTTTAGATGGCCGAGGTGACCAAAGTGTAAAACCATAAAATGACTTTGCATTATGAAGGAGAAGGGACACAGCTGCTTTTAACCGGGTTTTAAGATTACATGCAAAGAAATGGAAAGAGTCACTGTGTTATATATTTAACCCTCAAGCAACCGAGCTGTTTTAGTCTTTTTTTTTTTATCATTTTTATTTAAAAAAACAAAACACAAGCTTCAGTCACAGTCTTCATCTGTTAGTTTTAACAATGCAAATATTTTTGTTTCGGTAAAACTAAGAGGGGGAAAAAAATGTTTTAGTGACGTCACTGTCAATTTAACAGCAAACTATAGAAGAACTGGTGACTTTGTAACACTTTGGACAACACATTACTTACTCAAAGACACAAAATATTGAGTTTACTCAAATATACACTCACCAGCTACTTTACTCTTCTTTTGATTTATTTGTCAGTTACATTTTAAAGGCTTAAATAGAGTTTTTTAATCTTTAATAAACACATTATTTCACATTAGCTGCTGTTCATGTTTAAAAATGACAACTTGCAGCACTTCTGTAGGCCTCAGTGCAAGTCTACCTTAGACCATTTCTCTCTCCCCTCTGTCCTGTCTGCTGCGTCCTCTATCCTGTCCAATAAAAGGATGTAACTAAATACATCAAGCTCCACCACAAAGGGATTACTTGTTCATAAATGATCCACGCCAAAGACCTTCACAGAATTGCATTAATTTATGTTCTGAGATCTGAGAGGCTATGCAAGGTACTAACCCTTATAAAATAGACACATGAACCATATATATGTGAATAAAGGGTCACAAGACTAATAAACCTTGTACAAAAATAACATATAATGAAGAAAACAAAATGTAAAAGTACTAAAATTAGAAAGAAGAAAGAAATTTTTTTTTTAAAAGTAACTTTTCTGCATTTTTTATGTGGAGAACTCCCTTCAGATGATATTTGATTATTAAAGCATTAAAGTGCTGTATGAGAAATCCTCCCGTGTCAGAGAATTAATCGCCGTTTGTCCGTGTCCTCAGGTACAGCTGGAGCGGATACGACAGGCGGACTCCTTGGATCGAATCAAAGTAATCCTCAATGACACCAACTTAACTGACATCAATCAGCTTCCAGACACATGATACCACTGAAGGACAACTGCCTTCACTTTCATTTCCCCTTCTTTCTATTTCACCGACCCAGTAACATATTACCCGACCCTTCCTCTTCTTCTTCCTCCTCCTCCTCCTCCCCCATAACCACCTTGGAAGAGTTTGGAGGGACATGGACAGACGTGGCATGAGGAGCTCATGGCCTTTTGTGTACATTAGAAGTCTCTGAACACACCACAGATAGAATAATGAAGAAGAACACTACTAAAAAAATAAAATGTAAATAACTAAATGTGGACGGAGGGAGCGGGCGGAGGTGCTTCTCCCTGTGGGTTCTGTCTGTCTCGTTTCTACTGTAGATACGACTGTCTGTATTAGCTCGACCAAAAAAAGGTTTGTCGTCCTCTGAAGCACTTTTCATCTGCGACTTCTCTTTCCAGGTAAATAGAAAATAATTGGATGCATAAATTTTCCTCCGTCTGTTCTCAAAGCGGTTGATAATGGCTTCCTTTCTCCTCTTGCTTGTGCTTTCCGTGTTTTGTTTTGGGTTTGTTTTTTTTTCCTTTTTCCTCCAGTTTTCTTGCTTTTTTTTTTTTTTCTCTTTGTGACATTTCAACCCTCTTCTGGTCATTTTTAACTCTGTGACAGCAGCACGATGAAGGATGGAAAATACTTGCACATAATTTAACTGGGATAAGAAAATAAGGAACGTAACAAAATGCGAGCAATACCCTTCATGTCTTCAGCACCCTCTGCTGTGTTTTTGCTCTGTTTGTTGCTCTTTAGTGTCTCACAGAAACCTTTTTTTTTTTTTTTTTTTTTAAAAGCTGCAGAAATACAGTGAAGAAACATTAGTCACGTTCAAACTTGTGTTTCTCAACATGTTTAAAAAAAATTAAAAGAAGAAACACTAGTTAATCCAGGTCATGTCAGGTAAACGGATGTTTAGGTGATGAGGGAAATTACAGAATTAAAACTGCAAAGTAATGGCTTTTAACACACACTTTGTTCCTGGTATTCTTTTCTTTTTTTGACTTTCCTTGATGTATATCTGAAGATTTTAATTTATCGCGGGCTTTTTGAAGGTGTGATGGATGGATGGCACGCAGACATGTCCCCACGATGAGTGATTTTTCTAAAGCGTAAAGAAACGGTTCATTCATCACTACGAGGATTCTGTTGTCTCTGAAGCTACTAATTAAATTAAATCACCTTTAAGTGTCGGGGTCTTTCTCTCTAAGGACTTCAGCGCACCAGAGGCTAACCATCAGTGGCCTGTGGTTCATGTGTAATTGGGTAAAAAAAACAAAACAAGAATAACTAAATGAAGGTGCTGCAGTTGTTCATGGAGAACACCAAACCAGTCAGTAAAAATCACTTCAGCTGGTTCTACACGACCAAAATTGTATAAATGCTAGCACTAGCTGCCACATCTACAAAGGAAAAAAAAAAAAAAACCTGCAGTCTTCATAATGGCCAGCAGGGGGCGACTTGGTCTCTAGGTAAAAATGTGTTTCCACACCAGTTGGCAAGTAGTTGTTGGAGGTTGCTACTTGTTGCAAATGATGACGTTTAAATGACGACTATTTGCAGATAAGCCGGTGTTAATCCATGCAAACTACTGCGTCCACGGCAATCTGCTAGCGACCAAAGCAATCGCAAGGAAGTTCTTTTTTTTTGTTTGGTTTTTGTGTTTTTTTTTTAAGATCAATTTCAGGCTAGCAACTGCCTGCAATCTCCAGCAACCATTTTCCAACAGGTTGCAGAGCACCCAGTGTTTAGCAGGGCGTCACCCACTGGTCTCTAAGCCTGCATGACTGGGCCTAGAGAGACCGCCACCAACCTTCTGCAATCACTCGGCAACCTGTTGTGGAAGCCTTTTCTTTAGCAACTGGTGGTTGTTACATTATCAGTCTCTAGGCCTGCGTGAACCTGAGGCCTAATGTTGAAATCAATGGAAAAATAAACGTTCAGTCCCTTTCATCTCAGTAAACACTTTCCTGATGAGTTTACAGTTTCACTCACTAGTTTTTTGTAAATTATGGTCCCCATCAGATTAAAAAAGGACTTGAGCACACAGCCTCTCAGTCAGTATACTCTCCAACCAATGAACTCTTGTTTCTAAATGCTCAGACTCAGACAAACCTTATTCAACACTTCTGAGTATCTGACATTCAAATGTGCTTAATGTCACAGTTCTGCTGTGAAAAGCTGAGAACAAACACTTGGATTTATTTACAAAGTTCACAGCCCACCATTAGTAGCAGATTTAAAGGTTACCTACTCTGCCCGAGTAGGATAGCTTTGCATGACTGGATGATTAAAATAATACTTGTTCGACTTAAACAGTGCCTATCTGCATTTGTTTGAAATGAGATCTTTTAGTGCCACTGTTTCTTCAGATTTGCTGCCAGCTTTGAGCAGCAGGTGGGTGTGGCTGACCATGACATAAGACCGAGCCAAGACAAGACGAATCTGCCAGAAACGGTGTGTTTAGAGCTTGTAAATATGTGTTTAATATGAGCATCCATCATTATAACAGTACGAGAGAAAATAAAAGCATAATAGGTCCCCTTTAGATATGAGTATGGTTCAAAAACGGTCTGGTTGTCATGCATGCATCTCTTCTCTCTTTAAAGTCTGTGTCTTGTTGCCGTTTGTGCTTTTCACACACGGGTATATTTGCTAACACTTTCTGACAGCTGCTGCTGGAAGACATTCATCGTGTTGCTTTCATGAAAACTGACAGAAGTCGGCGAGAAGTCGAGTGACAGTTTGCTTCACTGTAAAAGAGTGTCATGTTGATTTTTTTTGACATGAACGACAAACTGCGAGCACTTCAACTGCCTTTCAGGAGCAAACTGCCAGAAACTGTGCACCGCCGCTTCCAAATTTAAACTACGTCCCTTCAGTTTTCTCTTTGAAAGCGACCTGGAGGGACATCCACAAACACCTCTCATCTCAGACACATTCCACAAAATTTGTAATGTGACAGTCAGAGGTTTTTGGACAAGTGGGTATATTTCGTAGCTGGTCTCCATGCTCTTTGGACCCATGTAGGCATAGGGAGAACATCCGAACTCCACACAGAAGGGCCTCCGCTGGCTGGTGGATTCAAACTTAGGACCACCCTGATGTGAGACAGCAGTGCTAACCACTACATCAATGTGCCGCCCACATGGCACGCTGCTCTGTTCACTTATAAAGCACTCACCTCATTCCAGGCTCTGAGTGTGCAGTGTGCAGCTACATCACTGTTAGTCTCTTTCTGTTTATGAGGTTCCAACCAGGGCTATTATAGTTGACTAGTACACTAAAACCAGGTGTGAGACAACATTTTAACTCACTGAAGTAAAAGTAGTTCTAGCATGAGACTTTACTAAAGTTGCTCAAATTTGTCAACAAGCATCAGAAGGCTTTGGTTCATGTGTTTTCTGTCACGACAGGGATTTTCATGCTGTGATGGACGTCACCTGTCCAGATCCAGGTGTACCCCCGCCTCTTGCTTTATAACAGCTGAGATAGACTCCAGAGTGGTGAGCTTGAACTGGAAAGGCTCTTACACGGATGGATGAATGGAGGTGGATGTGTTCCCGTCACGAGGAGTTTTATTCTAGACTTCTTAAATCTCGACCCTTAGAAATACAACCAACAATCATAAAGAAAACTAAAATTACCAACTTTATTTAAAAAGCACTTTAAAACAGCCACAGGAAAAAAATGAATTAATACACTAAAAACTCTGAAAACACCAAGAAAAACAACTATAATCAAAACAGAGTTTCAAAAATGGACAACTGTGCAAAGGTGATCTATTCCATAACGGAGGGGCAGCAATCAAGAATGCTCTATCCCCCAGCTGAGCTTGCGCTTAGATTTCTGTATAGGTTGGAGGAACTGGTCATATGACCTGAGGGCTTGAAAAAGTACAAGGAAAGACCAATTAAGGATTTAAAACAAAGTACAAGAACTTTTCAGAGTGAGAGAAGAGAAAAGTGTGAGAAAAGTCCAATCTCGAAAGCCACAGAAAGTAAGATAAAGCTTTTACATAAAAATGTAGAAGCTTTGGTTCAAACCTGTTTTGTTTTGCATGCCCCGGATTGTCGTATAGGCCGGATTAGAAGGTGATAAAGCTGTCAGATGTCACACAGTTGACTGCAGATTCTTTTTCATCGTTTTTAATCCAGACTTTTTGATCATAAGAAGTTGCTAATCAGGAGCTATTAGTGCTCTGATCTGTAAAACAGTGCTGCTCTTTATCTTCAAGCCTCTTTCAAAATAAAAAAATTCAGCATGTGAGTCAGAAGACGTGTGTCTAAGTCTGCATTTGTGCCTTGAATATGGCTAAAACTGAAAATGTGGAAAAACTGGTTTTCTCATATGACTCAAAGGAGACTTTTTACTTACTTTACTGGCAAAGAAAATGAATGCACTGCTTCAACTACATATTATTTTTAAAGATGCAAATGATTTTCCCGGAGCTGGCTCGCTGTGCGATGTTCTGGACTGGTATGAAAAGGCTGGACGCAAAGCTTCACGTTCATGGAAACTATGATGCAGGACAGCTTTTCTTCCATTGTAAAAGAAGTAAAGATGTCGAAAGAGTGCACGCAGAAGCAGCTTTGGTTGGTTTGAGGAAATATTGATGACTTTTTTTTGTATTTTCCAGCCTGCATGTCAAACATTTCCTCACGTTTCGTTGGATCTGTGAGGGTTAAGGAAAGCCCTGAGCTGAGGCCTGTGAGAGATGAATGCACTGAGTTTACAAAGTGAATTCTGGACATAATTTCCTCTGAAAGCTTTATTGTGTTTGAATTTTATTTATGAAGACCAAAAAACGCCTTGTCTATAACAATTATTATATTATAGTGTCATATGACGTTAATATGAGATGATTCTCCCTGAAGATTTCAGCTGGTCCTCACAGATTGGACTTTTATTTATTAAATCTAATGTCAAAAAAAGAAAAGGATATATAAGTAAATGTTTAAATGAAATTGGTCTAAAAGCTCTCACTGCCTACTGCTACCTTGTTTTTAGTGTAAATAATAACTAATTACTCAAAGTGCACTTTAATTTTGAATTTTTACTGCTAAATTTAATGATGCTTAATTTAAAAAATTGGATTTTGGGTCATTTTTGTAACCAGTTTTTACAGCAGCTGTATAACATTTTACAAACTAAACAAGTGATGACTCATATATGATGACAGAGGTTTTATTCTTGCACTTTTCTCTCAATTAGCCACTAAAAACTGACTCAAGTGCACAGTTTGAGCTTTTATTTTCTTGTTATTTTCCTGGAGAACGAGAAAAAGGAGACGAGGCTTTGCACCCGAAACATTAAATCTCAGTTTACTTTCATTTAAGTTAAATCACGGTCTCTCCCTGCAGAAAACAATCGGAAAATCCTCTCATAACCACGTGGATCCAGAGGGGGAAGTGAGATTTCATACTTGCATATATGAGAAAAATAAATGGGAAATAAATAAATGAAAATATAGGCAGAAAAGTCCCTTAATTCTTTAAAGGTCTGGAATCAGAGCTTTGATAAACATCTAGTTTACATCGTTACATCCACCCAGTTATTTACAGTAGGTACAACGTTTGTCATCAATGTTTTAGTAAGCTGATATAAAATACTGTCCACTTTGTTAGGTACACCTGTTGAAGTGCTAGTTAGCACAAATATTTAATCAGCCAATCCCACGGCAGGAAGTCAGTGCATGTAGGCATGTACACGACCTACTGAGCATCAGAATGAGGAAGAAAGGTGATTCAAGTGGCTTTAAGTGACAGACTGGCTGGTCTGAGTACTTCATGGATTGCTACAAAACCATTTGTAGGGTTTACAGAGACTGATTCGAGAAAGAGAAAATATCCAGCATCCAGTGTGACTGCTTCAAGCTAATAGGAAGGCAACGGTAACTCAAATAACCACTTTTTAAAACTGTGGTATGTAGAAGAGCATCTCTGCAGGCTGAATCTTGAAGCAGATGGGCTACGGCAGCAGAAGACCACGCCGGGTGCCACTACTGTCTGCTAAGAACAGGAAATTGGAACTACAGGTCACACGGGCTCACCAAAATTAGATCATAGAAGATTCTTGAGAAACATTGCATGATCTGATGAGGCTCAATTTCTGCTGCATCATTTGGATGGATGGGTCAGAATTTGGCATGTATCTGACCCAATCAATCCCTTTATGAGCACAGTGCACCCTTCTTCTGATAGTTGCTTTCAGCAAGACAAAGTACTGTGTCACAAAGCTCAAATCACCTAAAACTAGTTTCTTGAACATAACACTGAGTTTTGTGTATTCAAACAGCCTCCGCAGCCATCAGCTCTCAATCTGTTGGAGCACCTCTGGGATGTGGTGAAACAGAAGATTCACGTCATGGATGTGCAGCAAGTGTGATGTCATCATGTCAATATGATGAGGAATGTGTCCGGCACCTTCTTGAATCTGTGCCATAAGAAATTAAGGCAGCCATGAGAGCAAAATGAGGTTTAACTTGGCAAGCTGTAACTAATAAAGTCTAAAGACATGCACGTCTTTAGACTGTGGCAGGAGGCCCAGAGAGAGCTCACTCTGACACAGGAAGAATGGTGGATGCAAATCCACACTTAAAGACCCCAAATGACTCGTGGATTCAAACCCAGCCCCTATCCTGCTGCGCAGGTCTGGTCAACTCTCCTGAAATCTAATCATTCTTACTGGTATACTAATAATATTTGTTTCCAGTGACTCAGCATCTGTGGAAAATGCCAAAAGATAAGACGGTGGTTCGTATTTGGAGAGGCGCAGTTCCTCCAGTGCTCAGGTTTAAAGTTATCATACCGTGCCTTCATATCTTTTCCACACAGGTGATTTTTTTTTTTCCCTTAGATATCTTGCCATCATTCATCTTCTATTAGACGCCTTCCTTCATTTTACCTCCATACTTTTATGCATTATGTTGCATTCAGGCCCTAGAGAAAGGATTCCTCTTTTTAGTATGTATTTATGAGCAGATGGAGCTCTTCACTTCATCACGCCATCACAGGAGGGATTGTAATAAAATGTAGTAGTTTTTTTTCCTAAGCAAACTACTGCAGACAGATTTTATAAAGATGATTACCGATCAGATATTTGAGCAGTTAGAGATTCAGGATTTTACCCTTTCTGCTTCAGCGTGTGCAGACTGTGCTCCATCACGTCACCGATCCTGCCGACTTCAGTACAACATCGAGTGCTTTCTGCACAGCACCAAAAACACCACCATTATCAGTTACAGACTGTAGCTCCTAGGCCATCCTCACTACAGCATAACTATCAGCTGACGGTCATCTCACTGCTTTACAACCATCACAATTACACATGCACCACATCATCAGATTAAACACCACCTGATCCACCCTTGTCTTTCGGCCCTTCCTTTTCGGTACGTCTAGCCTCCCAGAACTTCTATTTGCTTTCTTCATATTTCTGACTAGCCCATACTCCTGCTGAATCCTTTTCTGTACTTCCTCGTTCCACCACCAAGACTTCTACCCTTTCGTCCTCTTTCCAGACAATGCACCAAATACCTTCTTGACAATTTCCCAGTCATCTGATAACTCTTCAGAGTTCATCTAAACTCTTCCCAGAACTCTGTGCAACATTCTTCCTTCTTTAACTTCTGTTATTTAATTTTCACTTCCTTTTCTAGCTTCATTCTCCCCTGACTCCCCTGTGTGCCCCTCCCTCCGCCCTTATATACCACCCTCTGTTCTTCAGTTTAGTTTGGTTTCATTGAAGAGAAAAAGGTTTAAAATATAACTGATACTGTTAGCCTCAGGCAGAAAGCGCTCACTTTTATTCATGAAATCCTCCTTTTGTTTGCTGTCTGTTGGTAGAAGTTATGTGTAGTTCGTCTGGTCGTTCTATAGGGGGCAGCAGCAGCCGCACCCATATTTGTTTGTACCCGCAGCGAAAAAGAAGAAACCACTAGGACAGTGGAGGGTGGAGGAAAAAAAAAAAAAAAAAGCGGAGCAACTACTCCTGTTTACAACCACATAATGGAGTCCAAATGGCCAAATACGATTCGCAAGCGTATATTATTTACTGGATTTACGCTTTGTGTTGTTTTGGGTGAGTGTTGAAGCCCCGCTTGGGTTAAATTTCCATTTGTAAACGTTTGAGTTCATTATTTTAGGTGGGATCTCAGGTTAGCAGGCTAGCAGCGTTTACACCTCTATTCCCAATCCTTTAAGAGTTAACACGCCTTTCTTCAGCCTCGTAAGCGAGAAACTATCTTTAACACTGCCCGGATTTTTTTTTTTTTAAACTGGGATATGGGTTAGAGACTCCACCGTATGTGAGAGACAGTGTTACAGAAAATGCAATCTGTTAAATTCACTAAAACCTGAATGGAGATTGGCACAGGATGGTGGCTGCCGCCCCTGGCCGCGTCGTCCTGCGGAAGGTGAAGGTGGGTTCAGGCGTGGAAAGTAGCGATGCTAACCAGCTGTTTAGCTGAAATAAGAGTCCCTGGGTGTTTTAAGACCCATGCCGATTTGATTTAAATGTTCTAGTAAGGCAGGAGATATTTAAAAGTGTGCGCTGTCGTACATGTAACCAGAATTTAAAGTAAAGCAGTTTAAACGCTGATTTCTGAATAGAGCTTTTGTTAGGCGTGTGTCTCAACGGTATTTACGTGTCACCTGTGAAATGTCGTCTACCAATAGAGCTACCAATCAATTCTTATTTTATTTACATAATCGAACAGCACACTAAGACAGTTTTTAATCTGCATGCAGGTGGACTAGCACAGCATCCAGCCCCCGCGATAACGTCTCATTTCGTCGTTTGCTAACCGTATTTTGACCCAGATAACGAAGTATGTTGGGTACTAAACACTGTGTACTTAATGGTACACGTAGCATCACAACGGCGGGGACATGATTTTTGCGCGAAGTTTCGCTTTGGATTGCCAGATTTGCGTCACTATTTTTTTTTTTGCTTTTGGCAGGAAGCACAATAGTGGCTTCGTGTTGTAACTACGTGTTACTGCAGCTGCCTGCAAGTTGGTGAGAGGCACGGACTGAAATGACCAGGGGCCCTCTATCTATTCAGGCACAGGGTATATGTGCCCTCGCACAGTTTGGTCGCATAGTAATATAAAAAGCTGTGAACTACAGCACGAACTTGCATTCATTACTTTGGCTAAGCCGTTTTGTGCTATACATTTAGCAGCTCAAAATGTGCATCTTAAGAAGGAAAACATACACTTTAATCTAATTTATCTGTAGTTAATTTTTTAAAACATTTTTAACATCCTGAACATTGGAAAAATTATATTTGCATTCAATTTGAGTAGTTTTAACAGTATGTGTTAGGAAAGTGTTGACTGTAATCCACAATTTAGTGTGTATACTTCATCCAGGTCTGAATGTGAAAGTATCAGTTTTTCTCTCAAGATAGTTCTTATTTGGAGAAAACAAGACCAAACAGTGTGGAGCTGAGAGGGATGTTGTTTGGGGTTTAACTGATTTAAGAAAATGCACCGTCCAACATTTCACATGATGAGACAGTTTAAAACAAGTTTTTATGATCAGCAGGTTTCATGGGAATTTAGATCTGTGATGTGGGTGTAGTAAAACTAAATAAATGACAAATGACATAAGACCTACAATTGAACCTTATGGTGTACCATAAGTTGCATATTCTTATTAGATAATTTTTTGGGGTGTTTTTTTTCCCAAGAGATAAAAATGAAACCAAGTGGTTTGTCCCTGATCCCAACCCATCTATTAAAATCCTAGAATCTGTTGTATTGAAAACTGCTCTTATGTCTAAAAAGATATAGTGGCCTTTTATGTTGTTTAAAAGAAGGTGTTTGGTTACCTCGAGGAACCTCTTTTCTGTGCTGTGTAGAGCTCAAAAACCCTATTGAAATTTCTCCAAACTGCCATTTAGGCACACAAATGCTAAAGTGGGTTGAAACCACTGTTTCTCAAACTTTTGATGAAGGATGAAGAACTGAAGGATTGTATCTAACAGTTAACATCACTGAGACAGCACCTAGGGTTTTAGGATCACCAGGTCTCACGGATATATCCTAATGTTGTTGGTGTTGCATTGAAAGAAGAAGTAATAAGAATAAGTAAATGTGGCAGTGAAACTTAATAAAAGTGACCAGCTGGAAGCATAAAAACAGAAAACACCATAGGACCTAAAATCGAACCTTGTGGTACACCACAGTTAATGTGAGCTGCAGATGTGTGAAGCTTTTCAAAAGAACTGAATCTCTGTAATTTGTGATTAAAGTTAAGAAATTGGTCCGAAGTTATTAAGAACTGAAGGATTAAGATTTAGTTTGTTTAAAAGATGCTTGACCACACTATATTGAAAAAGCAATGTATAAAGAGCGGTTAATAATCGATAAAACAATGATTTAATAAGGTTTGTGAAGAAAAATGTTGAACATGTCTCTGCCATCTAATATTTAAAAAGGCAGAAACAGTTTAAAACGGCAGCTTTTAGGATGACTAGGTCAAAGTATGTCTTTAATGCTGGTGTACAACTGAAAGAAGAAGTTCTAGGTTCACAAATAGAAAATTACACCACCTAAAAATTGAACCTTGTGGTAAAGCACAGAAAGTATGAAGTGCAGATTATGGAGAGCAACCTTTTTTAAAAAGATAAATTCTAAACTCAAACACTAGCAGGTTATCTTCTGCATAATCCAGCTGTTTTTCTTTCTTTCTTTCTTTCTTTTTTTTCTGTAGTTTAGTTTATTTTTTTCACTTCAAATTACATTTAAATCATCGTTAGATCACTCGGCTTTTACAGGCTCAACATGATCTGGCATTTAGAAAGAAAGAAAGAAAGAAAGTGTGTACATTATTGTACTTTATTGAGCCCCGTGGGGAAATTGCTCTCTGCATTTAACCCATTCACTCAGTGAAGCAGTGGGCAGCCATTGGGCGCCCGGGGAGCAGTGTGTAGGGACGGTACCTTGCTCAGGGGTACCTCAGGGTAGCTGTTAAGGGGAATCGAACCCCCGACCTTCCGATCATGGGGCAACCACTCTACCTACTGAGCGGATGTGCATGAAATTGCAAATTAGCCGGCTCAGCAGTTGACAGTCACTTTATTTGATTTTGGACAGGATGTTTCTGTGAAGTGAGATTAAGAGCAGAAATCACAAACAGTTTTGCCAACCTTAAAAACAACTTTTAAAACTGTTTCCTGAAATTTGAAGACGGAAAACAGTGTTCTGCTTTGAATCACAGATATCATCTGACAAATACTTCCTTTCGTTTTATAAATTATTGTGAGATTGCCTCAGCAGTGTGCTGACTATATGCTGCTCTAAGAGTTGCTTTTGTTTTTGAAGCACGGTGTTTCCCCGAGTCTAAATCTGAGACTTGGATCTAATGTCTGCAAGAGGCCGAGGCTACTTATTGCTCTGTTGCTTTTATACCTTGGCCTGCTAGCTCTTCTGATTACAAGATGTGGAAGTCACGTATCTCTGTTTGCTAATACTTGTGTGGCTCGATTTGTATATTCATAGTTCTATCAAAACCTTTCAAGGTGGCAAAAAGGTGAATGTACTGCCAAACATTTCCTACTCATAGCTGCTATGGTAAGGTTATTAATCATCAAGCTGTGCAGTCAGTGTTTGACATTTATCACACAGCCTTTTAAAGAACATTTGTTGCATTTATTTGTCTCCAATGTGTCCAGTATTGCACTGCAGTCTTGTTTCTACAATTTATAGTGTAAAAAATGGTTCTGATTTGGTGTTGAAGGTTGTGCAGTTAGTCAGGGTCACATTTGGGTATCTATTTTCTCAGCTATAAGAACAATCAGATTGAGTATCACATTATCTGATGCAGGTTGCAATGTTAACTTGAATTTAACAGATAATCTAATCTGGTCTGAGCAGTTTAGGTTTAAAATTGGCACCAGATGCGACATTTTCACTAAATCATTGTAATAATTATGATCAAAATAAAAAGTGCTTTCATTAGCTCTGTGTTCATCGCTCTCCAAGAAGTCATACCGGCCTAGAGAACAGTTGGCAATAATCTGGCAATCAACCATTTGCTTGGGAAAAATGTGTGTTCTGCAATTGGTTGCTGGAGGTTGAAATCAATCACAAAGCAGGTGTTGCAACAGAAATTTCCCTGTGGTTGCACCTGGTCACTAGCAGATTGCCACAGTCACCGACAGGTCGATGAGTTACACGCAAGTCATCAACTTGTGTGCAAATATTCGTCAGCTACTAGCCGAGCGCTAGTATGACTTGAGAAAGTGCAATCCAAAGCCGGAAATGGTGAACACTGACTTAAAAAACCAGAAAAACAAAAACAAAGTAGTGCCTTATTGCCGTAGTCATTTCAAAAGATGGAACTTTTTGCCATGTAGTTTCACTATGTCTCAGAGGGTATTCTTGGCGAGTGTTTGCAGACAAGTCTGCATACCAACCACTCACCTGCTGGTTGGTTATACCTTTTGGAGCTGGCATTGCACCTTTTTTTTAAATTTTTTTTTTAGGGGGGGTTAATGTGCTGTGTTACGCTGCGGCCACTGCAGCTAGGTTGAAGACACAAGTGTACGATTGTGTTGGTTTTTATTGTATTCCAGTACAAGAGCTTAGAGATGTACATATATACAAAGGGAGATGTTACAACTGTGGAAAAACCTTGCAAAAGAATACTCGGCAAAGTCTCGCGGACCTACGTTTACACCAGAAAATCTCTGAAAATTAATCAGTCTTTTTGTAGGATGTTTTTGGCTAAAAGTCTGAAACTTCAGTCTCTTTATTTGCAGCTTCAGTGCTGCGTTTTACAGTTTAAAAAATATTCTTTATATGTCTTTGTCTTATATCTTTATCTTTGTTCCTTTGATAATGTCTAAATGAAGCAGGCTCTGTCACGAGAGTCATGTGACTCTTGTGACAGCGCCTGAAACAGGAAGCCTGGTTTAGCAGAGACTGCTGATAATCACCATTGTGATACCTTTTAGGTTGTTTCTGAGCAGAGAAAGCCCGTGTTGCTCAGTTGTACGTCTCTCTTTACATTATGCACAACATCAAACACCAAGTTGCCTTTGATGCAGCCATAAATATGGGAATTGAGGATTCTGGATAAATGAGCAGAGCTGTAAAACCATCCGTCTGTTTTTCCGGTTACATTAAAATAGTTTGAGTAATCTTACAGGTGGCTGGATAAGATACCTCCACGTCAGATTTTAGCCTGACACGGACTAAAATCTGTGTCAGGCTTGTCTCGCTGCCTGTGACCTCACTTCAGTTGTTTATTTAGTGCTCTGACTCATACATATGTGTTTTCCCACACAGAGGCCAGCTAAGAGCAAGCAAGAAGTACTAAAACAACGTCCAGCTCTACAGGACAAGCGTGAGGAAGTTTAGAAGGGTTCAAAGATCAGTGGCATGAATGGGTTAGACCGTAATTTATGATTTTGGGGCATGCTCACAGTAATCGTTACTACCACTGCAGGGTTTGGACAAAATCTTTTTAATTAGGGACACTTGAATATTTTAATTCAGTGAAATTAAAATTTAATAGGGACACATGTTTCTTTTTCTTATGTGTATGTGTTGTGCCCTTTGTGTTGGGGGAAGCAAAAGAAATCTTAATTTTAAAAAAACCCAAACCCTTCAGCTCAGCACAGTTTAATTCAGGTTTAAGAATTTAAGAATATTGACTGATACAGACGTTTGGCTGACGAAGTTGTCCGCCCTGTTTGATCAATGGTGCCATCTGTGCTAATACCAATCTAAGTTTTTACATATATATGTGTCATGATGTCAAAGAAGTTATTTTAACAACTTCAAACAAAGCAAAATATTTTACAAACTGTGAAAGAAAACATTCCCTGCTAGAAGTGGTAACAACACTTAATTCACTACTTGAGGCAAAAACACCATTGGAGTAAAACCAGGCCGCAGAGGATGAGAAAACTAAAATGCTTGACTCAGCTGAGCACTCCCTAGCTGGACTCCAAATGACAGGAAAAGCAAACAGAGGATTAAAATTACTGATGCAGATGGTAACGAGAATAAGAATAATAATGATTAAAAAAACCCTGGGATAGTTTTAGCAGTACTGCTGCTCTATAATGTTGCTGGTGAATGATGAAAAATGCCTCTTGTTTTGTTTACCTTAATAAAGGATGCTTTCTGCAAACGACAGTTACGGAGTTCCTAACCTAAAAACTAAAAAAATATGATGTAATTCTAAGGTGCATTGACCACACTAACTCGTGCAGGTGAAGGAGGCACAGAGGAAATTGGAAACATGATTCAGAGTTACATTAAAGAGATTGAAGACCTTCGGGCAAAACTCCTGGAGAGCGAGGCTATCAGTGAGAATTTGAGGAAGAATCTGTCCCGTGCCTCCAACCGTCAGTCGTTCTATGGAGGGTCCAGCTCCTTTTCCTCCACTCTTCTGGCCCCCGAGAAGGAGACTGCTAACATTATCGAACTCGCTAAGAAAGATCTGGAGAAACTGAAGAAACGAGAAAAGAAGAAAAAGAAAAGCGTCAACAAAGAAGTTCCTGACAATGAGCAAGACAGATTTTGTCCCTTTTTATTAATACTGTGGGACTGCACCAAGCTTCCGATTATTAACTGATGATTAACAAGGCTATTATAGTTAACTAAAACTAAACCTAAAAATTACTTATGAAAAAAAATAATTAAAACTAACTAAAAACCATTTTGGGATCTTGGAAGACTAACTACAAAATAAACCAATAGCCTTTCTAGATTGTGGTGTTGGTTTAACCCCGAACCCTTGCTGCTTTGTGTGCTTACACTTGTTGTTTTGTGTTCACAAACAGTCACAAGACCCACGTCTGCGATCGAGATACACGCTGATCCTGAGGTGATAGTACAGAACGGTACCACGGGGATTCTTCGATGCACCTTTAGGTCCAGCGAAGTGGTCAGCTCGGCCACCACGGTGACCTGGAACTTTCAGTCGAGTCATCCCGACAGTCAGTACTACAAATCTCCATACGTGGTAAGTCCCCGCTGGTTGTGTCAGCTCTGGGAAGATTTCCCACAGTTTTTAAGGATGTTTTCCTGCGATTGTTTTATCTGTCGTGACACAAGAAGAACGGATTTGGCTGTTCCCTGAGGGATGGGTGAGAGCACATTGTTATGATTTGGTTTCAGTAGGCTTTCAGTTTAAGCGCCAGCCTTTTTTTTTCTAAAAATATATCAGGTACAGTTATACTCTCTCCATGTACTGTCTTTACATATCTACATATTTGTTTTTATCGAATTTTTCCGTTTGCTTTCATCTGTTTATGTTCTGCTGCTATCTTGCTTGAGCATCGTAATTGGATCCCGTGGTATGCTTTCATTTTTCTCTTTAGTTCTTATAGCACTTTGTCGACTTAAATCTCTTTGTAGACTTTAGTTTTCAGCTACATATTTTTCCTACAGTGTTATTTGTTACTGCTGAGAATTGACTTGTGGTGAGTAGCTTGAACTTATTAGTGTATATTCCTCTAAAACTCTTAAGCAGCTAAAAAAAAAGAAAAGAAAGAGGGATGTTTGTGTGGATCATGTCCTATCTACAAAGGAGTTTTGTTTACAGTCCAGTCAGGCTGGGCGGGGCCTGTCTGTCTGCTGTGATCTGACTCATGCATATATAATGACATAGCTGAAGGGCCTTTAATTTGCAGAGCAGTCATGGCAGAACACATACACGCAGTCTACACTTGGAGCATGTTGTAACATCGAGCTGTGTATCTTAAAACATCAATCTCTCTGACGTTTCAGACCCATCATTTGCAGAATAAATACTTCTCTTCCTACAGAAATGATGCTTGTCCAAAAACAACACCAAAAAGCTAAGATAAGGGAAAGCTGCTCAGTGAAGGAAAAAGGCTGTGCAGCAGTAATGTTGAAAAAAAAAAAGGTCTTTCTAGTACCTCAGATATTCTATATAATAATCAGCAGCTTGTTTTAAATATTTATTTCCCATAATAAATTCAACAGGGTAGATGTACTTAAGGAACATGAGACTTTTTCAGATAAATAAAGGCAAATATTGCAAACTACACAAAAGGCAGCCGCTAAAGCGTTTAAGTTTCAAAATAGAACAAACAAAACAGACTAAATTGTCAATTCCACTTAGAAACAAAATATTAATTCTAAAAATAAATCTTAGTTTGTTTTACAGAAGAACAGACAAAACTGACTAACTTTTGTCAATATCAAATAAACTGAGAACTAAAAGGAAATTCTCAATCTCTCCTTGTTGTATAGTTTAGCTTTTCAAACAGTTGTAACAGTTACTTTAGTCTGACAAAAGCCGAATGACGAATTAGCGCTTCCAGTCAGAGACTGAGGCTACGTCCACACGTACACGGGTATTTTTGAAAACGGAGATTTTCCGTTTTCGTTTTAAAAAATAATCCCGTCCACACATAAAGGCAGAAATGAAGGAAAACGCTGCTATGAACATGCCAAAGCAGCAGGTGGAGCTAGATTTCTAACCGTGCAGAAATGTTGGCCAATCAGAAGTCTAGAAGCCTCGGTGGGAAAAAGTAAACAAAGCTGGGGCATAGAAGCAGAACCGAATCGTATGTGTGGAGGGACAGTAACTGTGTGTATATGTAAGCATTTAAACACTGCAGAGAGTAGAATTAACAGTAACAGTATTGTAGAAATAACGTGGCGCACAGTGTGACGCATGCACCAGTTTATTGTATTTCCAGACTTGCTTTCGGCACAATTTACAGTGCACGCTACTCTGTTTCTTGAAATAGCCGAAATACCTTCAAACTACGGAACCTCTATGGCTCTTCCGTTCGACAATCTCTCCGGCGTTGGAACCATCATCGGTTTTCTCTTCGGTCACGCTTGGTTGATTTTTCTAGTCGGCACACTCATTTCCTCCATTACCCGCTGGCTGCTTCCCAAACACAAACACGTGCGGCTTGGCACTTGTGCTGTACGTAACAAGTCACGTGACGTGACGCTGCGGCTGTGATTGGTTCGGCTCTGCGCTACTGAATTTGGATCGGCTGACCTTTTTTTTTTTTCTTTCTTCAAGAGGACAAGAGCGGCGAGGTCTATCGCGATAGCTTAATTTCTCTATCGAGTAAAAGTTATATCGCGATACATATCGTTATCGTTCTATCACCCAGCTCTAATCCAAATGTCAAAATTGTCCAACATACTAAGCAACTGTTGTCATTAGAGATGGCAGGATACCAAAAATTTGTAGTTGGTGCATGCGTTTCAAATTCTAGGCATTTCAGTACAAAAAAAAAACTAATCAAGAGTGACCTACTTTCCCTGTAAACATCTGCAGGGCCGTCTTTGAGCTGCCTAGACAGGTTTGAGGTGTTCCCTCCTTTTGTTTAAGACATTGTGCAGTGAAAGAGGTTCAAAGTTGGCTTGAGACCCAAACTTGACATTAGTGAGCAGCTAGGAAAACAAAGGGGACATGCAGGAAACGGTCCAGGGCGTCAACCAATAAGATTTTAAATTTAATTAGGCTACATTAGTTTTGGCTTTCGGTGATTTATAAAAACAAAATTGCTGGGATAACATGATCATTTTCTTGCTTTCATTTTGACTACAAAGGAGAGCCTTTAATCATCGACTTCCATCCAGAGAAGAAGTTGTCAATCAGTACTGTCTAATGTTGCATTACTAACCCTTAAAAAATCTGAAATGAGCTGCAAGACAAATTGAAGCTACAGCTACAGTAACACAGCTTTCACCATTACTGATTGGTACAAATAATTACATTACAAGTTATTTAGTAGTTTAATGTTGGATTTTAATTACATTAATGCTATTTTTTGTTGCATTTATGTTTATAGAACTACAAGAATGAAACTGGTTTACTGCTTTAATTATTACTAATAAAACTGAATAATTGTTAGCATATTTAATCCTTTATAGTTTGACAACAATATGAAAGCCACTTCAAGTTATGTCTGTTTTTCTACAAAAGAATCAAATTATCTGACATCAACTTGAGAGAATTCTTTATTTATTTATCGTTGTGTTAATTTTTGAAGGTAAAGAAAAAACCTCAGCCATAATAAAGAAAAGGAAAACTGCAAAACAAAATTTGGGATTGCAGTAAAGAAGAAAATCTAGTTGAGTTGTGGCAAAAAAAGCCTTGTTTTTGTATGATGTGTCATGTCATCGTGACTGAGCCAAGGCCAAAGACCAGAGAAACAAATGACAGAGGAAAAACTCCCGTCTATGTTATAATCATAGTAGCAGCAGCAATAGGTTCAGTAAGTTCAGTATCATCATACAAATCACATACATGATGCTTGATGTCCTGTCAGTTCCACGTAGCACAGTGTGGCTGCAGTGAAGACTGTTCAGTGTGTAGGTGTCTTATGGCAGCTGTTGTTCCAGTATACAGGAATAATAGTCACAGCCAGGAAACCAGTTTGTTTGACCTCTTTGTTTACTAAATTATGGAAATTATCTATTAATTTATCTATGTCAAATATAAGAACAATATTGCTGCAGTGTCTGCAGTGTCCAAAAAAAGTCATTTTATTTAGCACATATGAACACCTTAGATGTTGACCAAAGTGCTGGATGATGAGTAAAACCCAATACAAAAAAGAAAAGGACAAAAAAAGAGTAAAAATTATAATTTTAATAAATACAAATAGAGTACAAATATAAAACGATGGTAAGAAAGCAGTAAATATTAGAGATTTTTGTTCAAGTAATTGTCAAAAGAATGTATTATTATTGTTTTTAGTACCTGGAGATTTGTTTTTTGGTTTTTAATTATTGTACACTTTATTGCATTTTGTCTACATGTCTGTTCTTTTACTTAATCTAGCATTACTGTACTTTTATACATTTTATTTAATAGTAAAAGTCCATGTTACAGTATTGCTTGGTCTGTTTTTGCTATTCGAAAACAAGTACATTTAATCGCATTGAGGGGAGAAAAATGTGGGATTGTTTGATCAATAAAATCAGGTCATTTTAGCCCGTTGCTCGGTGGTTGCTAGAGAACACGGCTGATCTAGATGAGAACCTTCAGGGGTCGGAGATGTCCCCATTTATACATGAGTACATTTTCACCAGCATTTCCTTCCTTTTTGTAGATTTTCTACTTTACAAGTGGGAGAGGATTCCCAGGGTCAGAGGAGTTCAAAGACCGCGTGCAGTTTATCGGGGACATCAACAAGAGGGACGTCTCGATACAGCTGAGCCCAACTTATTTCAGCGACAACGGCACGTTTTTCTGTGACGTGAAGAACCCCCCAGATGTGATGGGGACGCAGGCTCGAACCGAGCTCAGGGTCGTGCTGAAAGGTGAGTTTTTGTCAGATTTACATTGAAATTAATGCACCAGAGTTAAATGTTGGAAATGTAGAAAATTAATAAAAAGAAAAATCAGTGACAGGTTGAGTTAGTGTGGCTGGGAAAGATGTCTTTCTAAATGCCTCCTGCTACTCTGCGGCCTTGAACAGACACTCGTCAGTTGTTTTCACCCACTCAGCAGGGCTCTGCTCACACACATGCTGATTGGATGGCGAGAAAACACAGTGTAGCACAGTGTGAGCCTCTGCGCACTATCGCTTGTGTTTCCAGGCAAAGAGGGGACTTTTCTTTTTCACTAGCCAATCAAACATGATGGACTGGATCGTGGCCATCTTAACCACAGTGTGTCGATTGCACCACCTGTAACAAGTTAAATCCTGGACTACTTAATGGTTTATCTAGGAATGCTGTTGCGACATGCTTTTGTACTACTTGCAGTTCAAACCGGATTAACTGCAAACTTTCTTTGAATCTCCTGTTAGGCATCTGTAAACATTAGATCCATATCGCCCAAATTCAAAAGATAAATGAAAGACTGTCAAGAATAAAAGTGCTACTCTGCCTGCTGGCACTAAACAGCACACAGTGACGTATGTAGCTGCAAAAATGCTTTTCTTTTTTCTTATGGGCTCACATTTATTCCCTCGCATGCCATAAAAAAATCCCTTATTACACGTTACAATTGAGCATTATGTTACAGTGTTGTGTGTTCATATTAGATGTGGGTAAAGTTATGATTAATTAAAAAAAACAACAACGGAGAAACAATGTTTGGCGACAAGCTCGTTAGAGATTTATTGATGCCATCCTGTTACAGGAAAAGGACGTTACCTTTGGTCTTTCGTGAGAGCAGGTTTCCACTTGCATTGGCATTTTTGTGCATTGCAAAAAGGGGCACACACATACTGTTTTTATATGCTGTGTGAGTGATGGACTAAACCCGTTCACTATGTCCCTCGACAGATATTTGTGTTATTCTCTCTCATATTCCTGATCAAACTGATTTGTAAAGTTGCAATTGCCAATCAGGAATGAAAAATGCAATCATTTTCTGGCTTTACCCCATAATTCACCAGGTTTTTGAGGCCCTTCACGCAACTTTAAATCACACCAGGAGTATTTTAGCCTCTAGAGTGCATTGCGCCTTTTATGGACTGCTCAAATCACAGAATTTTGACCACAAGAACTGTGATTTCATCACCGAGTGGGTGTGACCACTCTGTTCCCTGCCAGAGAGATAGTATTTGGGTAACTGGGCAACAAACATTATCCATATAGCCCCGAAAGCAGCAACAGGTCCACGGCCTGATTGTCTGCTCTGTCTAATAAACTGCATGTACCTCAGCATATCTCTGAATCTTGTTGTGACTAGGTCTGTCAGCCAGGGTTCACATTGTAGTAATCTGAGGTGGAAAATTGCACTAAAATAAAAGCCTTTAATGTTGCATATACAATTTTCCATTATCTTTGGCACATCAATGGGCCAAATCCTGTAAAAGAAAAACAAAAGGAAAATAAAGGAAACTATAAAAAGTTGTAGGAGAAGTAGATCAGACGTACATTTTTATGATTAAAATGATCACAACGGTACATTTACATACATAGCTGAGGTAATAAATGACTCTGTTTGATCAGTTAAAGGTGAAATTCATTAAAGGTACAAAATAAACACATCAAATATCATCAGTTAATGAGAAAAGACTAATAAATGCAAGCTATTCAAGCACATATGGCAAATCACTGCACAACCACTGTTTGTGTTCACTCAGCTGAAGACCACATGTGCATGTGATGGCTTGTCTGCTTTACATGTGGCTGCACCTTTTCGCAGGTTGAGGTTTTTCTTTGTACCAAACATCTGTATCTAGGAAGCAATAAAGAGTCTAAATAGAGCATGTGTGTTGTACTCGACTATGTTTTAGCCGCAGTTTCTTTTGGCTCTCACAATGAGCTGCCTTGGTATTGTTCCAGCTTTTGTTGCTCAGCTTTCAGTGATACGCCCAGCTGTGTTCTTGGTTTCCAGGCCTGGGGGTTCAAGTTTTGTGCTTTATTTATGGTAGCATAACTGTATTTATACATGATGAAGGAACCGAGTCAGCCTTGTGCTCACAATCTTATTTTTGTATTCTGAAATCTACTTTTTACTTTGAAATTATTATTCGCACAATTCTGTTTATCTTCACACGCTTTGGCTCTAACAAAGAGCTGCCTTAGTGTGGTTCCAGCTTTTAATACTGCTGGATACTCAGGTTTAAGCACCACTCCCATCTGTGATGTTAATTTCCAGGAATGGGGTTTAAAAGTGTTTTATTTATAGTAGCGTAGCTTTATTTACAGTGACTGGGTGATGTGGGTCTTTCACATGAAGTCTAATTTGTTTTAGTTTGGAGGACATTCTGAAATCCATTATCAAACTAAGTAAGATGAAACTCTTTTGTTGTGTTTGCGTGTGTAATATCCATACATTTCACAATGCTGGGCAGTTTTGTCATAATCTGTGAGTAATTAGTCCAACATTTTTGGAAACTCTGGACCACTTTAAAACATTACAAAATAGTCTGTTAGTTGACTAAAGACTTTTGCACGGTCCCGCAGAGCTGTTGGCCCTGCGCGTCGAAAGAAGCCAGTTGAGATGTTTCGGGTATTTGGTTAGGATGGCTCCTGGGTGCCTCCCAAGCATGCCCAACTGGGAGGAGACCCTGGGGTAGACCCAGTACCCGCTAGTGAGATGCCCTGAGAAAGCCTCAGAATCCCCCAGGATGAAATGTTAGGTGTGGCTGGGAATGTCTGGAATATCATGGATGGGTGGACTGATCCTGAATGTTCTTCATTGTGTGTGTTTTTTTTTTTTTTTTTTGTTTGTTTGTTTGTTTTTCCCCAGAGTCTTATTCGCAGAACAACACCACGCTTATAGTTGCAGGAGTTTGTGGTGCTTTATTGGTGCTTGTGCTGATTGCTGTGGCGGCCTGCATTGTCATGAGGGTACTTCACAACCGCCATGATTACGAAGGGTAAGTGAGCCGTTCAACTTTACGCTGTTCCAGATTACCAATGACCTCAACTACAGTGAAGCTGCAAAATTTTCAAAAGTTTAAAAACTATATTCAGAACCTAAAAGTAGCTTCACTCTCAACGCCAACGTTATGCAATTTTAAGCTGAACGCACATTTAATAAATGTAACACATATGTACACGTGATAAAACAACTATTTGGTGATGCACTCATATATATCCAGACATAGTCGCAGTCAAACTCTTGTTAGTTTATTTATTTTTGTTCTTAGCAGCTTTAAGCTCCATATTTATATTATAGATATAAAAATATAAAGATACATCATAAAGAGCAATAAAGTTTTTGAAGTTGGTAAATACTGAATACTACAATTATATGATTTACACCTTTATATCTGTACTAGTAGTTTCACTATAAGTGTGACACTATCATTATATTTAAGTATGAAATATTGATCTTGTGTGAGCGATGCACACGTGATAATGATGTACATTTTTCTGACTCGCCAACTCTACTAAGATTTTTTTTTTTCAGTAAAATTAATTTCGTTCTCAATGTGACTCAGTTACTGCAATTACTTTTATCAGTTTTCTACAGAAAGTAGTTAATAGTGAATTTTGTGTGTTATTTAGTTATTTATTTACCGTTATGAACCCAGATCCATGCAGGGTCTGCAGGTGTTCATAAATACAGTTTAGACAGTATTAAAGTTTAACATTTCTAAAAGATTTGAGAATATTTTGTCTTGTGTGCCGCAGACAGTGGTTTCACCTGTAAAATCCTTTATATCTACAGCTGTATGAGATGTTTTAAATCCATAAAGTAAGTGCTTCATCCGCACATCCTGTAACAATAATGATAAACAGCAAGTGGTATTTTAATTGATAGCTAGCAACGAGAATATGTTAACGTTAATCTCCTGTGAATACAGAAAAATACCCCCACTGACTGACTGAATTATAACTGAATTATAATTGGGTTGTTTTCTTTGGTTATTTGTGTCTGTTGATAGTAACTTTACCTGATTTGTTTGATGTTTAATGCTCACATTATGTATTCATTATACTGATGTAAAAATAATACTTGATGCTGTTAAAATGAAAGGTAAGTTAAACAGATGATACTGGTTTCCTGAATCATTGTTTTGTTTTCAGTAATATTTCACTTGAGAGGTTGGTTTTTTTTCCCGTTAGACCCTCTGTATAGCTCTAACACTTTACAGTATCTGGTGTTTGGTGGGTACTAATTATTAACACGTTTGTTTTTAAAAAAGTGTCCACTCCAGACTTTGCATGCCTGAGGTATTTCTGACCACGTCTACCTCGCATGCCATAGAAACTCTTTCTTCATCTGAGGTATAAACAAAAGAGCCACAAATCTGAGAGATGTCCCTCTTGTCCACCAGGAAGGTGTCAATGAGAGGCCCTGTCTTTTGAGAATTGGCCCACATTTTTAAAAGGTTTGAACACTAAAGGTTGCAAAGCAGAAGCTGCACTCGCTGAGAGGTCTCTCTTGTCAATGCAGCTGCAAATTTCTTGTTGATAGTTTTGTGCTCAACCTTGAAATTTGTGGAGCCATGCCAGTGCTAATGCTTTGTGTGGAAACAGTTCTACTTCAGGCACCAGCACTTGCTTCTGACTGAGTAAGAAAGAAAAATCTGGCACCTTCTGCTTGGCTGCTGAGTGGGTTGAGCCTGTGAGCTGAGCTAACAGGGATCTGTGGGGTGGCTGTTTTCACTGGTGCCAGTCATTTTTTTCCCCCTCCATTAAATTGTATTAACACCACTAACTTCACAGCAACACCTTCTACAAGCATGTTGAGCTTGTTGCCATTTAATCTAGACATTGTCTTTTAATGCATTTATATGTAATTAAGTAACCTGGTTACAGTCAATGTCTCTTTTAGGCAGATTTACTGTCTTTAGAACAGCTTAATGTTAAAGTGTAGAACTTTTATCCATCGTTTGCCACTAACATACAAAACTAAACGGTGTCTTTCTCATCTGCTTCAGTGAGACTAAACCATCGTCAGCTTTTCCCCCCTCATGAAACATGTTTATTTGACAACAGTATTTACAGATTTTTATTTATTTATTTTTGGGCAGTGTTCAGTCATCTTAATGGGCTGAAATTTTGGCCTCTCATTGTTCATTTAGCATTCATGTTGTTATTTTCAGGTAAACTGCCTCTCTCCCCTGTTGCCTTTACTAGAGTTGCACTGATTGGCTGCTTGACTTAAGATTTACAACCCTTAGACTGAGAAATTAAATTGGATCAAATAAGCATTGATTCAAGCACAAACGGATTGGCATTTTATTGTTTTGTCTGTTCTATATGTTATAAAATAAAATTTAAATTGAATATTTGTTGAGAGGTTTGCTTGAGCTACTGATTAAAATCAAAAATATTTGGTTTTCTCTTCATACTGAGGAAGAAATAATAAAACTTAGTATAAACATTTAGATTTATAATCTTTTGTTGATGTATTAACTGATCAATCAGTCTTTGCTTTTATGTGATCAACTGTCATTAATTAAGATATCATTACAATAGAAGAGCATCTAATGACTGGTTATGTTATATGTTTGCACTAACTTTTTGCAAAAGTATTATTAATTACTAATATTTATCCATAATTTAGATGAGTATATACTCTAAATCAAGTAATTCAGATGCGGTACAGTAAGATAAACAATGGAGAATGTTAATAAACCTTGTTGGGTTAATTTCCATTGTTGTACTTCTGCTCTACATATTAAAACAGTTGAATCAGTGGCTGTATTTGTTGCCCTGCTCATTACATTACATTCAGCAATACTGGTAGTTTGTGTTGAATGTTGGAAAATAGTACATATTTGTACAGTTTTCTAGAGCCAAAGCACAGACCTTCAGATTTCTAGAAAACAGTTTTAATTAGTTAAATAAAAAATTAATTTTATTGAGCCAAGAACCTAATCCGTAAGCCCTCAAGTGGAATAAATTCAGTATCAGAGAAATCACCAGGCTTCACATTCAGATTATAAACCACATATTACAAATGATAATGTAATATAAGATCTCCCACATGGTCACACTGGGGAAAACTGGTCGGAGACGTGCAGTGACCCAAATTATTGCAGCTGTGTGCAGTGAACTTGCAGTCTCGTTGACCTCCTGGAAAGAGATTTGCAAAGACACTAGTTGGACTCATCAGTGCAAACTTACTTTGCTTGATTGCGATGGGTTGGCAAGCGGTCTGCATTTATAAATTAGATGACAGTAATTTGCAAACCTTTGCTAATCTGCCTGAAAGCAACTGCAGTCCGTTTGAGTCTGATCACAATTGTTTGGAGACCAGTTCTCCTACAGATGAGCTGTGTATTTGGCTTGCGACTGTAATTGTTCCAACTGCTTGCAGCTGGTTCAATGCAATCACTAAGCAACTATGAATATTTTTGTAGTCAAATTTTCAGTCCTGTTTTTTTTTATACTAGTGTGACTGAGCCACAATTATTACCTTGTTGTTGTTGTAAAAGAAATTCAAAACCAAAAAGGGAAAAAATGCAACTATCACACAGATAAAACTAAAACAGCTAAACTGTTATGGGTGGAGATGGAGATAAGGTTTATCTATAAAATTAAAGAAGCTAAATTATATTACACTATGAATTAAGTACAAAATTATAAACTGTAACCTTTGTGCTAAAGAATCAGTCATAAAAATATTCATCAAAATATCTTAATTTGGATTTTATTTGATTGCAAATGTGCTTCCAAAATTGCACACCCACCAATCTGATATGGTCTAAATCCCATCGGTGCACCTCCAGTCGGCGCTCAGCTGCAGCATTTCATGTTCTCATGTCTCATGATTTTGTTTTTTTCTTGTCCATTATTTGTGTTCGTCTCACTTTGACTGTGCACCAATGATTGCTCGACTCCGTTACACCTAAACTAGCTGTACGTCCTTGGAAAGCGTGAACTCTCAGGCTCCGCAGCCTCGAAAGAAGGTGGAGTCCAGAGTGGAGGGCTCCAGATCTACCAGTCCCTCGGGTCCGCTACAGGTATGAGTTGGGGGACGAAGGGAAGGAGCAAAAAACCAGTGGCTGCCTCTGTTTTACTGGAAGGTGGTCACATTTATGTGGACAACGTATCCAAATACAACTGAAAAAAACTTTTTATCCGTCCGTAATATTTAGTTCTGATTTTATATGAATTTTATTTGGTATGTAATCTTATTTTCAGTTGTTTCCATTCATGTTTTTTATTGTTTGGCCAAAAAAACAACCTAAAAAAAGGGACCCTCAAAGCGCTTTACAATACCACTATTCATTCACTCTCACATTCACACACTGCTGGTGGAGGCAAGCTACAGTTATAGCCACAGCTGCCCTGGGGCAGACTGACAGAAGCGAGGCTGCCATATCGCACCATCGGCCCTTCTGGCCATCACCAGTAGGCAACGGGTGAAGTGTCTTGCCCAAGGACACAACGACCGAGACTGTCTGAGCCGGGGCTCGAACCGGCAACCTTCCGATTACAAGGCGAACTCCCAACTCTTGAGCCACGATTGCCCCAAATGCTATTGTTAGTTTACTTTTTTAGACATGAACAGTTATTTATCAGGTGTTGCATTTCTTGTGTTTAGCTAATAGACTGAAATTTTCTCATGTGTGTTCTCCCTTTATTGATATTTCTCTGATTTATCAGCTGAATAATTGATCTGTTTTAGCAAATCAAACAGTCAACTCACCCTGAGAAATCTTCAGTGGGCTGTCTTAATACGACAGAGAGCAGAACCAATCTTCAAACCTGCGAGTGAATTTTGCTTGAAATGAAACAAAACAACAAATTGGATTTGATTTCTAAAGTGCGAGTGAAAGGCGTCAGAATAATTTAACAAAAACTGAAAAATGTAGATAAAATGGAAAAAAGGTGAAGGACAGTTATTTACAGACTATAGAGTCCCCCACCCAGTGGTCACAGTGAGAATTTATTTATTTATTTTTAATCTTAGGGCAGATTTTGACTATTTATTGTTTTTAGTGAAGTGTTTCCTCTAAATAATACATGAAGGCGGAAATTTTTTTTTAGTTTCTGCTATATTTAAATGTGAAATCTCCTTTCATCAAAATCACTTATCCATGATAATAAGTAATATTAGAAAAATCAGTGTCGAGCACAACTTTTACATTCGTCTTAAGGCCAGCATGTCATCGGTTTTATCCTGATCAGCCAACCAACACTCAACAATTTTAGGTTTACTGTCCAAAAAAAACCCTTATTTTCTCAGTAATAGTTATGTTTGTTATTATTATTTTTTTTTTTTATTTTAAAAAGAAGACTAGACTATCCCACACAGACACGGGACTGCTGTTCAGTTTTCGAGTCTCTTAAAGCGTGGGGTGTTTTTGGCTTTGTTTTGGGGGTTTTTCCCTTTAAATTGATGTTTTGATAACTTTTGCTCTACTTTGCAGTACTTTTTTTAACCCTCACAATAACGTTTGCATTTCCTGTGACCCGTGCAGAGCCGTTTTTATGATACAGTATCGTGTATTGTGCAGCACACGTTCCCAACTTGCGGCTGCGCGGGCACCGGTCTGCACCATTTATATTTAGAAAGAGAAACAGAGGAGCTGGTTCACCAGCTTTCTCACTGAAAGACGCTGTCACTGTAATTATGACTGCACCCACGGGATGACACAGCTGTCTCTGCGGCTGTAGTCACGGCTGTCACACTCTCACTACACTGTACTGTATAGTCTGCGTGCAGTGATGATCCTGTGGCAGTCCTGCACTTTTGTGGTGTATTGGTCACGCTTCTCTTTAGGAAGCACCCAAGGCTCTAAATCTCAATCACGGCAAGTCTGAACGATTACCACGGCCAGCTGTAGCTTGCCCCTTAAAATCATCTTAAATGCAGTAAGAGGGGATAAAATATTCAGCATCTATCCCAGAAGTTTGGAAACTATTGTATCACAGCTAAAGCCTATCAACCGAATACAGGTATCAAAACATGAGGTGCTAAAGAGTTCCTCTTCCTGTCTTTGTGAGACACATGTTAAATACTTGTATATCGAGTGACACTCCATATTTTGGCAGTGTAATGTTACTATTATCATTATTACTGTATAACCAGTGCCAAAGCTGTGAATAGGAGTGGGAAGGAAATGTGGAAAAAAACTAATGTAAGCCACTTTTCAGAGGCCCTGTAATTGCTAAGTAATTATCCAAATATGGACTAATTATCTAAGCCTTTTTATCTGTGTGTATGTGTTGCCCTTACATCTCCACAGCTAAGCACTAATTAAGTCAAACTATAAGAAGCTGTTGTCTCCCAGTCAGAAGCTCCATTTAAAAAAACAAACAAACAAACAAAGAAAAACCACCTAGGTTTCTGACTTTGGGCTTCTTTAATCACCCATGTGCGTAAAGTGAAATAAAGGTTGCCGTTTATTATTTGCTTCTTTCTGTATCTACTTGTATCATTGGCTGACTGTGTTTCTTTCCTGCTCTGCATCTCATTTGTCCTCCAGGGCCCGGTGATATACGCCCAGTTGGATCACTCAGGCAGCAAAAACTCCTTCCATAAGATGGAGCCTGTGGTCTATGCTGACATTCGTAAAAACTGAAGAGGAACCGGGGACCAAATAAAGGAAAAAAAAAAGTAAACAAAAATCCAGTAAAATATGAGACCTCTCTATCAGCTGCTCTTGGGAAGGGTGGGGATATCTCAACAGGGACACAAGTGGTGCAGTTTCTCTCTCTCTCTCTCTCTCTCTTTCTCTCTCTTTAAAATTTTGTCCTCTGAAAGCATGATGATATTATACGATAAAGTAATGTCTCCATGTGCTTTGTTGTAAAAACAAGAGAAAAAAAAGCTATGAAAACACTCAAAGTCGATGTTCCACCACTCCGTTACACCAAAACTGTTCTCCAAAAAAAACCAGGGGCACACATAAAAACGAGAAAGCCTTCGGTTATCATTCCAAGTATTATTTGTTTGTTTTGTTTTTGTTCTTGTAGCTTTGTGCCCCCCCCCCCGTCCCCCCATTAAAGGTTTAGCAGGCTGTTGCACCAACTCAACAGTCCTACTTAAGATGCTCACACCTGAACCGAGTGAGCCCCGTTTAATAAAACGAAGCGAAACAAAAAACATTGGTGCGTTAAACTGTTTCTTCCAGAGAGAAGAGACGTTATAAAGCAGATATTTGAACGATACGCTCACTGTTTGTCTTACATCGCCTTCTCATTCATTGATCACTTCTGCCGAAACTTTGGTGCTTTTTATTGGCCGGTGAGACTGGTCTGAAACTGTACAAACAGCAACATCAGTAAAGATCAAAGAAAATCTACCAACGTCAAAACCTCAAGTTACATTTTTTTGTTAGAAACTGCAGACTGTAGTCGTCACAAAGTTGCACCTGTGCTCTTGTCTGATCCAAACTGTGCCGCATTTAGATCAATGTAAAGAGATGTAGTGTGGTCCAAGTGTGTGCTCACAGTGTTAAAAGTCCCATTAATGAGCCGGGCAGACGCTCCACCGTTTTATTCTCCTTTGTTTACAGGCTTCTGATCTCTGCGCGTCTCTGTCATCCTGAAAACCCGATTGGTTCATCAACAAGTCAGAGTTCAGACTGGGCAAGTTTTTCCTGTTCTGATGGGCCACTGTGTCACATTACATGATTATAGAGTCATAAAATCTTTCTACACCTGAGACGATGATGGCACTGAGAAGGAGGTGCTTGTAATTTCCAGGGTAGAAAAAAAAGTAAACACGTGGAGTCAACTGAAGTTGTGTGTATGACACACTATGACTCACTCCTTCAGATAAAATTTGTAACTTCTGTTCACAGAGAACAGCTTGTGCAGCGCTTTTGGACAAATTTCATACTTTTTTTAAACTCCCATCTAAACGAGGAAAGAACCCCTGCATTCAGTGATCACTGGAATATTAAAAAGAACGTAATTTGTAGAATTAAAGCACAAATTTTACAAAATGTGAAACTTCAAGCTGCTCAGTCCTGATAGTTAACACAATGATCATCCCAGGGGAACAAAAAAGAAAGTACATTTACCGATATTGTTTCTATGATAAAGAGTAAATATGTCTCCCAGCATAGTGCTGGTAATGCACAGCGTCAGTTTTTGTCAGTTATGCTGCACTGCATGAGATAAAATGACCAAAGTTTGTGCAATGTGTCATCTCAGATTAGAAAGTAATTAGGGGTAATATGTGTTGTCTGAACTCAAACCCAGTCAAATTAAAAAGGAAAAACACTACTTTGAGTAAAAGGATTAAATCTTTAACAGCAGAAGAATAACTTCTGACTGAAACGGCAACATTTTTTTTCTCCTGGTGGAAGTTTAGACGTCCTGTAGTGTGAGTGAGCGGTGACCCTTAAAGCGGACTCGACCTGTACTGTAACGTCTGTCTGTCTGCCTTCATATCATCGACTTCGCTAACAGCTGGTGCAACAGTCTGCCGAAGCCACGGCTCCCTCTCCATCGTCTGGCTCTTCCATAGTGATGTTGTTCTGTAGAGGCGAGTGATGTAGATGTAGAATTTTTTTGTTTGTTTGTTTTGTTTTGTTTTTTACACCGCCTTCGGTAACTTTGCATGCAGATATAATGACATCTAAAGAATAACTTTGGTACTGCTCGGCTGGTTTATTTAATTTTTAAGAGCAGAAGCAGCCGTCTGACGTTGGTGTTACTGTGAATGCTTCACTTCTCTGTAAACTCCCGGCATGTCGTTGTGGTACCGGTAAAGACGCCGCATTTAGATTTTCACCTCAGTGGAAAATTCCGTACGTTTAAGTTTCAGTTGCTGTCACTTTTTTTTATTTTTCATTGTCCCAGTTTGTGTACATATAAACACATGGACAATGCAACCCAGGTAGATTTATGCGATTTCTTTGTTTTTATTAAAGAGCCATGGGCAGTTTATTTCTTTATGTTGAAATATGCATGTTAGGTTCAATTGAGGTGAAAGATCTCCTTCCTATGAAAACTGGGCGATGTTATTTTGTGCAACAATACACACATTTGCATGCAATTTACTAACATAACACACATTATTATGAGACTATCCGTCCTCTTTTTCTTATTTATGCATAATATAAAGCTCTTTGTCAAACTAATGGGCCAAATATCTAATGCCAACACTTTCCGATTTCAGATGCTTTAAATACATTCCAAAACTTTTGTTTTCTTCCAAAAAGCCAAATTTATGTTGTAATTTCTTTGGTTTTTGTTAACGCGAATATTTGTGTTGCCATCTTGATTCCTTCAGCTTCGTCTTGTGATTCCAAATGCAGTAAAACTCCATGCTGACCAGTGTTTGTATATATTTCTTGCTCCTCGTGTAAGATATAGTGCTGTTATACTGTAACTCATTCCAGTGTGGTATGGCTGTGGATGTCTTTCCTGAGAATGGAAGCGGTTTGCTCGAGAAAGTTGGTGGCATGCTTTGTTTTTCTTACTTAAGTCTTAATTATTTGTCACCAGACACTCTGACATGTGCATAGAGCGCCTGCAAGAAGTGTCGCAACACCAGCCGGTTTAAAGGGCTCCGGCTTAAGTTTCTTCAGCCAACAGTCTGAGCAGAAAACACTAATAAATGTGGCTTGATTAAAAAAGCCTTTAAGTCCATGTTTGTTTGGTGCAGAGGTATCCTGCAGAATAGTTTGGGTAGGCTTCACATTTGCTCTTAAAGCCTAAATCCTTCAAGCCTCCTTTAGATGTTGAGATCCAGAGGAGTTACTCAAGTACGATACTTTTCATTTTATACTGATGAAGGGTCTGTATCTCCTCTGTCTTTTTGCAAAGACAGAAATTTATCAGCAAGGCTGTAAAGCTCATCAAACGCCTGAGACTAAAACGTGTAAGAGAAACCCAACTTTATTGACCTGCTGGGGCCAGTAAATAAAGTTCATTTATTGGAAATGGAGAAGAAATGTTTCCTGTCAGTGTAACTGTCGTTTAATCAGGGTAAAGGCGGCGCTTTGATGTAGAAAATAAGAGGCTCTGCAGAAACGTGGACCTGCAAGGAAGGCTGCCGGTACTGACGATGATTAATCACACTCAGTCACATAGAACCTGACTTGTAAAAATTTATATTCCCCAACTGGTTGGAGAGTGGTTGCCAGGTGCTGCACCACAGCTAATTGCTTTGGGTGCTATTAGATTGCATGGAAGACACCAACTTGCCTGTAACGCTCACTAAGTATTAGTGCAACTAGTGTTTGTCTTCAAAGTAAAAGTTGTGCTTTACTTTTGAAAAGTAAGGCACAACTTTTACTTTGAAGGTGAGCTTTCTCCGTTTTCAGTTTCCGTTGCGCTCGTCAGCTTCTGCACCACTTGGCGCGTACTTGTCGAGCATGAGTTTGGTGTTTTCTGTGCAGGCTACCGTTGACCACAGCAACCTGTGAGGTTTTTGGTGCAGCGCCATGTGGCTTTCTGCCACCACCCACAGCCAATGAACAGCCAGTTGGAGATTACCTGTTTTTCCCTATTGACCAGTGATTACCAGGGGTTACTGACTGGTTGTCGGCTTGTCTGCCCTTTGGAATGTGATAAATAATTTTAAAAGGCTGTTGAAAATGTACATACAATTGTGTGGACTGGATTTAACTTCATCTGTTAGATTTGTGCCTAATTGTGAATGTTTTCTTTGACTTTTGAAAACTAGTGAAGTAGTCTGGTTAGTTACCGGGGAAACCCCCGGGTAAAAACAGCCTAACTCAGGCCGACAACCAAGCCTGTGTTTTCAGGACAGATTTGACAACTGTGGTGAAAGAGGGTTTCCACAAGGAAGGAAGTGTTTGTTAGACCTCTTCAGATGTTTCCGTGTCTGCGCTGACACATAAAAGGGAAATTACTCACATGTTTTGTATATTTATCCCAAATTTGTGAAATCCTCTGACACAGCAGTAAAACTTAATGGGTCATAACCAACTTCAGGCTGAAGAAAACCAGGCTTTGGCCGCTTTGACCCAACTGTGGTTGTGACATCACAGCCAGCAAGCACCGCGATGTCTTCCATCTTTTCCTCTCTGTTTCCTTTTTTCGTTTTTGGGTTGTTTTTTAAAAACACTCTTGTTTGCAGCATGCATTCCAAACCAAAATGAAACATCCGTGTACAAACCGTCAGCTGCTGGTCGCTTTGCTCCTAATTGTGACTCGTTGCAGTGTTTAGTGCCGTTGTAGAAATCGTGATGTAAACTATAAATTATGAAAGATTTCCGATGTGACGGAGCTCGCGCGGTGGCGGCGTTTGGTGTTCTGATTGGACGCGGGTCTTAAAGTGCGTGCTCGGTGTTTATCGATGGTAAATAGTTGTGTGTTATTTGAGAATCGTTTGGTATGTTATGTTGTAAAATCTGCACTATGTCTGGCATAACAAAGACAACAAAATGCCCTGTGATTATTATTATTATTATTATTGTTGTTATTTTCATTCGTCTCTGAATGACTTTGGCCTCTGTTTGTTTACCGTCTTTAAAACTGGAATGTTGTACATTTAGTGCCTTTTACATTTCATCAGCTAACTTGAACATCTGCTCAAAATAGAAATAAGATTCATTTATTTTCCTTTTATTGTATGTATTTTTTTATACACATAATATCGCCTCTGTATCCACTGTTCAAATTTTATATAAAACTTATTCCTGGCCAACTATCCATGTGTTTCTGTTTATTATTATTATTATATTATACTCAAACTGTCAGATTTCTCTTCCATTACTTTTTTCCCCATGAATATTATGTATGTTGGTTAGTTTTAAACTACTGTGTGTAAATATTGTGCAAAAGTCTTGTCTCATTTCTTCATGTTTTGCTTCCATGAAGCCAGACTTTAATATTTTTAAAGTGGTCTTGAGCAATAGTTCACATACCTTTTGTGAATTTCTTTGGACATTGGCTTCTTTTTCACTCATTTTCAGTCCAGTCCTTGCACCTGACCATTTTCACAGGAATGTTTTTTGTTTTTAAGCCACTTAAAACTAATCCGAGTCAGTCAAACATAAAAGAAGGCGCCGAACCCAAAGGATGAACCTGTGTTGTCGACACGTAGCTTATCAGCCTGATTTGATCCCATTTCTTTAGCAGAATGTATAAAATATGCCAAAGATAAGAGTAAGAGAGCCATAACATTGTATTTTGGCACCAACAAGATGATTCTCAATAAGCTATTGAATAAAAACTTGGCATATCTTAGGATAAAGTAATGTCCCAAGTAATGCAACCTTAAAAATTTGAAGAAGTTGATCCATCTACTGTTCACTGACGCCTCATCAGTAATTCTCTCAGTGGCTGTCAAGACAGGCTGAGGTATGGCCCATGTTGGGCCCATTACACAAGAACTGGACTGAAAATCAATAACAGGCTTGATGGGGTCATGAATGTAAATGTGTTTTTTGGTTGAAATTGCAAAAGATTACAGAGGAGGTCAGAAGAGTGAGTGCCTACAGTAGAAGCCGGCATATATTGGCTATATACTGATACATTAGATTAAATGAGAATTTAAAAACTGAAGAAGAGAGGTGAGAAGCGTCTTTAACCACATTATGAGTGTTGATTTTGCAGTTTGTCCACCAGAGGGCGCTCTGCGACTGTACTGTTGGCAGCGTTTCATAGAGATCAGGCAACCAAAACCCAAAGAACAGCTTTGAATGCCCTTCAGGAAGCCTGGAGACTATTCCTGAAGACTACTTAAAGACATTACAATAAAGCTTGGCTCAAAGAGTTCAGGCTGTGCTGAAGAATAAAGGCTCATACAACTTCAGAGCTGTACAAACTCTGTTTTTGTCTTGTATACTGTTTGTCTATGTGTCACTAAATTACTGCACATTCCTAACATTACTAAAACATAAAGGAGGGGTATCTCAAGACTTTTGCACAGTACTATACAAAGTTTAATGCTTTTACAATGGACGGAGCCTCCAGGTCTGCTCTGTTGCTGGTGATGGACCTGATGGTCCACTTCCCAGGAGGTGGTCTGGTTCCAGAACCAGAACTTATTCCATGAAAAAGCAGGAAACATGAGGGTGCTGCTGAACAAAGAACAGCAAGTGTCTCAGTGTAAATCTGACAGATGTAGAAGCAGTTGATGGGACATAAAAGAAAAAAATAGAAATTAGAAAAACTAATTTCTACTTCTGGTGTGTGTGAGATACATCAGACTATTTTCTGCCTTTAAGTTGCCAATCTTTAGTTTTGTGTACCAAAAAGAAAAGGGGTCACATTTTTATAATTACCAAGATAATTTAAATTTAAACTTTTTGTTTTCTCTGAGCAAATAAACAGAGGTGGAAAAGTCTGATCTTCTACTTCAAGTCACAAATTCAAAAGTAAATGTTGATGTGAATATATGGCTATTACGTAGTACTTTATTATATTTCTAGAGACAAATGCGTTAAAATTTCACTGTTTAAGTCTAGTTTACACCGTGTTTTGTTTATTACAGCTTTGGCTGTGAGGTCGTTTTGTGCACATAGAGTCAAATTTTCACATAGGTGTGCTTTCTTTCCATGACCAGCAGGAGGCAGAGTGGTCCTTCCATTACCTTCAGGTACACCTTACCTGAGCCGTCCATAATCTTAGCTTTTCTTAAGCACCCTTCACCTGCAGGAATAACATCCCTCTGATCTCACTGTTTTTCCAGGAAACAAATATCTGAGAAATAAAGGGGGGAAAAAACCACCCCACACACCCGCGAGTAATGGCGACCTTTTTTTTTTCTGAAATGGAAACAAAAAGTCCGGGAATCCCGGTGAATTTAAATAAGGGGACAATCCCCCAGGGAGATCTGTGACACACACTCACATTGTGTATTTGTGTGTAAACATGACACCTGATAAAACATGGCAAAGAGTGAAAGGATAGTTAATCTGAAACTTAACCTGCACATGAACAGCAGACAGCAGACCAGGTAAGGCTCCTTCTTACGTGACACCTGTTTGCTAAAAACAGCGTAAAGCTGCACGAACACAGGCGCGCTGTGTTCGTGCAGCTTTACGCTGTTTTTAAAAACTCACGGTTAAGACGATAAACCTTGTGCATTAGTATAGACCAGCTGTTATCCGCGTGAAGCATCGAAAACAGCAGGCGCTCGGCAGCTTTTCAACACAGCTTTTCATATTTGCGTCCAACAAATTCAGAGATGGAGATCACAGTTTTCGCCAAATACGACGAGTTTTTCTTGTTCGACGCTTTAAAGCGGCTGCTGTCACCACAGGTGCCGGTACAGTAGGAGATGCTTTTATTAAACAGGCTTCAGATCCTTCTTTCTACTTTTGGTTCAGGGTGATGTCCTAAACCTGTTTGTGAGGGGCAGCCAATCAGAAGAAAGCTAGCTGAGGGGTCAGCTGCACTGTGAATCATGCAAAGCTACTGTGTTGGAGCCCCTTAGTGGAAAGGCTGGGTCTGAATATGAGTGCAATGAGTCCACTTTAAGTGATTTTGTTTTTGCCCATATCATTTCTGTAGGGCAAATGTATGTATAATATACATGCAGAACATTAACCTGATGCACCATTTCACCCTGTGGTTTTGTAAATATTTCTAAATAAGTGTTAGTAGTTATGAATAAATCAGAGTCCACCTGCCAGAGAGGCGATATGCTAAAAATCTAATTAAACAAGGAGTGTTTGTGTATTTTCACACTGTAGATTTACTCCAAAAAGCCACTTTTACGCTTTCACCCACTCTACATTTTACACGGAAATATATATTTATATACAGTAAACCTCTACACCGCAGATCTAACTTAAGAACAAATTCCAATATTTACACAAACGATCCAAACTAATGGTCCGCTTGCACCTGCTGAGTATTTCTGGAGCTTTCAGCCACATAACTCACATAATGAGCCCACGTGAGCTGCTGGAGATCTAAACAGAGCGCTTGTTTTTTAAGTTTATAACGTGCCGGGTTTAGTGAGTGTTATATGATGCTGTTCTGTCAGGTGCATCCTGCAGCTCGCCATTACCTGTAAGGTATCCTTTGGTGTTGGTGCTTTTAAGAGATGCTTGAAGTCTACAGGAGGTGGTTGGAAAATGGGAAGGACCACGTTGTCCCAGATTAAGAGCCAGGGGATCCTGGTTTTCCTCCTGTTAGTACCGGCTTTGTTTGGCACTTTATTTTTTCCCTCACACTTTGCTCTCACTTCCTCTCACTGGTTAGGTTTCCATATAAAAACTACTTGGTTAAAGAGAGGGAAAGATCGTGATGTGAACCAAAAACACCCTTAAGAAGAATAATCTGCTGACTGGCTTGTGCCGTAACCCAGCGCGTGTGTGTGGTGCTAATATTTGGTGTGAGCCATTAAACCTGCAGCAGGTGTTCAGTTTGAAAGGTTATTTCAGGTGCAAGCCTCGTTTGGAGGCATCCACGGGTCTTTAGTGGATTTAGGTTGTCTGTTGATCTAATCCTAGACCGGCTCCATGAAGTCCGGGTCACAGCTCTCTGTGTGAGGTGGGATTTGTTCTTTTTTTTGGATGAAGATTGCTCCAGGCTGGATGTTTGGGAACGCTGCGGTGCGTGTGTTAGCTGTCCAAACTTTTGGGAATGCTTTACAGGCTTAAAAGCTGCACACGCACCAGTCCACACAGCTGAAATGTGCGTCTGATGAAGCAGGAGAGGAAAGCCAGATCAGGAGGTGCTGAATCCAGAGAGCGTGCTTCTCGACAAGGTCAGGGAAGAGAAAAGGTTACGAAACACATCCTGAACACATGCAAGCAACGTATTCATGATAGATGTGATTGTAGTGATAAGAAAAGCGTGAAAGTGTCGGACCACATAATGAGTGGACAGTGGCTTCTCTCTCAGAACAGAAAGTGAAGGCTCTCAGCTGCAGGTGTACCACAAGAAGTCATTTACAATTCAAAAAACTAAAGAAAATTCCGCCATGTTAATTCAGGTTAAAAACTGCACCTAAATATTTACATAAGGGGGGGAAAGCAAAAGCAAAACCAGAGAATTTAATGGTGACATCTTTATTCGACTCTTTTTGATGGCGAGCTCATCTTGTGCTGCGTCTTTAGCGGGAAAGAACCAAAACTGAGCTCAGACACCACAAAGTAAAGCTGATACTGAAGAATCAGACTCAGCAGGCAAATCATCAGGAACTCGGAAAAACTAAGTAAGTCACCTAAGGCTTGTTGATGGTTCGAGGTGTGGGTCACAATCTGGGTTTTACACATCAACACAGTTTTAAGTAACTCTCAGGGCACAGGGCGTGAGATCCCACGTGTAAGAGGAAAGGTCGAGACTGAAGACAAGCGATCCCCCCAAAAAGCTCAGAGAGCCGAGGAGAGAGTTCCCCTCGCTCTGCAGGTCGATAGTCTTGTTTCTTTGGTTCAGTTAGTCAGATTCAACAGATTTCTATTTGTGCACGATAACGTCAGTAAATTTAACAAAGCCTTTCAAAATGTAACCTTCATCCTGTAAAAGATTTTCAAAATTTCAGGCCCTCTGGGTAAATTTCTTTCCAGCTTAACGACACGAGAAACGCTCCGCAATCAGGTCAATTTCACACACCTCCAAAGTGCCACAATCTGACACTAAAATCTAGTTTTTATTCAGCGTTATTTTTGTTCTAAGTCTGTAATGATGCAGAAACAGAAACCAGCTACTCTGCATACGCGATCTGTTTTCTGATAATTCACTGGAGAAAACTTCAGAAGGTGGGTGAAGATTTAGAGAGTTATGCCACCACCTGGTTAGAATTAATTACAGCATATGAAGGATGTCCTCTTTACCTCCCCTTTAATAATAGAATTATCCTTTAGCTGCTTTCAGTTTCTAATATGATTATATTTATGTTTGTGGTTGTGAAACAGATAAACAGCATTAGCATCCTTAATACTTTATAACAGATTCAGATTTGTTTGACTAAATGTGGAGTTTAAACACTTAACTTACACAAAAGCCAACGGATTAAGAAACACCTGCTTATATAAACTCAGAGATAGAACGCTTACAAATCCCTTTATAAATTGCATTTTTTCCAATATTCGCGTCCTAAATCAGACTGTAGTTTAGAAACAGTCTGATTTTATTTGTTAAAAATAGCATTTCTGCTTCACATGCAGCGCAATCTATCGCTGAAAATCTCCACCGATGCAGTCAGAGCTCGAGAGCCCTTTATGGAGGCGAGAGTTTTACTCATGCTTTTTTCCAGCCTGTCTAGACACGCAGACATTCGTACAGTCATTTAAAACTGATTGTCTGTATGTATAAACTGGTCTTATTCATTATAATTAGAGCGATGTTTGTTTACAGTAGGGCAGACCAGAGAAAAGCCACATGACAAGTCTGACTTACTCCCACAGTCATAAAAAGGATGTGTGATTTCTCAGCGCACCCACACGTCTCTGCGAACGGTATCAATAAGAGCTGCTGACGTAGAAGCATCAAAAACAGCTCAACTTGTTTAAAAAAATAAAGAAAACATCCATAAAAGGCTGCTTTCCAGAGATTTCAAAGAACGGAAAAGTATTCGGCAGAGCTGAGGCTTAAATGCCTCAGATTCCAAATGGAGTCTGGTGCCTGTGAGAACGTTCAAACTATTCCTCGAGACATCCAATTTTAGGATTAATAGATGGCATTTTTTTTTTTTTGTGAGGTTGGGGAGAGAGGTTAGGGTTGAGTCTCCTTGAAGTTACAGCTCAAAACTAGAATTCCCAACCCAACCCCCCCATATATGGCATTTCCCCGAGAACAGTGGGAGGGGGGAAAGAGGCCAAGCCATGCAGGATATTCTCACAGGATGTGAGGATGGCCGGACAGCAGCCGGCAGCCGTGGGGAGAGGAGCGTCGAGCTGAAACGAGCGATCGACCTGTGTGGGTGTGTGAGGGTGTGAAATCGATATGGTCAGGAGGCTTGTGAAGATTAATCATCAGCTGAAAGCGAGGTAAAAGTTCATATTGTTAGGCTGTTGCTGCAGAGGTTTTTGGAAGGTTCTCGGGGTCTCGGTGACATTTGTGTACTTGCTTACAGTTGTAGAGGTGGACGGAGTACAAATACTCATTTTGTAGTAAAAGTCCTGCGTGTAAACTCTAAAACAGAAGAAAAAATGCACAAGTTTTACCAGCTACTAACTCAGCTGTATTGCTTGCATGGGTAACACTTCTAAACAGCTCTTTCAAATACTTTTAAATCAGCGTTATGAGGACTTTAAAGGCTGGAAAAGGCTGATTTTCTCTCTTCACTGAGATGAAGTTGCCGTGTACCAACACGTGGACTTGAACTCTACGTGCTAAAATATTATTTTGTGTAATAGAATCTTTTAAAAAGTTGTGATTCTGCCAAAATAAAAGCCTCCTGGTTCACATTTATGCAGTAAACTCCACCACTGCAGCACTGTTACTACTACTACTATCTGCAAAATGTACAAAACTTCCTCTTTTATAGGCGCTCTGGCGTTTCTGAAACTAGGGGTCACAAGCTCTATAATAAGGTGGACTTTTTCCTCACCTTAGTTAATACATCCTACATTACATAATGTCTGATGGCCTCTTTAGTGCCTCAGATGTTTATATAAGTGAAACCATGTGAGGAATTTTGAGGGGAAACATTTCTTTGGTGGATCTGAAATCTGAAGATGTCCCCCTGCCAAACAATGCTCTGTATCTCTTTCATGGTATTAGTGGGATAGTTTAAACAAATGCAGTGAAATTTCCCCGTGGTGGGGCTGGAAGTAGAATGGGAATTAAAATGGGAGGAAGAATAAAAAAAAGGTTGAATGGGAACATTTAAAAGTCCGAAAGTGTGGATCTTTTTTGGCTGCAGATTAACGGCTGTGGTGTTTAACCAGACTGTAAACATTTCCTTTTTTCTATGAGATAAACCTTAAAGTCTATTCGACTTTCATCAAAGCCCTGCAGCTCTGCGATCCGCCTTAAAATCGGAGCAAAAGGCTGATTCATTCAACTTTTTAAAGGTTTCTCTAACGCTAAATGAAGGATGATTGCGTGCTCCAAGCATCACATGAGAGCACTGTGATGAATTAAATTAGAGCAAACTGCCTCCGTGTTTGTCACTCGTGACTTTAAACCATTCTTAGCCTCAAACTGCAAACCTTTTGTTTCCCCCGTAAGTTTCCATATGCATATCAGCTTATCAACCCATCCGGGGCACAGCGTGTCTGCCCTATAAGGTGACATAATGTATTGTTTTGTTTCTAAGTAACCTATCAGGAAACAGTGAAGCGCTATAAGCGTGACTCACTCGCCTCAAACAGTCGCTAATTTTTTAAAAACAATAACAGTACAAAGAGTTAATGGAAACCCTTTTTTTGGCTTAGTCATTCTTTATGCTAGAAAGAAAAAAAAACGGCATTCAGATTAATTGCAACAAAAAGCCCCTGTTTTCATTGCATAAAAAAAGCAACAAAACGCCTTCATAGGTCACACACTGTTACTCCTTCCCTTTTTAGTTACATATACAGCATCCTTCCCACATTCATGTGTTGCTCACTTGTGTGATCTGGACTGTCTGTGCCTGCAGCACCATGGACGTCCTCCAGCTGTTCTTCCTGCTGTTGGTCAGCTGCGTGGCGGCATCCGCGTACCCTCCCCAGCAACCCCCTCCATGCCGAGTTGTAAGTAAACAGAGACGCGCACGTCTGGTCTTTTCTCTGTTTTTTTTTAACGGCATCTTTTCTCTGTTTTTTGTTCACTTACATTTTACATGGTATGTGCGCTTTCTCTGTTCATTCACATCAACTACAGGCAGTTTATTTTATAATTATTTGCAAGTTTAGACCTGAAGAGAGTTTGTTCACGAGTTGCCAGCTTTAATAACTGGGCATTAAAATGTTATTTGTCTTCAGTGGAAGTCATGCTGATAGAGGGTTGGGGTTTTTTTTAAAGCATAGAGGACATGTGTCACCCAGCTTTGCCATTGTGTACAGTGCTGTGATTTCATTTTCATGGTATTTCTGGTGATTGATCTTGCAGAAATATTGCTGTAATCAAATGAAATGAAATGAAAAAGAAAAATGCATCACTTCCAGTAAGCTACAGTACTCGCTTTTCTTAGGAAAGAGCCGGAAATACATAAATAAAGCCTTTATGGGTTAAAGGTTGGATCACGTAGCAATTGGTCAGAGTCATTAGTGTCAGGCTCAGATGTGTTAGCTAAAAATAGCCAGATAGTGAAAGCGAAAGGTGCGTCACCTACATTTGATGTGGTCATCAGTGGTTCTATAAATACCCAGATATCACCGAACTTCTCTGCTGAAATCGGAACGGTTTTCAGAGCATCACACTTTCTGAATGAAGTAAAAAAAAAAAATCCTAAAGCAGCACAAAGACACTACTGATGACATATAAGGATATGCCACAAATCACACTTTGTACATTTGAGTCTAAGACATTACAAAAAGGCTCTGTAGTTCCCTGAAGTAGCTGGTTAGTGTCGCTCTTACAAAATGTTACTGAGACAGCAGCAAATATTGCATTTGTTAAAGACTATTTTGGGCTGTGGAGTAATACCTATTTGCTTCACTGGTTGGTATACTTTTGGAATTAGAATAAACTAGTCCTCCATGGTATTAATCATTTGTTCCCTCTAAAGTGGGGATGTCTCATGGGCCATACACTTATGTGGGCTTAACTTAAGTGGGCTGGACAAGCGACGCCCCCCACTTCTGTCAGTGTAAAGAAGTTTAATTACACAGTTGATTCCTTAGATTTCTCGATATAAGTAAAAGAAGCGCAAATCAAAAGTATGTCCTAATTTTTTACCACATGATAAAGAAATGTTGCTGCAGTAATTGAAATCCATCAGCATGACTTATAAACTATAAAAAACATGTAAAACTACAGAAAAGTATATATATGTGTACAATCCATTGAAAAAAAAAGATATGTGAAGAAACTATAACTTTTCTATCATTTTTTAAAATATATGACCTAATTACTTTGGTCTAATGTGAATGGCAGTTATCAATAAAGATCCAAGTCCACAATTTATGCCCTCCTTCATGTTTTTAAAAGCCATCCAATGTGGCTGGATTAGAGTCTTTGCCAGGCTGATTCTGGCCCCCTGGCCTTATGTTTGACACCTCTGCTCTAAGAATTGCTGAAACTACATATAGGTGTGTTTCCACTGTAAAATGAAGAGCTGCTTTTGAGTGTGAGACCACTTTCAAGGTTTTGGTACCAAACCTACTTGGTTAGGTTTAGAAAAGGTGATGCTTTTGATTAAAATCCAGAGTTCAGTCTTAAGAACTCATCATTCGCTTCATTATAAGCTCTTACAAAATCAAAACATTGTAATAAAGGTTTGTGAACAAATGTAGTTTTTATTCTGGAGGACTATCACAAACGGAGGTTCTCATTCTGGACGGTCACATGATGCTGTTTAGAGTCTCCACGATGATGGTGTTTTTTAACCATCGATACTGTTACACAGTAACTGCAGCAATAATGTCCCGAGAAGTATATAAAACGCTCTGTTTAAGAGATCAACAAAGTAGGTTAGAGGGATAGCGATGGCATAAATCTCATGTTTACCAGCCAGGAAACCACAGTTTACAACCTGCTAGGGTTTTTTTCTCAATACAGACTGTTTACTTTTTTAAAGAGGGGCATTTCAGATCTGTATTAGACTGGACCATGAAGAGTAGGCTGGAAAATGGCGAGAGGGGGAGGGTGAAGCATAGCAAATGGTCTGGAGCAGATTTAAACCAAGTCTGCTGCAGTAAGGCCCTCAGAGAGTCACCTGCTTAACCACACTGCATCCTCCAGTCGGTTCGTTGGGTTTAGGCTCTGAAAACTGCTTGGTTTAGAAAAACATTGTGGTTAGGGTTACAATAAACCCATCACCAACAATAAAGCCTCGGCATGAAAAATGACGAGTGCTGTGTACAGCCAAGAAAGCACACTACAAAACTGCGGCACACCAGCGGCTTTGATAAACAAACTCTGTATTTTGTACACTGGGAATGAAATTATGAACGTGGTCACAGTTTCTGGACAACAGTGGAGATCTGTGGTGTGGAAGCGTAAGATACAGTCTTGTTCGTAAATCAGCTGTTAATCAACCGTAAGGAAAAACAAGAGCGGGGGGGAAAAATCCCCGTGTTTGGATGTCCATGGATGCTTTTGCGATTAAAAAACATTGTGTAGTTTTCTCAGTCTGACTTTGTGAAACCAGATAGGTATCTTCCAGCAATAAAGTCTTTCTTGAAAGCATATTTTGGCCTTGTTACAGCAAGTATTTATAAGAGAACTGAAAGTGGTGAGGTGACCGATAATGAGGGGATAGAGAGATGGGAAATGGTTGTGCGACTTTTGTGTCCAGTTTGGTGACATTGTTGCACTAAACACTCTCACTCTCATTTACTGTCATCTCTGAACTGTGAGCCATTAAATAAACCACTAGCAGACCGTAAAACAAAGATTGGGGATGTTGCACTTTATGGTGTTCTAGCCTCAGCTAGTTGAGCACGACTTTAGCAGTTTCTCCACTTTGTTCCCATTATTTACACAAGTATTAGTCATTTTTTTACAGTTATTCTGACTAAATGTGCCGTAAACCGCCTCACGCGTGACTCAGATAATGTGGAGTTAAAGTCTGACTTAGTCTGACATAAGCAGTTGCGTGCCACACGAGCAGTATTGCTAATGAGACGCAAAGTCACGTAGGAAACATACGTCTTTTTTCAATGATAAAACTTTTCTCCAAGTGTGACTGATTTGTTCCTGAGCAGATACGAGATGTTCTGCCATCCAGTTCTTATTTGTTTACAGACAGCTTGCAATCAACAAGGAATGCCCCTTTCACGATACCACAAATACGCCAAGAAGCTAAATGTACTCTGCCTTAGAGAGTAAGCAGAGAGGGAGACAGTTTTATGAGCTGTTTTTGGACATGGGGGTTTGTGGCCATATGGTTTCAATTATAAACTGCACTTAATACCTCAAACGTCTAACAGGGACGAAAGAAGAAGTAAAGGTGTGAGGTGTGTTTTCTTCTTGGTTTAGGAACTTTTTGATTTCTTTTTCTTTTGGTTGGCTTTTTTTAATCAATTCAAAGAGAAATAATCATAGTTTAAACACTTAAAATAAAAATACAACACTGGGTTGTCTTGCTGCCAAGAACATGCCTTGGGCCTTGATACACCGACTCATAAATCGACCCTCCACATCCACATGTGGTCTGTGTTGTGTCATGATCAGTCAACCTGGCTGTATGCCGAGATAATCAGACTCGTGTGTTTGTCTTTGTTCGTAGGTCCAGATGGATGTGTTTTGCAGTGATCTGAGCCTTAGAAGTGCGCCACTCAACCTTCCCGATGTCGTCCAAATGCTGGACCTTTCACGAAACCAGGTGCAGAATCTCACCCAGGAAACTTTAGCATACCACACCAACCTCCGGCATCTGAATCTCCACTCCAATAAGATCCACTTCATCCAGCCCAGGCTCTTCGAAGACATGAATGATCTGAAAATCCTGGATCTGTCCAAGAATCATTTGAATGTTTTTGCCCACTCCAAAACAAACATCGGACCTCTTAAAGCTGTGGAGTCACTGGATCTGTCAAACAACGGCCTGTACACGGGGATGTCAGACTATTTCTTGGCTGACTCTCCCAGGCTGGTGAACCTTTCTCTGAACAGCAATAGCATCACTGAAGTAGCAAAAGATACCTTCAGTGGATCCTTGTCCTTGAGGAAAATCAGCCTCCACAATAATATCATCTTAAAAATTGAAGATGGAGCTTTTGACATTTTATCTCATTTGACCGAACTTGATTTGTCCAAGAATTCAATAAGGTGCATCGACGACTTCAATCTCGACAAATTAAAAGTGTTTAATCTCAGCCAAAACAGCCTGGAGTCATTCCAAAGCGCGCAATCAGACACTCCATATGAACTTGTCACTTTTGACCTGAGTCAAAACAAAATGCTCTTCTTTCCCCGTCTCCCGAAAAACAACTGCCTTAAATATCTGGACCTTTCGAAAAATCAAATCCAAAACATTAAATTCATGGGAAACATAACGTTTAATTGCCTCAGATACCTGGACATGAGTTACAATCAACTCAAAAAAATGCCTGAAGAGTATTTTTCCATGATGGGATCACTGGAGGTCCTAAATGTGAGTAATAACTGCATTACCTCATTTTCTATTACTGATGTAGGCCTTCTACAGAGAGTTAAGGTCATCAATCTGAGCTATAATCCACTGCAGAGTCTGACATTTGGAGAAAACACTGTGCAGTCGCTGGAAGAACTCTTCTTACAAGGAAACGACCTCACAACCCTGGACTATCAAATATTTCAGAGACTCGCCAACATCAAATACCTGCATCTCCAGCAGAATAACCTGCAAGTCTGTGACTCTGAGCCAACAGACCAAAACCACAAGGATCCTCAAAGTTGTGTGTCCTTTTTATCTGTTCCAAAATTGGAGGCTTTGTACCTCTCTGAAAACAACCTGAGGAGTCTGCCCGCGAACATGTTTGCCAACACCCCATTGAAGGTCTTAGATTTGTCCCTGAATCCAGGCTTGGACATGCACAAAGACTCTCTTTCTGGTCTAGAGCACTCCCTGGTTCACCTTTCCATGAGGAAAAACAACATTTCCATTCTAAAAGCAGATTTGTCCTTACTGAGGAGCCTCAAATACGTCGATCTGTCCACCAACCAGTTGACCACTCTACCGACGTGGAGCAAAGAGTCCTCCATTGAGTCCCTAAATTTGCAGAACAACCACCTGGTGACACTGGAGTACAGCACCATCCTTGCTTTGAAGCACTCTCTAAAGACTCTTTACATGGGCTCCAATCCTCTGAGCTGCTGCAGCAACCTCAGATCCATCATCATGGTGCAGCAGTCCGCCGTGGTCATTCCTGACATTGAAACGGTGACCTGCGTTCACGAGGACTACTCTGAGCCGGTCAGCATCAAGAAGGTGACCCAGACAATGTGCCATGGACCACCCGTCCAGAACTATGTTATTACAGTTATAGTGATATTGTTACTTGTGATGATCGTGTTCGTGCTCTTGGTTAAATGTTGCCACTCAAGGAGGCGGAAACATAACAGAGGTTTTAGGGCATAATGAATGAAGGTTGGCCACAGAAAGCCATGAAGGAATTTAAGAAACAGCTGAAGGTTTCAGTCAGACACAGCTGAAAATGTGAATGTAACTTCTGTGGGGCAAACCAAAGTCTCCTGAAGGAACAATGTGAGGCTTTGAGTTGTTTGTACCACTACGAAAAGCTACCATTGATCACTGAGACATCTATCAACAAGCAAGCATTCCTCAGTATCTTCCCAATTGAAGAAAAAAAGAGATTTTAAGGACCTTATGGTGTGCTGAGACACCAAACAAGGCAGTGTGACAATGCAAAGTCAAATGAAAACTACAAAACTGAGCATTTCAAGAGTGATGGCAACTCATAAAAAAGCCTTTTCAGTGACTTGATAACAAGTAAAGACTGCACAGAGCAGATACACTTGGTGCATTGGACGTTAAGCAGCTGTGTGTGCTTGCAGGACACACAGTGGAAACTTGTTTTGCTTTCTGTCTAAACACAACTTTATGGCTAACCCAGTTGTAGAACCATGACCGCACATTATCTTACTGAATGTAAAATGAAGAATTAACACTAAAAACACTTCCACAAAAGCGTGGCATCAACAAGCGTGCCTGAAATGCAGCAATAAAAGTTATTATAAGTGTTTGGCCTTTTGGAAAATACACTTTGATTTCAGTGTGAAACGTTGCCTTTTTTTTAGTCACTCATTGGTTTGTGGCATTTGCCTTGTGGATGTTAGCTCTGACAAACAGGAAACCTAAATTTGGCTATCAAAAAACAAGCTTGCCAAAGGAAATGTGCTTCAGTACAAATAAACACAGGCTACACCCACACTTTTAAACCTGTGCTTTTTAAAACTGGGATTTTTATTTTTGGAAAAACATCTTCATTCATATCAAAATGTAAAAAATGATCCATGTTGGGGAAATCAAGCCAAAGAGTGCCAAAGAAATGAATAAAACACAGAAATGGGGCTGCATTTTTGCGCTTCCAGCATTTTTTTGTAATGTTTTTTTTTTTAAGGTTAGATTTCTAAAAAGGGAACTTAAAGAAAAGATTTAGCCATTCTAATCTAAGCAAATATCCCCACTTGCTAGCAACTTCTAAGTGTTGCTAGCAAGCTGTCGGCGAAATTACTCATTATCCCACCGAACACGGCAGCTCAGTGTAGCGAAACTTAAGTTTGTTCATGAATTAATGTTAACCTTTTACTTTTGGAGACTACGTTTGCTCTTAAAAATTAAAATTAAAATGTGGCACTCACCTTCACTAACAAAACGTACTTCCGATGACCAGAGCTAATTTCTGTTATAATTTTTGCCTGAAGAGAAGTCCACTGGGTTTTAGTGTAGCGAACCAAGGCAATGCTACAAAAAAAGCATCATCCCTATGGATGGATTATCCCAGAGGAATAAAATAAACACCTTACATATTTTTTTAATCTCATTTTTTTGTGCGTACGCTGGCTTGTTTCCGGCTCATTCTACGCCTTAACTTCATACTGAAGTTGACCTTCTCATTTAAATCACAACAAGAAAGCAAAGTTGTGTATTTTCCCAAAGCGTCACTCACACTCATTTAAGGGTAGAATGAAGGTTTGTTGCAGATGGATCAGTGACTGAGACGGTGAAAGATGAAACGGGGCGAGGGAGCATCGAATCTCAGACAGATGTCTTCACTCAGACATGTTGGAATTTTCCTTTAAGCTAAAAATAAAGACGAGAACACTACTAAAGGTCATGAAACAAGAGGCTCTTTATTCGTGAAGTAGGATTAGATGAAGGTTGTTTTTTTGTTGTTGTGTTTTTTTAAGAAATCCAAGCCGTCACTTTAACCTTTATTTATAGTTTGCACTTTAAACTTCCTCTTGTATGTGTGACTGTATCTGATTTTATAACACTATAAGACCTTAATAATGCTACATAGAGCAGAACATATGATGACATAAGTTATTTTTCTTCTGTTTGTTTTTATATATATATTAAAAAAAACTATAAAAACAAAGCTGGAAATATTCCATAGTATGTTTTCCATACTGATACCAGGCCCATGGTGCTCCACCTGTTAATTTGACTGATATGAATAATGTGTTGGCATAACATGAGTGTTTGTGTTGTTTTTACCACATTAATATTATATAAAATGGTAAATCTAGCGCTGTGCTGTTGTTGGCTACACTGGGATTCACAGTTTCATGTGATTTTTACTGTGTTTAATCCTAAAAAGCAAATTATTATTGATGTTATTAGCAAAAACCAAAGTTAAATATTTTTTGCCATGTATTTTTGTGAAGTGTAAGTTTTTATTTTTTTTAGTAAATGAAGGACAATTTCTTAATGTGTGTGTGTTATTTGTTATTTTAACATCAACTCAAATATTGTTATTAAAGATTACACTCTCTGTGTAGTTATGATTTGTTTTTTTAATATACAGCACCAAATGACAACAACAATCACCTCAAGGCGCTTTATATTGTAACATATAACACTCTCAGAAATGTATCCTAAAGATCCGACAAATATAGCCAAGAGTGTTTCCAGGGCTTTTTAAATAGAGGTTGAACAAGTATTTTGGATACACAGACCTCTACTTAAAGTCTGCCCCTTAAGTGGATTGTTAGCTTTCTTTTTGGTGTATTTTTTGGGTACATGTTGCTCTACAGCTGCAACTGTGCCATTTTTTTATTAACAGTCCAAACTTACATGTGTGCTGGTGCTGGATTCAAATTTGTGAAGACCTGAAACTGACATTTGGGTCGTTTGAGTTATACAATACAATACAACTTTATTTATATGGCACATTTAAAGACCATAGATACACCAAAGTGCTTCTTAATAATACAATAGTATGAAATTAAATTAAAATTACATAAGGATGTGATAGCAAAGTGCAAAGTACACTGCCAGATGAAACAGAGCACTAATTAATCGGCAATGCTAAGTTAAGTAAGTTATTAATCGTAATTTAAAGGATTGAATAAATTCAGACGCTGGAATATCAGGTGGAAGATTATTCCGGTAATACAACAATATAAGTTACATATGGGTGCGATTACAAAGTACAAAGAAGACTACCTGATAAAAACACGAACTAGCCGGGAATGCTAGATTAAATAATTTAGTTTTCAATCGCAGTTTAAAAGATTGAATAGATTCAGATGCGTGACTGTCAGTTGGAAGATTTTTCCAGAGGTTGACTGCAGCACTAGCAAAGGCACGGTCACCTCTGGTCCCTAGACCCTAGGTTGCACCAAGAGCAGTTGGCCCGATGATCTTAGGGCTCTCCTAGGGGTATACAGGCTGTGGAGTTCAGTTAAGTAGCTAGGTGCAATATTGTTTACGATTTAAAAAGTAAGCAATAACATTTTAAAATCAATACGATATTGAATGGGGAGCCAATGTAGGTCAGCAAGAGCCGGAGTGATCGATACCCTTTAGTTCCAGTTAAGAGGTGTGTCGCAGCATTTTGAACAAGTTGCAATCTATGAAGAAGGGCAGATTGGAGGCCCAGGTTAAGGGAGTTGCAGTAATCTAATCTAAAATTAACAAAGGCATGGATATCCTTACATGATATGTAAGGCTTAGCCTTAGAAATTTGACGTAGTAGATAAAAGCTAGATTGTACTACGGAGGACACTTGTTTATCAAGTTTAAAAGAACTATCCAGAAAAACACCTCAGTTGCTTACTGTATCAGAGAGGGAATAAGCAAGGGGCCCGTAAGTATCGACTAGTTGTCCCTGAGGAGCGTGGCTATCAAAGACAATGAGTTTGAGACATATGTGCAAAGCTGGCAATCCGTTTCTCTGTAGCAAACAGTGCTTCACTGGAATTGCACCTTGGCCTTTGTTATTTCTTTAATTTAGGATTTTTAAAAACGCTGTATTTTAAAATGACAGTAATTCTAGAGACAGGACTCACACTTGTTTGCAGAGTTAATACTTGACAGTTAAAAAATGTCTTTCCTTGCGCGGTTTTACTTTATGAGTGGGGTAAAAGCTCAACATATTTGTCTTCACCATTTTACTGCTTTAAAACCTGATGTTGTGGGTGAGGGGAGGACCTTACTATGAAACCGCACGCTCACTGCTAACAATGTGATGTCACAAGTCGTTCGCCAGTAGGCACACTCAAGATAAACCTCCCTTGTGACCATTAAAATGACCAAAACAAAGTTCCTATTTCATGAGTGATTGAGTTAATCAACTCCGCCATACTGGATGTGATACAACCACTGGTTCCTATGGAAAAATGTGTATTCCCCAGCTGGTTAGCAGTGGTTCCTGAAGGTTTCAACCTGCTGGGGAATACTCATTTTTCCCTCAAGACAGGTGGCTGCCCACTGCTTCGGGGAGTCTTTGGGCCTTTGTGGTTTGTTTTGTTCTCTTGATCCTACAGTTTCGCCATGATTGTCACACGTCCAAAACAGCAGACAAGTTAACTTCACATGGGTAGCAGTCACGTGGTTAGTGGTCATGTTTCTGCAAAACCTTCGTAAGGCTCTTGGAGATCAGAAGTCCCCCTCTGGCAGCCGTTAAAAAATACATATATATATCTAGCTTTAAGGCACTTTCCAGAGGCTCCATCAATCTTTTATACTGTCTGTGTTGACACCATGTAAACTTGTGACATGAGCTAAAAGAGCTCTGATTAGCAGAAACCATGAGCTTAGCGAGCTAATTCTGACTTTGTGGATATGAAACAGGATGATTACCCACCACAGAGACTAAGTAGTATATACTGCTCTCTATATATGATGAATTAATGTTTAATGTTAATGTTCCCAAAGGCAGCTACCTTGAGCCAGAACATGAAACGAACAACTTATCAGGTTTTATATTTGATACATTGGTTAAATAAGTGTGAATTGTTGTCGATAACATGACAGATGTTGCTGCATGTATTTTGGTTTCAATTTGGAGTGGTGCATTCGGGTAGCTTATGTGGAGTGGGAAATTTCTAACCTTATCAAAGCAAAGGGGTGAATTCCAGTATGTGTTGTAATTAGCAGTGATATTTCTCTGTAGCATAAAAGGAACACGATTATTAATGATTAGATCATTAAATCTTCCTCTTTGCTGTCACCATGTGTATAAATAAATCTGTCCTTCATGTTGAAGCATTGTAATATGGTTTTTTACCAGAGACTGTTGACCTTAAATACATCTGGTGAAAGAGTCTTGGGATTTTTATGACCTGGTTAAAATGTTTTTGATTTGTCTCTAAATGTTAGATGAGATAATCGATTTTGCCTGTGGAGAATGTAGATAGTTTGTTAGCTTAGTTTAGCACAACGACTGGAAGCAGCTTGTCTCTGGTAACAAAAATAGGAACTTGAATGTTTGTTAATGCTTCTCTCAGAACACTTTATTAGCTACCTTGTGCAGTTTAATATATTCCAATACCTATAAAGTCTATTTAATACCATGCTTCTATATCAAAAATACGATAATATGGAAAAGCACTTCAATTTTAGTTGAGTCAGTGACCTAAGGATATCATCTTTCTATCAATCTACAGTCCTCCATGCTACCAACTGAGCTATTGTTCAGTTCTTGGATGTGCAAATTTGTTTTGCAATACTGAAAAGCCAACCAAAAATGTTCATAAAGTACTTCAACGTGATTTTTACTCCTACAAAGACCTTCCTTTGAACCATAGATCCTACACCTAAAGTCCTCCACACCATCAAAGAGCAAGACTAAGTTTCTATCTCCAGGACTTAAAAATGAAAAGAATGGAAGTCTTACAGCTTTTCCACTGTGACAGGTTTCAAATAGCCAGGGTTCATCAAGTAAGCACCCACCTACAGTCCCCCCACCCGACCATGCTTATGTGTTGAAAACAAAATGAAATACTTAACTATTTTGGATGCAGAAACTGATGTTTAACAGCAAGTCTGCAATGAAAATAATCTGAATATTAAATCAAAACTTAAAAAAATATAATGCTAGGTTCCTGCCACTCCCTGTGAGCCAAAGTTGAACCTGCAACCTAAGGATACCCGTGGAGCTCGACTACAGGCCTCCATTCTACCAACTGAACTGACAAAGAGTTCATGTGGTGTTGAATTGTTCACCTCTTGAATGCGGAAGTTTGTTTTGCAAGCCTGAAAGGCAAACCACAAACTTTCTGTCTGAGTGAATGATGACAGTAAAAATTAATCATTTTTCTACACATCAATCATTCCAGTCAGACAGCGACATCACCCTCCTTTAACACGAGTCCTCCACCCAGTCGAGCAGAAGTGTTGAAGACTATATGAAATGCTAAATTGGTTGAGTCTTGGATGCAGTCACTCATTTCCTTGTGATGGAGATATAGACCTAATTTCACCTTAGTTGTTCAGCTTTTGAATGTTGAGCATGATGCTTTACCATCCTGATGCTTGTTTTGTAGGAATGCTGGCTCCAAATATTAAATCAAAATGAGTTTGTATACAAAGGTTATATCACTCTACCACTGCTTGGTGATTATAGAAAGGTGTGTGTCGCACTGGCTGCACATGTTATTTTCATGACGATTTAGTTGAATTTGCAGGACAACCGTCATCCTCCTGTTAGCCATCTTTGTTACTCATTTAGTTCTATCTAAAGTGCTCCACTCTGTAATACAGTCGTGATATCATTCCAAGGCCACCTCCTTTCTTTATGTATCCTGTCTATCTGAAAGCTTACTGACTGCAACAGTGCAAAACGTGAACACAGACTGTTGTTTCTACCTACAGTGTTCCACTTTATCACCTACAGCAGCTCAGTAATAACAATCTTTCTAGTATTCTGATAGATTTTTGTCCTACAGAAAACTCCAAAGAGTCTCTGCATTTTTTCATGTTGTGCAGACACACAAGATTTTAACCTAAAAATACCAGTTTCTCCCACCTGCAGTCCTCCCACTAAAGGGTGTGTGTGGAGTTGGACTGTTCACTCCTTGGATGCATAAATTTATTTTGCAAGACTGCAAAGCCAGCCTCAAACCTTCAGTCAAAGTAAATACTGATGACAGTTCACCTCTAGATTTTCTGTTCGTTCCAGTCAGATTGAGACATCGCCCTCATTAACCATCATGTCATACAGTTACACACAAAAGGCACCCCTTCAAGCCAGTATCGACCCAATGACCTAAGGATACTTGTTTCTCTCACCTAGTCCTCTGAAGGGTGCATAAGGTGTAGAATTACTCAAGATTTGGATGCAGAAACTCATTCTTAACCACAAGTATGTAAGACTGAACATCTGGCTCTGAATATTAAATAGAGAAAAACCACAAA